ACTGCATTCCCACACACACAGGACACAAGGTCACCATCAGTTTCAGCTGCTAAATTTGTGTAAGAACAGAAATTGGCCCACCCTCTTGGTAAACACTTACGGAGGAAAACCAGTCAGCAGCTCCTGAGATCTGGCCATGGTGCACCTTAGGCGGTTGCACAAGAAAGCAATTCACCCGCCCTCTTGGTAAGTGTCTCTCGCGCAAGCCAGGAAGAGAACCAGTCAGCGTCTCCCGAGAGCCTACCAGCCCACCATGGGCTGAGAATCAAACATCGCAACCCTCACCTCACCCCAGTTGCCAACTGGGGACAGACGTCTGAGTATCTCTTGGGAGGATGACTGTATGCAATATAGCAAATATGGGGGATCTCCTATCATCTCTTTGAAGGCAAATGTTGTTTTCACTGTTATGATTGTTTTGCTCTATTCAATATTCCGTTTTGATAGGTTTTATAATGTTCTGGTTTTGGTTTGATTATGCTATACCTAATTGACTGGACAACTATTACGCAGATAAGATATACTATGGTACCTATTACTGTTATCCTGGTATCCTTTTGTGAAGTTCTGTACCAGTTTCACTGCATTGTCTTGATTGGCTTTGTTCTGTCTTGTTCTGCTGTATTTTTACTACTTTCAAAATTAAAAGAAAACATTTCTGGTATGGTGTCACATGTCTATAATCCTATTACTTGGGAGGCTGAAACAGGAAGATCAATACAAATTCAAGACCAACCTGAACTACATAGTGAGACCCTGTTAAAAAAAAACAAATTTATTTCTCACAGTTCTGGAGACAAGAGTACAAGGGTGTCCTTTCTGCTGTTCAATGTTCAAATGGTGCCCTGAACATCTGTCCTCCAGAGGGGAGCAACGTGCCCTCATGGATGAGCAGGGCAGGCCCCATCCACTCACCCCCACACTAGGGAGCAAACCTAGGCCCTGCACATTCCAGGCAAGCATTCTGCTGTACCACCGATCTACCTACAGAACCGTGGTGACCCAAACATCTCCCAGGGCTCCTGCCCTAGGATTGTTTCCCATATGGAACTTGGGGACACATCCAGATCACAGGAGTTACTACTCCAGGCAGAGCATCTAGTTTGCTCTGCCTTGGCATGGTGGTACACCTCCTGTAATCCCAGAACTCAGCAGGCTGAAGCAGAAGGATTGCCACTGAGTTTGATGGGCTACACAGTGAGTTCAAGGCCAGTCTGAACTACATAGACCCAGTCTCAAAAACACAAATCCCAGCACTCGGGAGGCTGAGGTGGGAGGATTGTTGCGAATTTGAGACTAGCCTGGGCTACAAAGTGAGCTCAAGGCCAGCCTGAATTGCATAGCGAGACCCTGTCTCAAAAAAAGACAAAAAAAAAAAAAAAAAAAAAAAAAAAAAAAACCCACAAAGAAGAGGGTCAGGGATTTAGCTCAGTGGCATAAGTGCTTCCTTGGCAAGTGTGAGGTCGTGAGTTCAATCCCCAGCACCGCAAAAAAAAAAAAAAAAACACGAAGTATATCCACACAGCCTTTGACATCCCCCTCCCTTAAATGCAGACTTTTTAGTGACTCACTTCTAAAAACTATGTGACTTCCAAGTGGCAATTCATGCCTCTCCTTTCTTACAGTCACTCACTCTGGAGGAGCCAGCACCAGGCTGTGTTTGTGTGCACAGCTCTGTGGACTGCATCCTGCCCATCAGCCTCCTTGGTAGGGAGCCTCACCACAGCCAGCCTTGGATGAGCAGAGCCTTGGCTGAAATCCTAACTGTGGTCTCTCGAGACCCTAAACCAGAGGTACCCTGCTCCAGGACCCCTGGCTCACCAGAACTGTGAGATGAGGCTCATGTTTGTTATCAGTGATAGATGACCAATGTACCTCTTATATGCTTGCAGGAAGAAGCCTCACTCCTGCTTTTGCTTTTCTTTGTTAAGCAAAAGTGTAAAGTCAGTGAAGGATTCCCTACTCTTCCCTGATGTTGGGAGGCACCACATGGTGATTGTCAAACATTATCTGCCTTTCAGTGCTCACCAGGCTTCCTCCTGCATGAATTAAACCCTCAGCAGGACACAATGGGACATGTTTGTAATACCACCTACTTGGGATGCAGAAGCATAAGGATCTCAAGTTCAGGGCCAGCCTGGGCAACACTGTTTCAAAATAAAATTTACCCTCACAAAAAAATAAGGGGGCAGGAATGTAATTCAGTGGTAGAGCACTTGGCTACCATGCATGAGGCCCTGGCTTCAATCCCTGGTGCTAGGGGGCAAAAGCAGCAGCAACAGCAGCAGTCCTGGCCTGAATCAGCCATGTCTCCTGCAGGTGCCAGGTTCTGGCACACTGATCTATGGTGCACACATGCAGTACAGGCAGGCAGAACTCTCATCTCAGAAAATGCTTCCTTGAGCTTCCTTCCCGCTGCCACTCCTGCAGGTTCTTAGTATCCCCATTTCTTCCCCACCCAGTGTCCTGAGTTCTGACTGATCCCCTCTCCTGGGATAGGAAGAGGAGTGCTGTCACTAGGCATGATATTATGACTGGGTTGTGTGGAGGATCCAGAGTCGACCTGTGGTCATGAATAGGGCAGTGTGAACCTCCAGTATCTAATGTGTTCGCCCAGAAGGGCCCCACCAGAAACCCCCAGGGGCGGCCTGGATCCTGGAAGACAGTACATCCCCGAGGTGAAGGGAGCTTACTGGGTTTCTGGGCCTAGATGTGAGACTATGAATAACCAGCTGCCCAATGCCGTATAGTATGAGACTCACTGTGGCAGACCTGGACCTTGTCTTTCCTTAGCAACAGGAAGCCCCGTGGGAATGTTCTCCTTGGGAGATCAGGGTGGTCATGAGCAACAGCCGAAGTGGAGGCCTGCCTTGGCCTTAGGCTGTCTCCTGCTCTGGGGTCCAGAAAGGGAAGTGAACTTCTGAGCTGTGTACATGCTCATTTCTTAAAATCACTGTTGACATCAAAACAATTCATAAGCAAGATTTGTCTGGAGCTCAGAGGGAGTATGTGTTGGGCGCAGGCGCTCAACATACCATACCCCACCCGGAACTAAAGACCACGCCAGCTTCCACAATGCGCTACGTCCCTCTTTAAATTAGCCAACCCGTGCGCACTTCGTGCTCACTCCGTACTCTGTGGCAACTCCTGATTGGCCACAGCTGGATATAGTAGCCAGAGCCTGCGTCCCATTCCCGCCCTGCTTCCTCGTGGCAGCCTGTGATTGGTCACGGCCAAATATATAAACCAGAGCCCGCGTAAATAAACCAGCAGTTAACTGTCATCCACAAGAGCGTCTCCTGTCTCATTGGGGAGCTGCGCCAGTCAAGTATGTTTCTCCGCCCTGACAAATGCAGAACACACAATGGCAGTTCATCTATTTTGGGAGGTTGGTTTTAGGGTTTTGTTTTTGTTTTTCTGATACAGGGTCTTGCTGTGTAGTTCAGGCTGGTCTTGAGCTCATTATGTTGCCTGCTGGCCTCCACTTGCTGTAGTCACCTCCCTGCACTGGGATTCCGGGTGTGTGTGGCCATGCCTGACCCAGTGGGCCATTTCTAAACACACAAGCCTTTCCCTTTGGTTCATGAGTTGTGTGAGTTCACTATACAGATGACATGGGCTCATTATCCACCCATGCCCTCTGGTTGGACACCTGCAGTGTCCCTCAGATTCTGGTCTGTGGAAGCCAAGGGCAGTAGGGGCTTCAACTATCTAGTTTCTGGGGCCCTGGCTCTGGGTCATGAAAGAATGTGCTGTCCATCCTCATGCCAAGCAGGTCAGCAGGGACCTCCCCTGACACTTGGCTGTGGAGATGGGATGAAATGGAGCTGCCTTGGAGAAGGTGGAGACTGCAGTGATGCAAGCTTCTCCTCATGTCCAGACAAGTGGGCATCCTCAGATACCAGCCCCATGACCCCTGAAGACTCCTGGAAGGCATCCAGCCCAGTAGATTGCTGATGGGAGAGGCTTGTAGCTAGGGTTTCCAAACTATAGTAAGGAATTTCAAGGATGGTGACATGATGACACTGGCTTGGGAAACCTGATCATGTCCTCCGGGCACTTCAACCTGTAGGTAGCTGGTCCTAAACAACTCCCTTAGTGAGCTCCTTGAGGACTTGCAACTACCATTCACTCCCACCTGGCCGGCCACCCCTGCCTAGGGCCCAGCATGAAGGTCTAGTGGCCAGGAAGAACCGTAGCAGAGAACAGGGGAAGGTGCTGCTGCTCCAGACAGCTCTAAAGTTCTTCCAAGGCAGCCACAAAGCCCTGAGGGCACAGGGGTAGTGGGGCTGTCATCCCATGCAGAGCCAGAGCTGGGGCTCTTTGGAGGACAAGCACTTCTGGGTAAGTAGGTCCACACTGCCCACAACTGCTCACAACTCTGAAGGCCACAGTAGCCAGCTTGTGGGTCCTTGGCAGAGAACACCTATGCCCCAGCAGATACAGGCCACCTCACCCCTGTACAGGTTCTAAGGCCAGGGGTCCAGAGAAGAAGCCTTGTGCTCATTAGACACATTACAGTCCTGATGCCCTCACTCAGCAGTTCCAGACAGCTCTGCTGCACACAGGCACCTAGAGCTGGCTGCAGGGGTGAGGTGAGGAGGCCCTACCTGTCCAGCAGTCCTTTTCAGTCCAACTTCTTTCTTTCTTTCCCCACTCACCTCACTGAGGATTGAACCCAGGGTCTTTGCACAGAGTTACAATCCCAGCCCTTGTTTATTTTGAGACAGGGTCTCATTAAGTCACTAAACTGCCCAAGTGGGATTCGAACTGCACCCTCTCCCAGACGCTGGGATCACAGGTATCCCCTTGCTGGTTCAACTCAGTTTTTTCATCCTCTGCTCTCTGCCCCTGTGCACCCTCTCCGTGAAGCCACTCCCCGACAGAGAGACAGGCAGATGCTTTTGCTTTTGCTTATTGGCTGGGCTGGAGCTGGTTTGAAGGGTAGGACCTCATGTGACAATGTGATGACCAAGCAACCCAGCATGAGCACCTGCATATTTGTGCCACTGCCACTAGGTTTATTAAGGTTGCCACCACATCCACTAAGAGAGCCCCCGTGAGGGGGCCCAGCCACGACTGGCCTGGTGTCTGAACTGGGAGAACAGATTTCTCAACCTGATGGCTCCTCAGGGAGAGCCCATGGTCAGGTACGCCACAAGGACTGGACGCCCAGAGTGTGGAAAGAGAAGCAGGAAGCTGAGGGTGCAAGGTAGGGGACAGCGCAGAAACAAAACTTGCATCCAGACAGTGTTGGACAAAAAAGAAAATCCGAATGTGTTCTTGTGGCTGCAGTGTCCAGGTCCAGGGCCCCTTAGCCGGACATCTCCTCCCGCTGCTCCTTGTTCCTGCGCACCTCGGCCGCGTGTAGCTCCTGCGAGGACAAGAAGGGGGCGCTCAAAGCGCGGCCTGAGGGCGGCCTGGCCTCCATCCTGGAGGTCATCTTATCTGGCTAGTCTTAAATAGGGACAGAGTCAAGGGGCAGAGGCCGAGGAGGGACTCTGTCATCAGGGGAGTGCCGGGGTCAGTGCGCGGGACAGGGATAAACGGACCAGACTCTGGGGCTTCTCTGACCCGCATCCCCTCTTCGAGCTGGTTTCTGGGGTGTGCTCTTTCCAAGCACTTGGAGATGTCTGGGCTCTGCCAGCTGTGACTGCAGTTACTGACCGCCCCTCCGGGCCTGGCTCCAGGCCGTTTCCTGAGCGCCTCCGGCCCCTCCCCTCCCTCCGCCGCCCCGCCCTCCCTCTTAGGCCCCGCCCACCTTCTCACGCAGGCGCTCGCGCAGGGCGGCCAGGTGCGCCTCGCGGATCTCCTTGCTGAGCTCCATCTTGTAGTTGAGCTTCTCCTCCGCCTGGCGGCTGAAGTTGTTGTTGTCTTCCAGCGCTTTGTGCAGCACTTCGCGCTCGTGCTCTCGCCGCTCCGCCAGCTGCTTCAGGACCTGTGCCTCCTGCGTCTGTGGGGGCGGGGCGTGAGGGGCGCTGCGGGGCCTTGACCCGACCCCGGCCCGGGCCGGGCAGGCCGGGGTCGCGTGGGGCGCGGAGGGCCGTCGCGGCCCCCGAGAGTTGGGGCTCGTCAGCCGGGTTTGCCTGGACCTCGCAGGCTCCGGCGCTGAAAATCCCTCTCACTGGGGCAGCGCTGCTCAGCTCCCGGACTCCTGAGAGGCGCCTACTGCTGCTGGGACACCTGGGCAACGCAGGCTCCGTCCTGGCTTCGTCCCTCCCAGCCCGGGAACGGTGACAAGGCACAGCGAGCGCTGAGCGCTGGGGCTCTGAGGCCTGGTTCTCGGGCTGATGCCTGCTGAGCACTGAGTGGGCGCTTGATACACACCGGGTCCTAACTCTCCATTAGGTGTTTGGGGTCAGCGGAGACACCGGCTCCGGGGTATGAGAAGGAATGAGAAGTGTGGGGCTGTTGGCGCCACACTGCTGCTGGGCCCTGCTAGGAGAAGGGCTGCCTGCTGACCCTTGGGAAGGGACCGGGGAGACGTCAGGCTCCCAGGGGGTAATTATCTGCCTCAGCCGCCTTCTGAATGCCTTTGGGACAGCGTGCCTGGGCCACCGCTTAACCATGAGAAGCCTCAGCCCTGCAGAATCTGTGTGTAGGACCCAGCCAGTTCCTACCAGAGCCAATGCGCTGGGCTCCTCTTAAGACCCCACTCCCAGGAGCACATCCCTCTTGTTTTGGTCTTGAAAGGACAGGTGTATGGTCTAAGGCTTGGAATAAGGACTATGGCCCCAGCTCAAGGTCTTTAGCTGTGAGGTCTTTTCTTCTTACTCCCTGCCCTGGAACCTTTGCCAGTTCCAATCTCATGTCCTGGAGACCACCACTTAACTGTCCCCTTGCCATGACCAAGGGTGTCCCCCAAGTATGTGGTTTCTGTCTCCCTCCAGTGACATCCTTCCCATCTCAGGAGGAGAACCAATCCTGGACCGGCCCCTGCCAGGGGAGCCCTATCAGGAATGGCCACTGAGGCCCTGGCCACAGGATTCATGGGAAGAGGGGTCCTTGCCTTCCTCCGCTCCTCAGCTGCCTCCAGCCTCTTCCGCAGCTCCTCCAGGGAAGTGTCCTTCCTCTTAGGGGGAGAAGACAGCACAGGGCTCTCTGGGGATAGGTCAGAAGGGGACTTGAGGATGACCTCAAAGCTCTGACCAGAGGCTCGCTTGTCCAGTTGTTTCACCTCCATGTCTGCAAGACAAAATCAGACAGGGCTTCAGAGAATGGCCAGAGGATGGTGACAGAGGCTGATGACAGGGTGACAGCCTGGCTGTAGCACAAAGCCCAGTCAAGGACTAAGCAAGGAGTTCACCTGTTTATGAGGGTTCCCAGGCCTGGCTCCCTCCTCTCAGGATCTCTGTCTGCAGAAGCCAGCCAGGCCAGGGTCCTCTGGGGCATCCCAAGAGGTGACAGAGGTAAGATGGACAGGCCAGGCTAAGCAGGGCAGGAGCGGCAGTGGTGTGGACATACTCACCTCCATACTGGTAGATGGTGTTGGGATGAGGCTGTGAGTAGAAGCAGGAGCAGATGAGTGACAGCACAGACAGCTCCTTCATCTTCTCTTTATATGCTGTGAACACCAGGCCAGGATGAGCAGGTGCACTGACACCCCAACCCCCTAGGTCTTCCCACCAGGTCCTACCTTCTTCCCTTTTGCATCTGGGCCTCTGATGGGTCTCCCTAGAAGACATGCCATTGTGCTATGTAGCTGCATCTCTGACTTCTCTCCCTCTCCTCTGGCTCTGGACTTTGATGCTGGGGGTGTTTTTCACACTATTCTCTCTGAGCTTCGGTCTGTCTCTCTGCCCTTCCCTGACTTGTGAACGTGTGTGTGTGTGTCTGTCTGTCTCTCACATTGCTCTTTATCTCTGTGTTTTGTTCTTTCTGTATGTTTCTCCCTACCTCCTGAGGTTTAAATGTTTCCCAGAGTTCACATGTAGAAACCCTAAGCTCTCATGCTGATGCCAAGAGGTGAGTGGATCATGAGGGTGGAGGAGTCCTATCAGGAATTGAGAGCCCTCCCCTGATAGGGCCCTCAATTCCAACACAGTTATGCACCAGACACCCAATCTGCAAGCCCCTTGATCTTACACTGCTAGCTTTCAGATCTGTGAGGAACAAGTCTGTGGTGTTTAGAAGCCACCCATTCTGAGGGTATTTTACCATAGCAGTCTAAACAGACTAAGCCACTCCCTGTGTCTGGGTCTCCATTCTTTTCTGATTCTATCTTCCTACAACTCTGGGAGCATCCCTCCTACTCTGTCTCTTCCTCTGAGTGTGACTATTTGTCATTGAATGTCTAACTCTCACAGCCCTCTGCCCCTATACTTCCCCTCCTCCCCTTCCCTCTCCCCCCCCCCCACCACTGTCAAGATTGGGGCCAACAGGAATGTAGGCAGCACTTATCCCTCCTCCTTCTCTCCCTCCCTCTTCTCCCCACCCCCAACAGGTTCTGTAGATTGCCCAGGCTGGCCTTGAACTCCTGTGCCTCAGGTATATGACCAGCTGGGCAGCACTTTCTGAACTGTATAAACTTGAGTAAAGACTAAAGTACCTCTGTTTTTTCCTCATTTACCCTGAGGGTAGCACCGCCACTGACTTGAAGCTTGGTTCCTAACAGATAAACACTCACTGTCCATACAGGCAGATTATGCCTCAGATGCCACCAAAGACAGTAAAGTGTACAGTCATCATCACAGCCCACCCTCTTGCCCTTCTGGATCAAGTGCCAACCAGCAGGGTTCCTGTTGCCCAACCAGAAAAGAAAGTGTGCCTGGAAGCTGTGGCCCTGACCCTGTAAGCAGAAGGAAAGGATGCCTGCTCTTCAAATGGAACAATTTAGCTGACTCCAGCGTAGACATGAGGGCTGACCATCTCAGTGATGCCCAGTGCAGTCTCTCTGTTCCACGGGAACAACGCAGGCCTACCCTCCTGCTCCTCACAGTCCAATCTTAGGTAATCTGTGTTCTTCCTATCATTCTAACAGTTCCAAAGTGTAGAGGTTCCAGTCCCAGCTGGAGACAAGTGAGCATCTCCAGAGAAATGCTCTTAGAAGAGAAAACTGACTCCCCTGCATGCCTATCTACCAATGTCATTCAAGGGGACATACAAAGACTTGCACAAGCATCTGATAGACAAGAGGCTTTTTCATGCAAGATTTTTTTCTCCAGCACTGAAGATTGAACCCAGGGCCTTCACACTGAGCAACATCCCATCTTTTCTATTTTTAAATTTGTTTTGTTTGTTTTTTGAATTGCTTTGTTTTGTTTTGCTTTTCGACACAGAGTCTTGCTATGCATTTCAGGCTGGCCTTGAACTCATGGCAATCCACCTGTCTTAGCCTCCCAAATGCTGGGATGACAGATGTGCATCACCATGGCCAACTGTTTTAAATTTTGAGACAGGGTTTCACCGAATTGCTAAGTTACCCAGGCTGGGCTTGAATATGAGGTCCTCCTGCTCCACCCTCTTAGTGCTGAAATTAATGGTTTTCAATGGAGGTGATAAGAAATTGGGAAAACTATTAGCATAAAAATAGGACACAGGGCCAAAATGATCAAACCTTGTATAGTAAGCTATGTCCTTCTGTGACTAATACAGACTATGATGTTATTTGATCTAAATTTCCTGGTGATATAGACTTCTCTGGAAGTAAAGAGGTCCCAAGGGACTATAAAGAGTGCAAAAAGAAACCTTAGGGTGAACAAATATGAGAGAAACCCTTCGAGGGAAGAAGATGCATGTCTTGGTCATTGTCTTCAGGATGCTGTGGATGGAGGTGGAGGGAGGTCAAGAAGGGGCAGGCCTCAAAGGAGACTTTGGTTCAATTTATTGAGTTTTATTTTTTCACAAGCAAAATCTTGTGTTGCTAAAGGCGAATTCAACCTAGGAGGCAGAGGATGCAGGTCAGGCATGTGATGAGCTAAAAGATGTACGAGACAGTTGTTTAGCAGAATAGATAGGACACTTTTGGAGCCTCTAGGGACGCCAGGCAGCCATCCCTGTGCTCAGGAAGCAAGAGTGGATCTGGGCTGGGCCAGAACAGATTTGGATCCTGGGAGAGACCAGGAAGAAGGGGCTTGGTTCCTCTAGGTCTGACTACCAGCACCCACCTCTCAGCCAACAGACCCTAGCCCCTTATCTTGATCTTTCAGACATCTTTCCTTATCATGCACCCAAAACCCTGGATGAGATTGCCTGACAGGCTAGGAATCTGGGCCCTTATGCCTGGCCCTGAAATTTTTGCAGGAAAAGGAGCTGCAGAGGAAGAAGCTGTTTCAGTAAAAGCCCAGAGAGGTTCCTACCCTGTCTGCTCAGCATGGGGATGGGAAGGAGGGCAGGGATTCTGGGAGCAGGTACTAGTGTGCACAGGTGGAAGCATCCGTATCACCTGAGAGAAAGACAGAGGAGGGGGTGACAAGGGTCAGAGCTCTCTCAGGTACTACATCCTGTGCTGCCAAAATGGACACAGCTTAGCATCTTACAGAGAGATTCCATGGTTTGCCTTCTCCGGTGCTGATGGTCCACAAGGAAGTGCCTTCCCAGAAGATTACACCTCAAAGAACTAATGGGATAGGGACTCAAAGGAAAGGGCTGAGAGTGAGACCCGTCCTGTGGCCTGGCTGCAAGGGGGACAGCAGGTTGGAGGGGATGGGCTGGCAGGGGAGAAATAGGCAATGGGAAGAGACTGGACTGGGAGGAGACTGCCTGTGGGATTGGTGCAGATCTGGGCTAGGGCTGGCTACAGCACAGCCTAGGCAGAAAATTAGACTTGAATTTTTGGAGCTGAAGGACTCAAAGAGCAGTCTTCCCAGATGGGGATTTGGAAGCCCTAACAGGTTAAATAGCATGGGTAAAGCCTCACACACAAGGCACTCAGACTCCAAGCTGCATAAGGAGCTGAATAGGACCTAGAGTCTACAAGCCTAAGAAGCAGAGTGGTGGAGGATGCCAAAAGATGCTAAGCCTTCCAGAGACTTCCAAGAAGGAGCCTTACTGCCACACCATAAGGGAAAGGCTCAGCCGTCGCCAGTGGCCTCCGATCCGTGGCCAGGGCCCTTTGTGGATCTGGGGCAGTTGCTGGCCAGGGAGGGACAGAGCTGCCCTCAGGGGCCAAGGCAGAGCCCCATTCTGCGTTGTCCTTGGGCGGGCAGGGTTGCTGAAGCCCAAATGGACAAGAGTCCCAGGTAGGGTGGGGAGACCTGCAGTCAGTGACACAAGTCCACGCCAGGGCAGGTGCAGAAGCCCACAGGGCCTGGGATGGGGTGGAGTTTGTGCTTGCAGCCCAAGGTAAGCGCTCGGTCCAGCCAAGCTAGCTGGCCGACCACGGAGATCTGCCCTGAGGGGGAGGGAGTGGTGCTCAGGGGTGCAGGTCTGGCCCTGGGGAGAATGGAGAGCGGTGGGGGGACGCCCATCCCACCAGTTCTAGCTCCAAGAAAGGGCTGCGCATCCGGTGGGTGGGGGCAGGGGCCGGCCCGGCGCTCTGGTGCCCTGGTGGTCCTGCAGCTTCCTCCCAACCCATATTCGCCTGTGTCCACCCCCTACCCCTCCTGCAGAGCTGCGGGTCTGAGGCGCCGCAGGCAGCGGTGAGGACAGCTACCCTTCCATCCTGGGAGGCTTTGGCAATGGCAGCGGCCCCTCCCCCGCCCAGGCCTCGTGGCGCAAAGAACAGCGGCTTTCGGGCTGGCGGGGGCCAGAGGCTCCGAGGTCGCAGAGGGCCTCCCAAGCCTGCAACGCTCCGCAGCCAGGACGGCTTCTCGCCCCGGCCGTAGATGTTCTGACCTCCTCCCCGCCCTCCTCGAGGCCTCCCGCAGAGGGTCCCGCCCTCTCCTCTCCCCAGCTGGGGCGCAGTAGGGCCGGGTCCGTGGCCGCGGCGCCCCAGGAGACCCTCGCCTGCAGCACACCTCGCGGTTTGCGGTCGCAGGCCAGAGCCCCGGCACCGCAGCGCCCGAGGCCCGCAGCCCGCAGCCCTCGTCTGCAGACAACCAGGTCCCTGCCCCCAGGCTCCGGGGTCCCGACCCCCGCTTCCGCGGGTCCAGCCCAGCCTCGCCTTATGCAAGGTCCGACTCGGGAGAAGCGAATTGCAACCAGCACCTGCGTCAGACGAGGCCACACAACGGCCTCGACCCGCCCCGCTGCAGCCGGGAACCCTGACCGGCGCCTACCGGACACGGTGCTGGCCATGGTGCTGGTGGCTGCCGGTCTGCGGAGGTCGGAGAGGCGCGGGCGGCGGCTGGAGCTGCAGTCGGCAAATGCTGCAGTGTTGGGGAGGGGAGGAAGTTAGTGCGGGCGCGGCGGGAGGGGAGGGGAGAGGGAAGGAGGGAGAGCGGGAGGGAAAGGAAAAGAGAGGCTGCAGCCTCAAAGGGGGAGGAGAGAGAGGAGAGGGGAGTCTGGGAAATGCTAGGACAGCCCTCCCCTATCCCGGGCCACCGCCGACCGACCGGACCCACTTTGTGTGGGCCTGGGAGCTGTAGAGATACGCTCCCATTCCACAGCGTGGGGCCACTGCCAGGGTGGGGCCACAGAGCCCTGGACAGAGGTTGCTAGAGGGTGACCAGCAGGGAGCAGGAAGGGCACAGGACCAGAGGGCGATGGCCAGGCAGTGCAGAGATGGGGCTTGGCAGCTGGAGGACAGCCACTGAGCCCAGGTCTTCCTGGAGAGAAAAGGGGGCAGGCACTGGCATGGAAGGCCATGGCCTCCACACCCATCGAATGGGCAAGTTGTGGGCAGAGAAGAGGGCATTGTTGGGTTGAGGCCTAGAGCAAGGGACTTTTGACAAGTCTGTATTTGACTGAGAGCAAGTTTCTACTTCTCTGGGCCCCTGGTTTTGAGTGGGAGATGAAGCCACCAGGCCAGACCCAGTGGATGGGAGAGTAATGTGCCAGAGCTGAGTGCACTTACTGGATGGCACCTGCTGTTCCACCCCTAAAAAGAGAGCCCGGCGGGCCCATGAAGTACTTCTCCCATTTCAGGGATGGAGTCACTGAGGGGCAGAGGAGAAGGGCTTGCTCTGTAGACAATTAAGGCATAGAGCCTGGAATAAAATTCTCAGAATCCTCAAAAGACTTGCAGGGAGAGGAAGACAGCTTTGAAAGGCAAAAGTCAGGGACAGCCTACAGACCGAGGCCAGCTTGGGGCAAACCCCACAGGATGGCAGGAGCACACGTGGTCACACCTCACCCAAGTACCCTGAGTCCTGTGTTGCAGGCAGCTGAGAAATATTATAGGCAGTGAGATAGGGCTAGGTCCTCAAAGGAGCCAGTGCAGAAGCCTGGATAGTTTGCAACTGTGGGAGAGACAGACACCTCCTGCAGTGAGCCAGGCCTCAAGACAAAGGATCAAACAAATGCATCTACATCCTAAAGACTGATATTGTAATTCGTTCCCTATCACCCTGAGGAAGCCTGGAATCACCATCCCATTCCCCCTACTGAAAGGTCACAGCTCAAAGAATGCCCGCTTCTTACATGACTTGTTTTCCCATTTGTCCCTAATGTAATCAATTTTACCTGAACTATTAATCTTATTGGCTAACCATAGTTATGTCCCACCTAATGTCCATCTGCTTGTGAGTTCCCAGTCTTCCACTGCCTTTAACCCATGGTTTTATTCTATGAAAGTCCCTGGAAAAGACAGAGTGTTGGGCATCCCGCTCAGGATCTCTTCTGTCTTTCTTCAGATGGAAGCTTTTCTCTCAATAAATATACTCTACTCTTCACCTCTATTGTTCCTTCAGTTTTAGAAAACACAAACTCACGGACATAGTAGGTTGGGCATTTCATTCCCCTATATCACTGCCACCAGGAACCATGCTGGCATCAGGCCTGGAACTCCTAGGGTCAGACACGTTGTGTGGCACAGAAGACCTTAAGACAGGACCATTCTCCTAGTCTCCTTGGCTAAGCTAATCATAAAAACCCTTGAAAAGCAGAGTTCAGTTTGACTAACTGAAGAAGTCTGAGAATTTATTTATTTATTTATTTATTTATTTATTTGGTCTTTTTCGTTTTTACCGGTACCAGGGATCAAACTCACAACTGCCTGCTTCCAAGGCAGGTGCTTATGCCGCTGAGCTAAATCCCCAGCCCCTAACTTATTTTCTTTCTTTTTTTTTTTTTTTGTGGGGGGGGGAGTCTGAGAATTTAGAAGCAGGGAAGGCTCTCTGTCACTGAAATGAGGGTGCCAGTTGGGAAGGGTATTAGAGTTGCTCCCAGATGACCAGTTGGCAAGACTTCAGTACCACAACCACAAAAGAAGTGAATCCTGTAATTCTAGCACTCCAAGAGGCTGAGGCAGGAGTATTGCAAGTTTGAGTGCAGCCCGGGGAACCTAGTGATGTAAGTGAGATCCTGTCTCAAAATAAAAAAAATAAAAAATGGCTGAGAATGTAGTTTAGTGCAAAGACCCTGGGTTCAGTCCCCAGTCCAAAAAAAAAAAAAAAAGCCAAATATTTCCAACATGAATGAGCTCAAAAGCAGATTTGCCTTCAAAACCTCAGGATAGAACTCGGCCCAGTAGACAATCTTATTTCACTCTTAAGACTAATACATGAGGGTTGTTTTGAGCCACTAATCTTGTGGTAATGTGTTATGCAGGAATATCAACCTACTGTGTGCGCTCATGTGGACACACAGTGCTACTCTTGTGTAAGACATTCATTGGAATTCAGTCCTGGGAGGGAGTTGGAAGTGGGGAGGAACACACAGAGCTGTTCCTAACAGTGGTGCTGATCCCAGTAGAAGCAACTGTATCCCCTGGATTGGTTACCAGCAGCTAGCTGTTGCTGGTTCATGTCCCTGTTCTTCAGAGGGACTCGGTTCTAGGTGCTAAAACTCAGGTTCTAGGATAAAAAGGAGTAGTCCTTCAGACCCTTGCAGCCCCCCAGTCTTTTCCTGCACATGCAGGCTCAAGGTTCCCAAACTCACCTTGAAAAGCATCCCCCAATTTATTACTAGTACCATTAATTTGATAAGATATTGGGTTTTAATGTTTTTTTTTTGATATTGGGTTTTAATGTACACAATATATTTCAATCATATCCATTCTCCCATTGCATGACCTCTGATGTCCTTGTCTTGGCCATGGGCACCAGCTGGATAGGAAGCCCCTAGCATATTACCAGGCACACAATAGGTGCACACAAATAGTGTGTATTTTAACTATACTGAATGTTTGCCCCAAAATGGTGCCAGGGCTTGAGCAGATTTTAACTTGTTACCGAGGTCAACTGCAGTAAGTTCATAAGAAACCATTCAAAGATGTTTATTTGTGAACCCACGCAGAGCTCTCCCAAAACCCTAACCTTTAATAGCACGAGCCCTGCGTATCACAGCACCCTCACCAGGACACTCAGTCATGTAACAGATGCCTGTCAAGTGCCTCCTATATATTGGGGCTGGCAGTCAATCAGCAGTAAAAGGACAAAGCAGGGGTATAGGAACCCTGGAAGCCCCAGGTCAGGATGAAAACCTCAGGATCAGTGGACCCTGAGGAGGTTGTTAGTCAGATGCAGATTTCCTTTCACTCAGTTCTGCACAAATCCCTTCCTCTGCATCTCTCCCAACCTCCCAGACACCAGCAAAGTGGAGATTATTTCATTCTTGGGCAGAGCAGGGGTCCTTGACTCACTTCCACTCCTTGCTCCAGTTTTGACATCTTTGAACTCCCCACACCCTGGAGAGCCTGTCATTTTCCAGTTATCTCTTCAATTCTGCCAGCACCTGCATTATGACTTTCCCCACATCAGTCTTTAAGGCAGCCTTCTTTTGTCAAGACAAACCCTTCCTTGTACTCACCAGTTTGTAACACAGTGTTGTGTATCTGGTCACATCTATCCTATAGTCCAAGTGGCATTTTGTTGCTAGAGTAGATGCTTAATTCAGATTTCTTGATTTGGTTGAGATCGGTTTGCCTGTGGATGTGACTTGCTGTGGTCAATTTTGCTTTTCTATCCCTGCATCTCTCAGGTTTGGCAGAATAGCTTTTACATGTTATAGTTTACAAGAGACTGTGCAGGCTGCCTTAGAGTCCCCATCTGTGACGTGGGCCAGAATCACCTTGCTGTTATCCAGGCAGCTCACTAGTCTGTTTAAGGTCTCAAAATCCTCAGCTTCTGTCCTGCCACAGCAAGTTGCCAAGCCTCTGGCTCTTGAACTCTTCTTTAGTACTCTGGGTGATGAATGCCCCTGCTTTCAGGAAATGGTTGGTGAAGAGGCAAACAGCGGGATTCTCAATCTTTTTTCAGGCTTTGAGTAATCTAGTAACTACTATGTAACATAGAAAGGCTAGATAATAAAATAGTTGACCTCAGAGATCACCAGGCAGATCGATGTGTCAGTGTATACATGGATGCTACTGTAACCTGTGCTGGGTGCCCACCCAAATTTGTCTGACCTACCTCATCTTCTCTAATTCCTGACCAGGAACTCAGAGTGCCTGAGATAGACTGGGGCAGATGCATGGTGACATGGTGTGTCAGGGGCCTCCCCAACCCTGACCTCATGCATATAAGCATGGGTAGGCATCAGCATACATATTGCTATCAGCTGGAAAAAACTTGGGTATTATGGAAAAGTCTAGGAAAAGCTCTGAAACAAGCACCATTTGCTGACTGTCGACTTAATTTCTTCCCAGTGCATTTTGGGGTATGTTGGGTCGCCTGGTACAATTATGTTAGGTTAACCCCAAGGACTGTGCAGTCTCTGTCTCCAGGGTCCCCTTCTGACTGTCGGCTAGCCCTATGTGCTGAGGGTTCAGAGAAGCACTCTCTGAACACTGAGGTACAGGGCTAGGGTTTGTGTGTAGATGTCCCCCCAAAGCCTCATGCGGTCATAGGTGGGGTTTTTTTTAGAGGTGGCTGGATCTAGACTGTGTCACTGATTCATGCTGCAATGCTAGGATTAAGGGTAGATGATTACTAAATCAGTCTACTGATTGGCTAGGCACTTTCTTAATCCTGGTAACCTGGAAACAATATAAGGGACAAAAAGAGGCTTGTGTTCTCTGTCGTTTGCTTGCTTTTGCTGTCTTCTGTGTGCAATGAATGTTTTCCTTTTCAGTGCCCCTCTGTCGAGTGCCACTCTGCCTTGGGGCCAGCTAACTTTGAATTGAAACCTCTACAAAGTGTAAGCCAAAAAACTTTCCCCTTTTAACTGTGTGTGTCGGGTATTTTGTTTCAGAAACAGAAAAATAAGACATACACCCACTGCAAAAGAGACTAAACCAAGAGGACAGTAAGAGGTGGCGTGGTTTCTCGTCAAGCCATTTGTGGCTTTAATGGAAATGGATCGGCTCAGACTCAAGGGTAAAAAGATGAGGCGACGGCGGGAACCGCAGGACAGCGAGGAGCCCGCGCAATTGTGTGGGCAAATAGAGATAGCTTGGACGAGGAAGGCAGTAAAGGAATGGAGACCCTGGCAGGTCCATGTCGAGCAGGGAGATGGGCGAGACTCTGGGAGGTGCAGGTACCGTTCACGGGAGAGGCAGCGACAGGGCCAAGCTCGGTTTGCGGAAACGTCGGCAAGACCTTAAGGCAACGAGAATAGAGGGCTCAGCCGCTAGGGAACGGTTTCCTTCCGGAGCGCTGAGCGGCGGACCGGAAGTGAGAGCGGAGGTGCAGGGCGGTCGTCTCCTGCTAAGCGAATCATCGCGCGAAGTTCGAACTGGCTGACGGTGGAGGACGCAGGGTCTCCCGGAGGCGGTTAAGTTCTGCAAAACCCAGGATCTGCAGAAGCCTGAGTTCTGAAAAAGGTCCCCGCGGAGGCAAGTGGGCTGTGAGTCGCGGAAGTCCTACAACTGATTTTTTGCTGGAGAGGTTCGCGGGCAGGAGGCGCACCTTTGGAGCTCCATTTCGCGGTAGGCCTCGCTTGCGGTGGCTGCACTGCCTTAGGGGCGCCGTTCTTTCCTCCGTCTTTTGGCTTTCATCTGTCTCAGCTTCCAGAACAGACAGAGGCCTGGAAAGATTGATTGCTCCGGGCTGCATGGATTTGCGTTATTTGAGCGAGTTTGATTAGAGTACACAGATTGTGCGTCCTTGGATTCCTGCTACTTCTGTGACGCGGGTCGCCTTATCAAGTGGGATGGAGTTTTGTGGAGTGGAACTAGGCAGGCTCACTCACTTGTCGCTTCCAGGCCTTCCGGATCCTTGTGATGGGATCTAACAAGCTTGCCTTCTGACTTTCTCCACAGCGGGGAGTTCTAGAAAGACTGTGTGCGCTGCAGGGATTCCCACAGAGGACTGCATTGTGTGTCAGTGCCACGCGCTGAGTTGAGTGGCTGAGACCCTGAGATGGTCAGAGAGAACACCAGAAGGGGTTTGTCTTACCGACACAGACAGCCTGTACTTCACCCCGTCACCGTGGCCTCCTGAGAACAGGTTGAAATGCCCAAGATAGTCTTGAATGGTGTGACGGTGGATTTCCCTTTCCAGCCTTACCATTGCCAACAGGAGTACATGAGCAAGGTTCTGGAATGTTTGCAGAAGGTAAAGCTTTAGACCCTGAGGAATTTGTTCCAGCAATGGGTTGACTGAAACAAAGATCTGACGCACTCCTACTCAACATCCATGCCAGCCAGGCTCTAAATTCTATCATAAATTGGTCTTCTGGGTGAGAGACAGGATATAAGTGATCAAAAAAATTCTTTCTAAATGACGAGGGGTTGGGAGTGCCTTGGGGCTACTTTGTGGAGGTGGCATTTGAGCTAAGGTTGATGGATGTGGAGTGGCCATCATTTGGGGGTCTGGGGAAGTGTTTCTGTGTTGAGAAGCGTCATTGAAGCTCATCTCTCTCTTGGGAATGTCTCTGAACTTCAGGGGTGTGTTGCAGGGAAATGGTAAGGGGCAAGCAGCTTCTATTGGGTTTCTTTGGGGTACCCCCTTATACCCTGTTTACTCCTGCACAAAGTTTCCTGCTCAGATTTCTTTTTTTTTTTTTTTTTGTCTTTTTCATTTTTATCGGTACCAGGGATCGAACTCACGACCGCCTGCTAGCAAGGCAGGTGCTTATGCCACCGAGCTAAATCCCCAGCCCCCCTGCTCAGGTTTCTATCTCATATGTAGGACATCGGATTCTGTTTAGATAGGACAGGGTAAATGCCTGGCTCCAGAATTGCAGAACAGTTTCCTATTTTGAGACTTGGTACCTAATTAGTCATCTTACTATTTATATTGGCTGAAAAATAGTCTCACTTTGGGTAATGCTTTGCAAATTGTTTGCTAATAAGGGCTGAATTAGCCTGTGGCTTCTAGGGCTGCAGTGGAAAATCTTATATGGATTAATTTACCTCCCATGGGGTTTTTGAGAAGCTCTGTTCCACTGCTTGCTGAGCCTGCCCTCAAGGTCAGTTGTGTGGTCTCATGTCTCCTCTACCACTCTCTAACTCCTGTTGTGGACCTCATTCAGAAAGTGAATGGCATCCTGGAGAGCCCCACAGGCACAGGGAAGACACTCTGCCTCCTCTGCACCACGCTAGCCTGGCGGGAACATCTCCGGGACACTATCTCTGCCCGCAAGATTGCTGAGAGAGTACAAGGAGAGCTTTTTCTTAATCAGGACTTATCATCCTGGGGGAATGCCACCGCTGCTGATGGAGACTCCATAGGTGACCCTACTTCTCAGCCTCTCCTGGCCTCGTGTGGGGATGGTAGGGGGCGAATGGAGCTGGGGACAGGGCCATACACCTTGGCTGTTGCCATCTCTAGAGCAGAGTAAAATAAGGAGAATTTTGTAGCTTCCTTCTCTTCCTTCGCTTCTCACTATCATGGTATAAACACAAGATCAGAGCTTTTCCTTGGCACTAGGCCACCGTGGGGAGCCACTTCACCCATTTCTGCTAAGTGACTGTCTGGGTGTCAGTTTTGTGCTGGCTCAGGGCTGAGTTAGCACAATGCTACCTGTGTTAAACACACTCAAAGACATTGCCTTAGGGCCACCCCTTTTGTGTTTCCTTGTGCCTGGGCAGCTTGCTACACAGATATCCCAAAGATCATCTATGCTTCCAGGACCCACTCGCAGCTCACACAGGTGATCAACGAGCTTCAGAACACTGCCTACCGGTGGGTCAGCAGGTTCACACCTGCTTCAGTTATTGAGAAAATGTGCTTTTCATGTAGCTGGGTCTTTAGCCCAGCTGTGTATGTGCAGTTTTGCTGTATGGTGATAAGTGATGATGTTCTTCCTAGACCCATCCCAGGATGTGGAGTGTTTAGTGTGCAGTGAGAGGGTGAAGGCTGGGCAGGTTCTGATGGCCATTACTCGTGAGAAAAGCCCATGGAGCGTACAGTTCTTCTGTGAGCTGGCACTCCAGGCTCTTTTCAGGGCTTTGGTATTGGCAGTCAGCACTGGCCCTTCGGGGGAACTTCAGTTGTGAAAAGTGGAGGGTCTGGCCCTTGATAGAATTCAGCTGAATCTTGTTATCTTGCCCTGGCTTCGTTTTGAGGGTCGCTCTCTGGCCGTTTTTCCTGCCTTGCCTCCTGCCCGTTTCCCAAACCCGAACCACAGTTTAGCCACTGTGTTCCCACTGCCTGTTAAGTTTTGCATGTGCTTCCATATGTTTCCACATGGCTTATGCTATTGGACCACACCGTGGTCCATCTGTTTTACTTGAAGGCAGCTCCTCCTTGACCCTTGGTTTTCTTTTCCACCAGGCCCAGGGTGTGTGTGTTGGGCTCCCGGGAACAGCTCTGCATTCACCCAGAGGTGAAGAAGCAGGAGAGTAACCACGTGCAGGTGAGTTTCTGGGGACCTGCCCCACCTCTGTGGTTCTGCTGGGCAGGAGCTAGTGAGGGCTGAGGGACAGGTGGGTCCTTCCTTGGCCACTGCTCCAGCTGTGCACTCTGCCTTTCTCTTGCAGATCCACTTGTGCCGCAAGAAGGTGGCAAGTCGTTCTTGTCATTTCTACAACAATGTTGAAGGTAAGAGCAGCCCCTAAAACTACTGCTGGTGATCAACACACAGCAGAGTCAGATGGAGCATGCGCTTTTCTTTACCTTCTTTGGACAGCCAGTATTGTCGTGTGCCTAGCCACTGTCTTCTGACTTGAGGGGTCACCTGAATCGCATAAGTTCACACAATGACCTGTTCACGGTCTGGTCCTGAGTATGTGTTGGGCAGCAGGTACCTTTGTATCGCCTCTGTGACAGTCTCTTAAGTATTGGGTGTCAAGTCTGAGTTTTCCAGTAGACAGCATTCCACGTGTCTTTACCATAGTTCATAGATAGCAAGTTCAGCAATCTGCTTCCCCCTAACTTCACCCCATGCATCTTTTCCTTTGCTGACTTTGCTGTGATAAGTCACAGCCCCTCAGTGTGGCTCTGCTGAGTTTGAGTCCATCCTAGAGTAGACATGGCCTCAGAGATGACCTCATCCAGAAATGGAGTGAGTGAGCACAGGCCACAGCAAGCAGCCCTAATGACTGCACGTGTCTGTAGCCTGGGCAAAGTGCAGGGCAGAAGGCTGACACCCAGTGCCCATTTCCCATAACCCTACCTTCTTCCCATGTGAGTGCCATCCAAGGGCTTCTGAGGCTTATTACAGACCCCCCTCCTCCTCCCGGAGACAGTCGCAGGGTGAGCCAAGTCTCTTGCACAGTTTCACAGTCCCCTATAATCTAAGGGGTTGGACATTGGCAGTGCTGGCTGTGTGGTTGGCAGTTCGATCTTCTAGGGAATTCAGGTTCCCTCTATTTCCTGCTCCAGGGCTGGGACTGAGATGTTAATGTTGTATACAAGGGCTTGGGTATCAGCCCTGGGTCACATGTGAGGTATTGGTGGTCTGCTTTTAGCGCTGATGTTCACCGAGTGCGTGGTGCACAGGAGCTGAGCCCCTGGACTCTCAGTAGTGGTCACAACAGAGGCCAGAGTAGGGGCTCCTTAGCCTAGCACCAGGTGTGCCAAGAGACAGGATGGAGCGTGGCTCTGCGACATGGACCCCAGCTCCCTGGCAGCATGTATTGTGTTACCTTTTTGTGTTTTGGTCTAATGGCACCAGGACCCTCTATTACTTTAATATGTGATTATCCAGGCCTGCTGGGTGCTCCTAAGAAGCCAGACAATTGCACTGTGCCCCCAGGGACCCAGAAGCCACCCCCTCTGGCTTCAGTGACCTGAGACTTGACAGTCTGAGCTGGCTTGCTAGACGTGCTATTAGGAAACCCCCTGTAGTTGTCATTTCTTGTCCCTGTTGGCTTCCCTGAAAGGAGGGAAGACCTGCTGGGTGTCCCAAAACAGTAGGAGTAGGCCCAAAAAAGTAGGAGTATTTGGGCTGTAGGAAGGTGTGCACAGGGAGTACTAAGCATGATCCTGAGGCTTAAACAGGGACAGTCCTGTGGTCACTGGTCCTGGCCTCTGTTGGGGGACTGCATGGCTCATCCATTGTGTCTGGTTCATGGGTGTTATGTGTCTTGGGAGGTCTTTTCTCTCCCTTGTGCATCCCTCTCTCTCTTTTTTTTTTTTTTTTTTGGGTACCTGGGGTCAAACTCACTACAATGTGCTTGCAAGGCAGGTGCAAATGCTGCTGAGCTAAATCCCTGGCTCCCCATCCCTCTTTACAACCCTCTCCTGCCTGGGTCTTCTCATTACCCCTACACCACACCTGTGTTTGTTTGATACAGTTCTCCCCTCTGCCCACCACTGCTGCTTCTGTTGTTCTCTGCTCCGGCAAAGGAGGTGCATCAGGTACCTTGCTTGCATGGTGCCGAAGGGCCCTAGGGTAGCCCTAAGGGGAGCAGCCCCACAAGCTTCCACAGTTAGCTTGGGTTCGCACTTTGGGGCCTGTGAGTCTGGTGTTGTACCAGTGCTCATCTGCACTGGCCTTCACTAGAGAGTCTTTTGACTGACAGCAGCAGAGGTACATGTGCCAGCCCCAAGGCAGCAAACCCCATCTTGTGGGCCTAGACCTCTCATGGCAGAGAGGAGGACCTGTCCAGTTAGTTTGATAGCTCTGGGCTCTGGTTGGCCTCAGACCTAAGAGCTGCAGATCAATCTGCCAGTTCAGCTCCTCCCTGCTCCTCCTTGCTCCTCCCTGCCTGGAGAAAGGTTACCCAGCTGTGAACCTGCACATCTTTGCTGTGCCTGCTCTGGTGGGCTGTGAGGGTATGTCTCCAGCAGCTTCCAAGTCTTGGCTGTGTTTGGAGTAGTTTGCAGCCCCTAGAGGGTTTGAGAGGAAGGAGTGGCTTGTCTTGAGGTGAAGGAGAAGATGAGTGGAGAACTGGAATGCTGTCTGGCCGCTACCTCATGAAGACTTGAAAGGGGAACAGAAGTACTGGACTGCTATTTCCATTTAGGAGTTATCCTGGGGCAGGGGCAAGAGACAGCCCCGCTCACCCCTCTCTTTATGTGTCACCTTTCTTCTTCTTCTTCTTCTTCTTCTTCTTCTTCTTCTTCTTCTTCTTCTTCTTTTTTGTCTTTTTTGAGGCAGGGTCTCGCTATGCAGTTTAGGCTGGCCTTGAGCTTACTTTGTAGCCCAGGCTGGTCTCGAACTCGTAACGATCCTCCTGCCTCAGCCTCCCTATTGCTGGGATTATAGGCGTGAGCCACCACGCCCAGCTCAGTGTCACCTTTTTTCTAACCCCATTTCTGTATTGCTCAGTTCCCTGTCCAGGAATTGTGGCTAGCTGCTAGAGTGCATGCTGATTGGCCAATCTGTTGCTATGGCGCTGCCAAGGGTGTTCTTGTGCTTCCCTATTCTGCTATCCCTGGGGGCATTTTGGGAAGGTCACTGATGTGTATGTGTGTGTTGGTCTCTACAGTGAAGGACTGGGCCTCAGTTATGCTCCTGAGGGGCCTGGCTCTTGCTGGTATGGGCATGAAACAGTCACAGTAGCTCAGGAGCTGAAGGGGGGTGGTAGTATCTATATCTGGCTGCCCTAAGAGAGTGCTTGTTCCCTGAGGGTCCCTGGTTCTGCCCACAAGAGCAGGAGGCCGAGGAGTTGCTGCATTTGCTCCCCTGTGCTATGCCACCACAATCCCTAAGTTTCTTTGTGCCTTGGGCCTTGGGGCTAGCGTGGCTGGCGCCCATTTGCAGCCTGCTGTCCTGAGGAAGAGGCTGTCCACAGCTTAGGTCGTATGCAGGAGAGCAATCCTCATCTGAGGACAGGTGGGGCGACTCAGCTTAGAGTGGCCCTGCCCTCCCCTCTGTCTGCCCATGTCCTGCCTTGGCTCGTGCTTTTTGCCAGCTCCCGTGGCAGACACGACTGTCCTCCAGGTGGCAGCTCTGGTCTGTTTGGATTGGCGGCAAGCAAGGGGAATGGTGCTGCTACTTTCCCTGGAAAGGGCCTACTTTCCCTGGATCTCACTGAAGAGGTTTGGGCTGCTCCTGCCCCTTTCTCCAGGAGGCTGGGGGTTGTAGCCACTGTTGTCCTGGCTTGGGTGTCCAGGAGTAGAGAGGATGCCTGCAGTCTTTGGGATGACGTTAATGTCTGTCTGCGCTGTTGATGCTTTGCTTTAGGGTGGTTCTACCTTTTGTAGTGCAGAACAAAGCTCCCTCAGGGTCGCTTTGGGTGGGGGGCTCCTGTGGGAATGTGACCTACCAGGCAGGGGTTTTCTGACACTTTTACAGGGAGTAGATGCCACTCTCAGTGCTTCATAGGAGCTCTTATGTCCTGGCCATCTGAGGACACTTGAGTTGGACCCTAAGGTTGTGTTTGCCTGTGTCTCATCTGCAGAGAAAAGCCTGGAACAGGAGTTGGTTACCCCCATCCTGGACATCGAGGACCTGGTCAAAAAAGGGAGCAAGCACAAGTGAGATTCCTCCCACTGCCATGGCTACTATGTCTTTCCATAGTGGACTCTAATAAGGGAGGTGTGGATATATTTATTTCCACAAAACAAACAATTAGCATGAAAATTGAAGTAGTTTTGAGGAATATGAAGTAAAAAAAATGAAACTCCTTCCTATAACTCTCGACTTGCTTCTGATTGATCAGTGTCTATATTTTCATTTTTCAAAAGTTTTTGAAACAAGGTCTCACTGTGTAGTTCAGGCTAGCCTTGAACTCATAGTGATCCTTCTGCCTCACCCTCCAGAGTGCTGAGATTACAGGTGTGTGCCACCATGCCCAGCTGTCTGTATAGAAGTACACACATAGTCTTATTTAGACTTATTTTTTCCTTTAAAACTATGTCATCTAGGCTGGCCTCCTGCTGGTACCCTTCCTGCCTCAGCCTCACAAGTGCTGGGGTAACAGGCATGTATCTTACCACACCTGGCTTTACCTTTTTTTTCCAATACTGGGGATTGAACCTAGGGCCTGTCAACTAAGCTATATTCCTTAGCCTTTTTTTAGTTTGAGACGGCGTCTTGCTAAGTCACTAAGTTGTCCAGATAGACTTGAATTTGTAATCTTTCTGCCTCAGCCTCCCAAAGTACTGGGATTACTAGTGTGAGGTATCACACCCAATTCCAAGGGTCTCCCTATGTTCATTCAGGTTGGCCTTGAGTTTAAATTTGCCTGTGTAGCCCAGGCTGGCCTCAAAACTTGTGGTGCTCCTCCTGTATCAGTCTCCTGAGTGCTGGATTATAGGCGAGCGCCATCACTCTCAGCTCTTAAGTATATACCATGGGTAGCTTTCCATGCAGGTGCTTGGTGCTTGGCCCCATTCCTTCTGAGGTCAGTAGGTCTGCCTGACTCTTACAGCTTTGTGGATTTAAGTCATAATATACACTTAGGGCTGGGTATGTAGCTTAGTGGTGGAGCACAAAGCCCTAGATTCCACCCCCAGTACTGCAGAAGAGAGAAAGGAAGAGAGGGAGGGAAGGGAGAAAAGGAAGGAAAGAAGTTAGCCAGGCTGGCTTACATCAGTGGGAAGAAGTTCCATTTTTTTTTCTTTGTCTTTTTGAGACATGGTCTCACTATGCGATTCAGGCTGGCCTTGAGCTCACTTTGTAGCACAGGCTGGTCTCGAACTTGCAATGATCCTCCCACCTCAGCCTCCCGAGTGCTGGGATTACAGGTGTGAGCCACCACACCTGGCTAAAAGTTCCATTTTTTAAAGGATTTTTATGCTCTTCGTGTTTCTTATACTTCTTTCTAGGAGTAGGGTTAGGATTTTGTTCTGTTTTACTTTGTATAGTTTTAAAATCGATGATTCAAAGTCAAAAACTCAGGTGGGTTCCTCACTCGTCACAGACGCCAGTTCCTCTGAGAGGCTGTGCCACAGGGCCAGGGCTCCTCCCTGTCGGAGGGTGTAGTGGCTCAGGTCATGGCTGTGGCTCCTGTGCATCTCTGTGTGGGCAGATACAGGGTCTTCTCTTTCTTTGCTCCTAGAGTGTGTCCTTACTACCTTTCTCGGAACTTGAAGCAGCAAGCTGACCTTATTTTTATGCCGTACAATTACTTGTTGGATACCAAGGTAAGAACTCAGCTATCTATCAGATGACTCCTGATTCTGAGAGGGCATCCAGAGCTTTGCTGGTTCAGGCCCTTAAAGCAGCAGATGTGGGTGGGAGGACCGTAGTTTCCCTGGTCAGTGATAGAATTGTGGGGGACTGGCGGTGGCTGAAAAGATAAGAAGTATGAAATATAAATGACCTTTATTTTGAGAATGCGGGGAGAGACACCTCTGATCCCCTAGGGCGCGGCATCTCCCCCCGGGGTCGCGATCTCTCCATGGAACATGTGGAGTGGAGGCATACGTGTAGCTTAGGTTAGGGGTGTTGCCTGAGGGGCATTAGGGATGCATAGGCAGCCCATTGGTATGCTTTTGGCGCCATAGGTAAATCCCTAGGGGTGGGGGAGATAGGAGCTCCTTGGTTCCGCCTGGGGCTTTTCCAGCTACAGAGTCTGGCCTGGGCCAAAACCCTTTCAGTCAGAAGCAGTGCTGAGCTGCACATGCTATGAGCCAGTCATCCTGAGCACGCTGGGAGGGACAGGCGAGGAGAACCTAGGCTGGGGGTCTCAGGCCAGTATCAGTCCTTGCTTCTGACAGCTTGGCCCAGCCTCTGTTTCAAATTAGTTGATTGGAGGTGTAGATGACTCAGGAAACCGGAGCATTTCCCTGTGTATTCCTGAGTATTTCCTTATTCATACCTTTGTAGCATGTGTTCATCTCCCCCTGACCACCCTCCCTTTTTTTAACCTAGGTAGAATCATGCTCCATGAGTTCAGTGACTTGTACTTTCATTTGTAACAACACTGGGTGTCCTGTTCTGTATTTCTTTGTTGACTTGTTCATTCACATGGTGGATATTCTATGAAAACCCACTGTCTGGGGCACTATCCTAGGGTTAGATGCAAATAAAACCAGCATTGCTCTAGTGGAGTTTGGATTCTAGTGGAGGAGATAGCAGAGGAGTCTGCACAAAGCCAGTGCTTCTTGTCAAAGGGCGGAGTAATCGAGTGAACAGGCAGGAGGCTCCCATGGACACAGCAGAGTAAGTGTGGAGGGGAGTGGACTGGGAGGTGACTGCAGAGCCTTGTGGGAGGTGCCATGCCTGCAGAGAGCATGGTCAGATTTGATGTGGAGGACGGTGAGGTTTGCTGCAGTTGTAAATGACTTTCATTACTTGGTGCTTTCAACCCTGGCTACCATGGGATTCACCTAGAGAACTGCTAAAATCATGGGACCTGGACCGCACCAGGAATAATTACAGCATAGCCAGTAAGCCGATTTTAATGTTTACATGGGAATGGAGAAGACCTGGGAGAGCAAAACAGATTTGCAGAGCAGGTCTGGAGTTTGCCTGGAATGTCCAGCATGTGTTTGGAGATACACAGAATAGTGGAGCAATAGCAAATCCAAGATACCCTTTTGCAGGTACTACCTGGTTTTTGACATACATGTCAAGTAAATTCAGCAGGGAAAGGAATTTTATGAATACCTTTGTCCCAGCTACTTAGTAGACTAGGAAAAATGGGTCACAAGTTTGAGGCTAACCTGGGAAATTCAGTAAGATGTTGTCTCAAAATAGAAAGGGCTGGGAATAGATCTCAGTGTAGAGAGCTTAGCTAGCATGTGTCAGGCCCTGGATTCAATCCCCAGTATCACAAAAACAAAGCAGAAAACAACAAACACAAGTGTTTCACAGCAACAGAGTCTCATCGTCTCCTTGTCACTTACGGGCATGTGGCTGGTGCAGCAGCTCTGTGAGTACAGTGTGCTGGACAGCCCCACTGCAGGAAGTGAAGACCTGTGGCCGGAGATGGGTCAGACCTACAGTTGCCAAAAGCCGGAAGCTGGTCCGGTCAGGTCCACACACCAGAACCTGACAAGAGCGAGGAGAGGAGTACGTGGCTGGGCACGGAGCTACGAGGAGCGGATGAGCCTCATGCATGCTAGTGCAGGGAGCTGCTGTTAATGTGGCATTCTAGAGAAAGTAGTGGAGAGGTGGCAGTTACATGGTGCACACCACTATCAAAACCCAGCTATACACATATGTGGGCATTTTGTATGAAAACTAAGCTGCAGATTAAGGAATTAAGAAAAATACCAATACTCCATTCCTCTCCAAATTGTTTACATTGGGCTCTGGGAGAAGAATCTGCATTAGAATTTAAATCTTGAGTGTATACCAGGTGGGTAAGCAGGGGTGTGGACTTCTGTGACTGCGTAGCTGCCGTGGCCCAGGACTTGTGCTTCCTTGGCCATTTTTTTGGTCCGAGCACGTGTTCTTCATGCTGTATGTGAACCCTTGCCAAGGCCAAGTGCCTAGCAAATGTGTGGCTGCCAGTGGGCCTTGTGAAGGTGTTGCTGGGTCACTGTTCAAAACCAGCCTCGAGCTTCTGAGAGTTAGATGTGAGGCCATTTCCCCTCTGCCCCAGCAGTGTGTGGTCTGTGCTCATGGTGTTTGTTGCCCACTGCAGGCCTCGGCTTCCCTCTTTCCCTGCCCTCTTGGCTTCAGCCTGTCCTCTCTTCCCTTCTTCCTTCTAGAGTCGCAAGGCACACAACATCGACCTCAAGGGGACTGTTGTGATTTTTGATGAAGCTCACAACGTGGTGAGTCTGCCTGCCTCTGTGCTAAGGGCCTAATGTTTTTCCTGGATCCTTAAACCTTTTTAGGGGAACTCTCGAGACCCTAGGGGCCAGCTGTTAGGGTCCAGCAGATACAGACCCTTTTGTGCCATGCCTCCTGCAGTCAGAGGCCTCCACCAGGGCTGGAGGATGGCTAGCTGGGCCGTGGATGTTCCTTCAGACACAGAGTCTTTAGGCAGGCTTCTCTCAAACCCGGGTCCTGGCTGGCTAGTAGCAACAGTCTGATCCTGTGGCTGCCTGTGCTGCACTGTGTCAGCCTTCCTGCATTGTCTTACCTCAGGCCTTTGGGCCTGATACTTGGAAGGCTGCTGTGGAGAGCTACACAGCACTGGTGTTGTAGTGTCTGTAGCAGCAGACGGGTCCCCCACAGACCCTCCTGGTTCCCTTTGTCCTTTGTCTTTAGCACTCTTCCATCAACCTTACTGCTCTCTCTGAGCTACTTAGGGCTACTGCTTAGGGCTGTGTGTGTTTCTAGGAATGGCCTCATAGGAAGGCCACATGGGATAGTAGGGCCTGGCTGTTGTGGAGTCTGGGATAAGGCTTCTTCTCCTTCTTTTTCTTTTGGTACCGGGGATCGAACTCACGATCTTGTGCTTGCAAGGCAGGCACTTATGCCGCTGAGCTAAATCTCCAGCTATGGGATAAGGCTTCTTGAGAGCTGGGGCTCCCTGAGGCAGGGTCTGGTACCCTGGGACCGCAGTGGCCACTGTCAGCCTCCACTTGCAGTGAGAGGTGGTGGGCAATATGCCAGATCTTCTGACTTTTGAAATACAGATTTTAATGGGAAAATTTTCAAATACAACTATTGGCAATATAAGTGAAATAATAATTTAAAAACAATGTGGGCTAGTCAAAGTTTTTTGGACCAGCCTGTGAGCTGGCCTTAGTGTCAGGGGCCAAAACTCTGGACTTCCCTGTCAATTTCCAGTACTTTCTGTTCGTCCACTTCTCCCTGGATACCTGATCCTGCCCTGCTGTACCATGACAATGGTTTGTTTGGACCCTCAGGAGAAGATGTGTGAGGAGTCGGCCTCCTTTGACTTGACACCCCATGATGTGGCTTCAGGACTGGAGGCCATCGACCAAGTTTTGGAGGAACAGACCAGAATGGCACAGCAGAGTGAGCTCCAGCTGGAGCTCAGCATGGATCCCACCAGCTCAGGTGTGTTGACATCTGTGAACCGAAGGATGAGCTGAGAGGTGAGGTCTGACCCTCCCAGAGGCCAGGGCTACTAGAGATTGTTTGGTCTCCTAGCACCTTCTGCCTAGGTGGCGTTTTAGGATATCAGCTTGGAGAGAGTCATCTTGACCAGGGACAGCTTGCATTATCCCATGGTTCCAGCATTGTCTTTATGTCCTTCACCAGCTAGTATTGGCCTGCCCGCGACTGTGTAGAACTGAAAAACCAGGCATTTTTACTATGAAGCGCTTTTTAGTGACCTATGCCACATGTAACTTGCCATTTCCAACTTCCTTTCCTGTTGTTGAAAGGTTGTGTTTCCATAATAGTAATCCCAGGACACAAGTGATTGTTCATGTGTGTGGCTAGTCTGTCCATGTTTGCATACACCCTCTGTCAGTAGTGGACTTGGAGTGCACATTTCCTCAGAATGCTTTAACAGACGGGACACTCGTGTCTGGGGACAGTGCTTCTGGAGTGTCTTTGAATGTGCTGCTGTATCACTTAAGGGATGTGGGTGGGTGTCTTAGTCTCTTTCTCATTGGTGAGACATAGTATCCCACATCTACAATTTAAAGAAGAGGTTTATTTTGGCTCCCAGTGTGTAGAGGTTTCAGTTGATAGTTGGCTGACTCCAGGGCAGGATGGCATGGCAGTGGGGCATCACAGAGGAGAAACTGCTGTATGGTATGGCGGGCAGCAAGCAGGCAGAGATCAAGAGAGGAGGAGGAGGGAAATAGACCCTTTCAGGCCACGCCCCCAGCGATCAGTACTTCCTCCAGTCAGGCTTCAACTCCCAGCATCACATGTAGCTAGAAACTGACCAGTGGGCTTCTCCACACTGAAGAGTAGCATGGCCCAGTGATCCAGTCACCTCCCCAAAGCCTCGTCTATGAACACATAGGCTTGGGGGGACATCCAGATAGAAAGCCTGGTCATGTCATGCACAGCCTCACCTTCCCTCAGTGTCTTCTAAAGTCACACGCAGAGTCTGTCATGGAGAGCAGAGGCCCAGGCTGCCCCATCTTTGCTCTTCTCACAACATCTGCCTCTGCCCCTTTGGCCTAGGACCCCAGGCCTCCTGTACTGATAGAAAGAGGGAGCCAGGGATTTAGCTCAGTGACTCAAGCACTTACCTCATAGAGAGAAGATTTGCTTGGCACAGAAATTTTGGCTTCAGTGTCTCTTAACATTCTATTTTTTTTTGAGACAGAGCCTCACTAAATAGTTCAGGCTAGGCTCAAACTCAGCCTCCCAAGTGCTGGGATTGTAGGTGTGTGCCACCATATCTGACTTGACAATTCTTGTTTTTTGGTACTAGGGATCAAATATGACTTCATACTTGCCACATAGGTGCTTAGGCAGCTAAGCTAAATCCCTGGGTGCTGGCTTGACATTCTGAAGAATGATTGAACAACAACAACAACAAAAAATTAAGTTGGGCATGCTGGCACATACCTGTAATCCCAGCATTCAGGATGCTGAGGCAAGATAGTTGCAAGTTTGAGACCAGCTTAGGCTACAAAGTGAGTTCAAGGCCAGCCTGAACTGCATAGTGAGACCCTGTTTCAAAAGACAAAAAAACAAAGTTGAACTTTTTTGTGCACGTTACATTTATTGGCAATTTAGAAATTAAAAATGTTTTATACATTTCTTTTTTTTAACAACTTTTTTTTAAATTGGTACCAGGAATCGAACTCACGACCACCTGCTTGCAAGGCAGGTGCTTATGCCGCTGAGCTACCCAACCCTTTCATTTCTTTAATAACAAACTGCTACATATTTACTTAGTTTCCCAGAACTGCTGTTACAAAGTATCACAAATTGGGTACTGTAAAAGCCCCAAATATAAAGGTCAGCAGGTTTGGCTCCTCTGGGATCCTGAGGGAGAATCTGTGCCTGCCTGTGTCAGCTCTGGCAGCTGCCAGAAGTCCTGAGCTTATGGCTGCATCAGCCTAATCTCCACTGTTGTCTAAAGATGGTCTTCTGCTCGAAGGTCTGAGCCCTTTGTCCCTTTCTCATGAGGACCTCAGTCACTGGACTTCAGGATGTCCGGGTACACGATGACCTCATCATCACTGGACCACCTCTGTGAGGGTCTTCACCTTTCACAGCTTCTAGCAGCTGCCATCTCCCTCTGCTTATGGCCCATGTCATTTTCCCTTCCTCTTTCATCCTCACTTTTCCTTCTGTGCCTCTCCTGCCACCCTTCTGCTCAGCCAGAGCCCATCTGCCTGTATAATCCTGGATAGTCTGCCCTCCCAGGATCCCCACTTTAATCATATCTGCAGAACTCTTTTGTCATGTAAGGAGGTATAGTCATAAGGTCTGGGGATTAGAACCTGGGGGCTTTGGAGGCCAGGATTCTGCCTGCCACAGCTTTGGAAGATTATAGAATACTGTAATAAAATTAAGTAAATGTGGCCCTCCCAAAATATCTTGTACTTTAGGTTTTAGAAAGCTTAGCATGCAATTAATTGTTTTCCTTTTCTTACTATGTTAGGAGCTTCCAACTTCCAACTTACAGGAGACATATTACAGCTTCTTGGCATATTTGAATTAACAGTATCGCTGCTCTTGTTCTTGGGGCCCATTGTTAAGTTCAGTAAGGTTACTAGAATAGAAGCGTGGTGGTGAAACAACAGTCGTCCGATAACCGAGAAGGCTGTTGAAGATGAGTACCATGGGTGCAGAGCATTTACGGAGTAGATACACAGAATAAGGAGCAATTTATGTTGCAGGCTGGATGGAGGTGGATGGCACAAAATTTTACCCATTCAAAATGGCATAAAGTTCAAACCTTAGACTGGGCATGGTGGCACATACTTGTCTGTAACCCCAGCATTTGGGAGGCTGAGGCGGGAGGATCATTGCAAATTCAAGACTAGCCTGGGTTACAAAGTGAGCTCAAGGGCAGCCCAAACTGCATAGAGAAACCCTGTCTTAAAAGACCAAAAAAAAAAATTCGAACCTCACAAATAAATTGTTTCTGTAGTTTTCCATTTAATAGCTTTGGGCCACCATTGACCTTGGGTAGCACTGTGTCGCTAAGCTATGATGCTTGACAGGAGAGGTATGTTGAAGGCGGGGGGTGGGGGGCGCTGAGGGGTTGGGGGGTGCATGCGATTGAACACACCATGTTTATGTTGACCTATATCCCCACGCTTTCTGTTTTGTTTATTTTGAGACAGGATCTTGCTAAATTGCTAATCCTCCTGGCTTAGCCTCCTAGAGTACAGGGATTACAGCTTTGTGTCAAGATGCCTGGTTTCCTCTGTTTTAGTGGTCCTGGGAACACAGCCTAGGCCTTATGGATTCTAGGCAGTGACTATGCCACTGAGCTACGTCTGCACGCCTGAAGGACATTTCAGCAACTTCCATCTCATGATGTGTCTATGGGAATGTAACCCATCACAGCTGGAGGAGTGTCTGTGTACGAACAGATCTCACTAGTGGTTTCCCAACTGAGCGGGCTATGGTGGCATGTGGCTGTAATCCTAGCACTGGGGAGGTTGAAACAGGAAAATTACTAGGGTTTCGAGCCAACCTGGGCTACATAGTGAGTTCAAGGCCAGCTTAGACTACAGAGAGGCCCTGTCTCACAAAATGAAAAAGAAAAAAAGCTTTTCACCTGTCGTCATACCTCCAAACATGACAAAAGCCAGGACCCTGCTGGAAACTGGCCTGCTGCAGGCTCTTAGGACTTTCTTCACCTCGCTTTATCTTCCACAGCCATGAGGTTTTGAAAAGCTGGTTGTTTTTGTCAGTGGTCCCGTAGCTGGTCTTTGTCTGATGTTTCCCTGCAGCCAGATTTTACCCAGAAGCGAGGCATTCTCTACGTGTCATGTAGGAGGTGCAGCATGTCTGTGTGTTGCACTCTTGGGGTGTCAGCTTGATCACTTGGTCCACATGGACATGCCAGGCTTCTCTACTGTGGAGTCATTTTTTTTTTTTTTTTTTTTTTGGTGCCAGGGATCAAACTCACAACCTCACACTTGCCAGGTAGGTGCTTATGCCACTGAGCTAAATCCCCAGCCCCTGTGGAGTCATTTTTGCCATTTGCAATTCTGGAGTCATGTGTGCCATCCCTTAGTGATTCATCCCTGAATTCATGCATTAATATGATGTTTACAGAATGAGTCTTCTTGCCCTTTAACTTTTTAAATTTCTTAGTTGGGTTCTTATATAAATGAGGTTTGTTTGTTTTGTTTGCTAGAGTCTTGCTCTGTGGCCCAGGTTGGCTTTGAACTCTCAGTCTTCTTGCCTTAGGTTCTTACTGTTTTATTTTGTGAGTCAGGGTCTTACTAAGTAGTTCAGGTTGACTTTGAATTGAATTCACTATGTAGCCCCAGCTGGCCTCTGACTTGGCAATTGTCCTGCCCCAGCCTAATGAGTGCTGGGATTACAGGTATGGGCTAGCATACCAGGGAGACTGGTTTTAAACTCATTATGTATCCCAGACTGGCCTCAAATTCATGGCTGTCTTTTCTGCCTCAGCCTCTCGAGTGCTGGGATTATAGACGTGGGCCGACTGGTTAGCTTCTTTAATTCTGGGATTTCAGGTATATGCCACCATGCCTGGCTTTGACTCATAGATTCCTGCTTAATTCATCAGACTATAATCTCTTACTAACCTTATTATGTTAGTGCTCACATTGTTCCCAGTTTGGCAGAGGAGCTCCCCAGGCTGTGCTGTGCCGTCTGACGTGAGTCAGCTGTTCTCTGAGCAAGGCCTGACTTTCCGGGATGAGGTACTCCGAGTCCACCTCAACTTCCTGTCCCGGCCCGGAACTGGAACTTCCTCAGGAACCCTGAGTCCTTGTGCTGGAGAGTAGACTTGGATGCCAAGTGCTGGGCTGTGTTGGTGCTTGTTGCTCCAAGGGTGTTGCACATGCGCACAAGCTCATCTCCCTGTGGTGCCTGCATGTGTAATCATGACTCATGCTTGACTCTCCAGTCCTGGGCCAGAGCCCCAGGATCAGTCCAGCTTTCTCCCAGCCTGTGTTTCTTTGTTTTTTTTTTTTTGCTTTCTGAGACAGGGTCTGGCTATGCGGTTCAGGCTGCCTTGGGCTCACTTTGTAGCCCATGCTGGTCTCAAACTTGCCACAATCCATCTGCCTCAGCCTCCCAAGTGCTGGGACTACAGGAGTGCACCATCACGCCTGGCTTTGTTTGTTCGGTTTTTTGAGATAGGTTCTTGCTCTGTAGTTTCAAGCTGCCCCTGAACTCACTGTGTAGCCCAGGCTGCCCTCAAGCTCACAGTGATCCTCTTGCCTCAGCCTCCCGAGTGCTGGACTTACAGGGTGCACCACCACTCAGTTCAGCTTGTGTTTCTTTTCTTTTTTTGTACTGGGGATCGAACTCTCAACCTTGTCAGGCAGGTACTTACGTCCCTGGCCAGCCTGTATTTCTAATATCTCCTTTTTTAAAATTTCCTTTTTGACAGTAAGAAAACTCACTTTCACTTTCTCTAACATATTTATTTGTTCAACACTAGCAAGCTGTACATTTGTTAGAATTGCTAATCTAACCATGGTAAATGAAGAATTTGCTTACTAGAGATACAAATTTGTTCAGTTTTTTTCTTTTTTTCTTTCTTGTTTTGTATTTTGAGACAGGGTTTCATTATGCAGTTCTGGCTGGCCTGAAATTCACTTTGTTTTATTGTTTTTTTCAATCTTTTTGAGACAGGGTCTTACTGTGCAGTTCAGCCTGGCCACATGCTCAATTTGTAGCCCAGGCTGGTATTGAATTTGCAATGATCCTTCAGCCTACTGAGTGCTGGGATTACAGGCATGTATTACCACACCCAGTTTTAAACTCACTTTGAGGCCCAAACTGGCCTTGAACTCACAGTAATCCTCCTGCCTCAGCCTCCCAAGTGTTGGGATTACAGGCATGCACTGCCACACCCAGTTGTTCACATGTTTTTTTGGTCACTGTGCTGAGAGCACATTGTCAGAAATACTGTTAATATTGTTAATATTATTTCAGAACTTCAATAAGGCATGTGTAGAAGAAGTTTTTTTGTTACTTTTTTGTCTGTTCTCCCTCCCTTCGTTCTTCCAAATAAGAGATTGTACTAGAGTTCTCCAGGAAATAGAGCTAATGGGATATATAAGATATGTAACAGATACATCTGTATCTGTTATATAAGAGATTTGTCACTAGAGTTGGCTCACATAGTAATAAAGGCCAAAAAGTTCCATGGTCTGCTGATTGCAAGTTGGAGATCCAGGCAAGCTGGTGGTGTCGTTCTGCCCAGAGGCCTGGACCCTGGGGTGGCTGACATGTGAAGCTGGAGGCCTGAGACTTGGGACTCCCCTGTCCAGTGGTACAGAGAGGGCGTGTGCCTGCTCAGCCTTTCTGTTCTTGTGGAGTCCCCTGTGGCTCAGATGCAGCCTGGCACTGCGGAGTGCAGATATTACACATCAACAGACCCGCAAGGCAGCCTCTTCCTGGGCATATTTGGAGGCTTTCTGGCCACTCAGCCCACTAGTGCTAAGGTATCATCTCTGAGCTGCTACTGCAGTCTGTCTGCCCTCTTTGTGCAGCCACAGTTTGGAGACACAGCTGGCCCTCTGTATCTGTGGGATCTGCCAACTGTGATCGAGAAATTTAGGAAACCACAATTTGTCTTGTCTTCTGACCTTATACAGTTTTTTCCTTGTCATTATTCCTTAAACAATGCAGTATCATATCTAGTTATGTAACATTTACATCTTAGAAATCATCTAGAGATGATTTAAAGTGTACAGGCGCACGTGTGTAGGTTTTACATAAATACAGTGTCATTTGAGGGTTTTTTTAGGGTACTAGGGATCGAACTCATGACCTCGTGCTTGCCAGGCTGGTGCTTGTGTGGCTGAGCTCATTTCTCAGGGGGTGGAAAAAGATTTATACATAAAATGACCCAACTGAAAAGCAGAATGAGCAGAAAGACTGAGCAGACGTGTCAGATCCATTCAGGGAGATGAGAAAGAGTGTGGGGAAAACAATGGCTAACAATTTTTCAAGCCTGTCAAAAGAACTGTAAATTCTAGAGACTACATGACTCGACAAAGGGTAAACTCATGAATCTGCAAAGGGTAAACTGAAGACAGCCTACACCAAGACACAGCCTAACTAGTGAAAAGTAAAGCAAAACAGTTTGGCTCAGTCAGAGACACAGTGTGTTATCAACAGCATAGGGTCATTCAACGGCAGTGGACTCGTATTGGCACTGGGCCCAGAGCCGTGGAAGACACTCTTCCAACACTAGCAGGCGACCCAACTGAAAAGCAGAATGAGCAGAAAGACTGAGCAGACGGGTCAGATCCATTCAGGGAGATGGCGTCATTTGATACAATAGGTCTGAGCACCCATAGATTATGGTACCTAAGGAGGGCTCAGGACTCAGTCTCCCTGTGATACTGAGGAGTGACCACACTTGCTTGCGATTTGTGCTTTGTCCTAAGATAGTTACCTGTAAAGAGCGTGCCCCATCACAGACTCGAGACACTCTGTCTGTGGTGTGAGATGTATCCAGTACTTTGCATTCACATTCGTGTGATTAATCCCTCATTTGGGAGTTACTTCAGGCTTAGTTTTGAGGAATGGCTGGCTAGATTGAACGATGTGTTTTTGCAGAGTTGGAGTGTGAGCAGACTTCTCTTCTATGGGGAAAAGTGGTGCCAGTGGACATCCCACTCCCAGTGAGCACCAGCCCTGCCCTGTGGGGCAGTATGCCTGCAGAGTTTTTAATTTTTTGCCAGTTTAATTGATACAAAAATTGATCTTGGTTTGCTTTTCTCTATTTAATTTCCAGAATGAAATTAAACATCTTTCACGTGGCCAGGACCTGTTTCTTCCCAACAGCCATCCTAACGGGTGTGAGGGTTGATTCTCTGGGTTTTTTGTGTTTTTTTTTTTTGCCAGGCAGGCGCTTAAGCTGCTAAACTAAATCCTTGGCCCTTTTTTTTTGTCGGGGGATTGAACTCACAGCCTCACGCTTGTCATGCAGGCACTTACACCACTGAACTAAATCCCTGGTCTGATTCTCCTAGTTTTTAAGTCATCATGTAATTCAGCTTTCATGTCTCTTTAGCTTCATTTTGGGTGTGACAATTTTTAGAGTTTACTTGGTTTTGGATGACCTCCAGGTGGACTGGTCAGTTCTTTTGTAGAATGTCCCTTAACAGGGATTAGCTGGTGTTTTTCGGATGGGTGGACTGAGGTTATGGATTTGGGAGGAAGGTCACAGAGGTAGAGAGCCATTTCTGCACATCGTACTGTGTGAGTCACAGCATGGATGCGGGCCTTGACCCCTGCCTGAGGCAGTGCTTGGCAGGTTCTTCACAGTACGGTAACTGACATTGCTCCTTTTCCCTCCTCTGCCTGCGCTTCTCCTTGGAAGAAGTTGTTGAGCTTAGCCCACACCTAAGGAATGGGGAGTTTTGCCTAGATGTGAATCTTGACCTCACAATAGGTACTTAGAAAGAACGTTTTTAAAAAAAGTACCAAAAGAAAAAGTAGGTAAATTGGACATCACTGCATTGAGAGACTTTTATGTCTCAGAGGACACCACCAAGACAATGAAGGGACAAGCTGAGTGTGGTGGGGCTTGCTATGATCCCTGGTACTTAGAGGGGTGAGGCAGGAGGCCATGAGTCTGTGGCCAGCCGGGGCAAATTAGGAAAGACCAGTCTGAAAACAGAAAAAAGTGGGCAGGTAGTGCGTGTGTGTGTGTGTGTGTGTGTGTGTGTGTGTGTGTGTGTGTGCGCGCTTTCCTAGCCGCCATGAGACCCTGGATTAAACTCTAGTACCAGGATGCTGGGAATTTAGCTCAGTGGCATAAGCACCTGCCTTGCAAGCATAAGGTCATGTGTTTGATCCCTGGTACCAGTTAAAAAACAAACAAACAAAAACCTCTAGTACCAGAAAAGAGAGACAGAAAGGGAGGGAAAAAGCTGTAACAAAATACTGTAGCTTAAATGACACCAATTTAATTTCCACATTTCTGGAGCCTGGGAGGACTAAGACCAAGGTCAGCAGAGCCGGGTCCTTCTGTGGCCACCCTCCCCTTGCAGAAGGCTGCTTTCTAGGCATCCTCGTGTGGACTTTCCCAGGTACCTGGTATCTTGCCTCACAAGAGCACTGGTCCTATTGAATTAAGTAAGACTCTATCCTGTGACCATAGTAACCTCGTTGTCTCCTTTAAGGTTCTGTATCAAAGTACAGCCACACTGAGGTTGGCCTCCAATGTGTAAAGGGGGGGGTACAGTTCAGCCCATGACGCACAATTTGGGATGGGGGTGGCACCAATCAGTATTTGTGGGGAAATATACAGGATGTTTGAAAAGGCATGTTTAGAAAGGCATCATTATATAGGCCATTATTAATTTGCGTTTTTTAAAAATTAATTTAATTTTTTGGTTTTTTTTTTTTTTTTTTTTTGTCTTTTTGAGACAGGGTCTCACTATGCAGTTCAGGCTGACCTTGAACTCACTTTGTAGACCAGGATGGTCTTGAACTTGCAGTGATCCTTCTGCCTCAGCCTCCTGAGTGCTGGGATTACAGGAGTGCGCCACCACACCTGGCTTGCTTTTTATTTTAAAAAGCAAAGCACAAGTATAGAAAACCTCATAAAATGAGCACATTGATTAAGTAATTAGTAAGATGTTAAGCAATACCATCAGATCTAGAAAGAGGATTTTACTGTCATGGGAGCTCCTTGGTCAACCACAGCCTTCCTCCTCCAAAACTGGTCTCTGGCCATAGCTGAAATCATAGCTCTTCACATCAGTGCAGGTCTGCAAACACTAGTTTGCAGTTGTCCTATCTAGTTGTCCTCTTTAGAGTATGGTAAGCTTTGTTTCTTTCCAAATGTGTCTTTTGGTTCACCTTTAGGATGGTTATCTACTTATATACTTCTACATACAGAGAACTCACCAGATGAAACTTTGATTTTTGCCAACAATCAGCAATTAAAAACACAACTGTTCAGTGGGCCATGTTAGTGTATGCCTGCAATCCTGCTATTTACCTCTAGTCCTAGCTCCTTGGGAGGCTGAGGCAGGAGGATCACTTGAGCTCAGGAGTTGTAGGTCAGCCTGAACAACATAGTAAGATCCTGTCTAAGAAACAAAACCAAGCAAACAAAAAACCAAAACAAAATACAGGTATGGTGGTACATCCCTGTAATTTCAGCCACCATGGAGTCTGTGGCAGGAACACAAGTTCATCACAACTTACTGGGAAAGTAGCTCAGTGGTATACCTCTTGCTGAGCATGTGGAAACCCTGGGTTTAATCCCAAATGCTGCAAATGGAGGGGAAAAAAAAGAATTATCATTAGCAGTTGCCTAGCCGTTCACTCCTGTGCTCTTTCTTCCCTTCCTGGTTGTTCAAGTGTTCTTCTGATTCTATTTCCTTTGCTTCTGCAGGACTCCCAGCACTTGTGTTATTTTAATTGGCAGGGATATATTTAGGGTACGATTAACAGTTTTTCTAGAAAAGGGATACTGAGAGATTCTTCTTACATCTAAGACTATCTTTTCTTCACTCTTTTTTTTTTTTTTTTTAATTTTTTTTTAATTTTTTATTTTTTTTTGTCTTTTTCCTTTTTATCGGTACCAGGGATCGAACTCACGACTGCCTGCTTGCAAGGCAGGCACTTATGCCACTGAGCTAAATCCCCAGCCCCTTTTCTTCACTCTTATAAGTGTAGTTTTGCTGGGTTGGAGTTCTGTGGCCATGGCTGTCGCCTGCTAGTGTTGGAAGAGTGTCTTCCACGGCTCTGGGCCCAGTGCCAATACGAGTCCACTGCCGTTGAATGACCCTATGCTGTTGATAACACACTGTGTCTCTGACTGAGCCAAACTGTTTTGCTTTACTTTTCACTAGTTAGGCTGTGTCTTGGTGTAGGCTGTCTTCAGTTTACCCTTTGCAGATTCATGAGTTTACCCTTTGTCGAGTCATGTAGTCTCTAGAATTTACAGTTCTTTTGACAGGCTTGAAAAATTGTTAGCCATTGTTTTCCCCACACTCTTTCTCATCTCCCTGAATGGATCTGACACGTCTGCTCAGTCTTTCTGCTCATTCTGCTTTTCAGTTGGGTCATTTTATGTATAAATCTTTTTCTACCCCCTGAGAAATGAGCTCAGAGCATTATGTTTGCTAGGCAAGTGCTCTGACACTGAGCTACACTCCCATCCTTTTAAAATTTTATTCTGAGACAGGGTTTCATGAAGTGACCCAAGCTGGCCTCTAATTTTTACCTCCAAATAACTGTGATTATAGATATGCATCATTGCCCCTGGCATATAAATTCGTGGTTTTTGGTTTGTTTTTGTGGCACTGGGGGTGAACCCAGGGCCTTTGTCCAAGCTGCATCTTCAAGCCTTTTTATTTTTTGGGATAGGGTCTTGTGGAATCACTCAGTTGCCTAGGATGGGCTTGAGTTTGTGATACTTCTTCCTCAGCCTCCGAGAGTGCTTGCATTACACGTGTGCTTTTGGCTTCTATCTCTTAAGTTGTGGTTGTTTTCTGCCATTCTGTTACTGAGCCTGCCAACTACATTTTAAAGTTTGGCCATGTGTTTCTCATTCTACATATTTTAATTTGTTTCAGGAGAGTTTGTGATTGCTTGTTGGGGCATTTCTATGATGAGTGCTTTAAAATCCTTGTCAGATTCGAATATCTATATTATGTTGTTTTTGATATCTGTTGCCATTTCTCTTTTGAGTTGAGGTTTTCTTTTTTTTTTTATCGGTACCAGGGATCGAACTCATGACCACCTGCTTGCAAAGCAGGTTCTTATGTGGCTGAGCTAAATCCCCAGCCCCGAGTTGAGATTTTTCTTGTAGGTGTGTTTGTTTTGTAACAAATAATTTTGGTTTCTAAACACTGAATTCTTCATTAGAAGCCTCTGGTTCTTACCTGTTTTAGCAGGCAGTGCATCTATATAGATGCAGAGTGTGTGTCCTGGTCCACCTGGTCAGTTTAACCTTCAGAAACTTCTGGAGCCATTATCATTGGCATACTGTATGCCACCCAGGGACAAGTCTGAATTTGGGCAGTTGCCCGCTGTGAGAGTACAGCCCTCAGACTTTACACAGCTTCAGGGGGAGGAGGTTCACGAACAGATTCACGAACAGATTCAAAGGATCCCTTGTTGGGTGGGCGTGATGGTGCACACATCTGTAATCCCGGCACTCTGGGGGCTGAGTACAAGGTCAAAAGTTTGAGTCTATCCTGGGTACTTAGTGACTTAGCAAGACCTTGTCTCAAAAGAAAAAAGGGGATGGGGGCTGGGGATTTAGCTCAGTGGCATAAGTGCCTGCCTTGCAAACAGGCAGTCTCGAGTTTGATCTCCGGTACAGATAAAAAAGAAAAAGACCAAAAAAAATAAAATAAAATAAATAAATAAAATAAAAAAAAAAAAAAGAAAAAAGGGGAAAAAAATTCCTGGTTCTTGGGGACCTGGTGGGCAGTTAGGATACAGCAGAATTATGCATGTGCTGGTCTCTTCCCCAGGATTGAACATGCAGCTGGAAGACATTGCAAAGCTCAAGAGTAAGTGCCACTCTCCCTCACCCCTCCTGCCGGTGGAGCCTGCCCTTGACCCTCCTTGACCCACAGTGATCCTTCTTCGCCTGGAAGCGGCCATTGATGCTGTCCAGTTGCCTGGAGATGGCAGTGGTGTCACCAAGCCAGGAAGGTGAGGAACAAAGGGTAAACCCTTGACCCAGGCTCCTGCCTAGAGTGGGTGTCTTTGTCCTCACGGTGTCCTGCTGGCTCTGACTATGCAGGCCTGGGGCTTCATCTATCAGTGGGGTCTGTTTTTGATTCCAAGATCAACAAGAGGTTGTCAGCTCTACGTGGTCGATGAGACCCTTGGGAGTCAGGGCACACACTGGCACACATTGTGTCCTTCAGTTCTTTCCTCCCACTGTTAGCAGTGCAGGTTGGAATGGGGCCTTCCTCTTTAGCACAATCAGTGCTGTTACCCACCTGTTCAGGACTCTAGGCATCCCAGAATGTCCAGAATGCTCCTTCGCTGCCTAGTTTTCCAGCAGCCTATGCCAGTAGGGGCTTCTGTCTGGTAGGCAGATGAGCTATCACTGTGGCAGCTCTCCTGGGCATACCACTGATTACAGGACTTCCAGTTCTTTCAGATGAAGCTTTGTTCCCCAGCTTGAGATTCAGGGCTCCAGCTTGGCCCCTCAGCCTGCCCCAGCCTGTACTGAACCCTAGGGGTCCTCTGCTGGTCCCTATCTCTTTTTCCAAAGCACTTGGGGGCCTCACTCAGAAACACCACCCTAGGGAAGCTCTGAGGACCCTCCCTCTACCCTGCTGTGTTGACCCCTGGACTAAGTACTTTGGTCTTTTCTTTGGTATGTGGCTGTTGTGCCAGGGCCCTTTCATCTCTACCCCTGAAGGCACCCCTGAAAGTTCTGAGGGCACAGGCCTTTCACCTTGCTTTTGTTAATCCTATAGGACTCAGCATTTGTTTCTGAGTGGAGGAAGCTTAAAAAGCCTTTCATGGGGCTGGGGATCTAGCTCAGTGGCATAAGCACCTGCCTGGCAATTTTGAGGTTGTGAGTTCCATCCCTGGCACAAAAACAACAACAACAACAACAACACGGCTGCTCACCTATAAATTCCCAAAGCAGGCCTGGTTCCCTGGCCAGGCTCAGGTTTGTTTTCTTCTCTCTATCAGCTATATCTTCAACCTATTTGCTGAAGCCCAGATAACATTTCAGTCAAAGATCTGCATCCTGGAGTCACTGGACCAGATCATCCAGCACTTGGCAGGACGTGAGTCTCTAGCTTGCTGTGTGGGGCATGTCAGGCCAGCCCCTTTGATGCAGACAGGAGTGGGCAGAGCTGCCCTACTGGTGGCCAGCGCAGTTGTGCGGTAGCCTGCTATCTAGTATGCTCTTCCCTGTGAGTGGGAGTCTGACCTGTGGGGCTTTCCCTTTTTGCCTGGGGCATTGAAGCATTTGCACCATTTGACAGGCCCTTGTGCTCTTGTTCCAGCTTTGCTGTTAGAGGTTTCTTTCTGTTGTGTCTCACTTAGTTTCTCTTAGAAGAGGAAAAGCAGGAGGCTTAGGCAGGCTTGCTGAGCTGTGGCTCCCAGCAGCTTCTTCCTCACCCCACCCTGTTTCTATCCAGTGGTGAGGTCCCGAAGGCTTCCCAGGGCTTGGCGTCATCCCAGCCTGAAGCCATGAAACCCCCTTGCTGGGTGGGCATTGAGGGAGGTTTGAGATAGGACTCGAGTCTGCTGAGCACCTGGGCACTGGAAGCTGGCAGCTCCTACACTTGTTTGACAGCAGAGCCTTTTTGTCAGCAGATTTCGTCTCCACGACTTCTGGAGGGCCTGTCCCTCTGGCTCCCAGCTGCCCTCCTTTAGCATATCCCATATTTGACTCTCAGTTGGGGGGAAGCTGGTCACCCAGCAGCTATGAGGTACAACTTGGCCACGTGGTCATGGTTCCTGGTCCTGTGGGTCTGGGTGGATATTACCTGCACGCAGTGGATGTCAGCCTTTTGCTGTCCCCACAGGTGCTGGAGTGTTCACCAGCACGGCTGGGTTGCAGAAGCTCATGGACATCATCCAGGTAGGAACTCGAGGCATCTCCTTTCCTGGTGAAGTTGGGAGGGGTGTCAGGGACTGGACAGAGGCCTCACACCACATGTATCTGATTAGCAAACCCAAAATAGATTTACTACCTCCTGTCCTGAACTCACTGTGGGCCTCTAGGGAGGCCACAGAGCATAGATCTGGCTGTGCTTGGCTACTTAATGGCCAGACACATCCAGGGTGGTACTCTAGAGTTAGAGCAAGGAGTCTCTTACCCCTGCCAAGAGGCCCATCAGGACCTCTGGTTTGCATATAGGCCCAGAAGCTCCAGATGGGCTCAAACCAGTACCTGGAGACAAATGACATAATTACTAAGCAACTTCTCAGGGGAAAGAGAGATGAGGTCCTGGTGAATGTCCTGTTCTTTGAGCCTCTGATGAAGAGAGAGACTCAAATATGACAGTATGTCACAGAGACTGCCTGTGGGAGGCCCTGAGCAAGAGAGATGTGTGACTGTGGGAGCACCTCAGACACACAGGGTGAACGCAGGAGCACCCCCCAGACACACGGCGTGACTGCTGGAGCACCTCACAGACATGGCTTGACTGTGGGAGCACCTTACAGACACCGAGTGACTGCAGGAACCTCTGACAGAGTGACAGTGTAGTTGCAGGAGCGCCTCACAGAGAAATAGTGTGTGTGTCTGTGGGATTATCTGACAGAGAGAGACAGTGGGGAGCCCTGACACACACAGAAAGGCCGATGTAGGACTTTTTGACAGAGACAACCTGGGTGTGTGAGAACTCTTAACAGGGAGAAATCGGACTGTGAACGGACCCTGACGGAGTGAGAGAAACACTGCTGTAGTCACCTCTGCTGGTGAAAAGGGTGGGCTTGTGAGAACTCCTAATGAACATAAGCACAAATGTGGAAGTCTCTGATGGAGAGAGAAATGTGATGGAGTCCTGGAAGAGGGAGAGAGACCGTGAGACAGGGACGTGGAGCCCTTTCCCCTGCCTCAGGTTTCTTCCTGCTTCATAATGTATGTGGCACCCCTCTGCCTACCTGAAGTCCAGCTGTTTGTCTCTTGGCCCAGCTGAGCCATTTCCTCAGCTCTAGTGGATAAGCCCAGATGGTCAGGGGTGGGTAAGGTGCTGTTCAGAGGCCTGGGAACCATCTTCCTTGCCCTGCTAGGTTTTCAGAAGCAAGCTGTGAGGCGCTCTGACTGTGAGACCTCAGAAGCCCTGTGGGAAACTGAAGCACACGAGGCTCTGTACTGTGTGCTGTTATTTGAAGCTTCTTTTGGGTGCTTCTGCCCACGCTATGCTTCTAGGCCACTTGAGGTCATGGCAGTTGGGCAGGAGGGTCTGGGTCACATGACCATTCAGTGATTGCTCCCAGGGCATCTGCTGCTCAGGGAAATGGCCTAGGTCTGACTCTTGGGTCTCTGCGGTGTCCAGTCTTTCAGGCTCCCCAGACCCCTGCAGCAGTAATTGTTATGCCCTCTTTCTTGGGAGTTCTTGGCCCAGGGGAAGGCCTGGCTGTTTCTGCCAGCAGACTGCTTTCAGCATTCTTGCCAGTCACCTCAAATGAGGGTCCATGTGTTGGAAGCAGCTCCCAGGAACCAGCTCTTCCCTTTCTCATGTAGGCCCCAAGGTCAGCTGCAGATCCTGGGCCTAGAGGGCAGGAGTGAATTGGTGCAGCCTCCTCTCCTCCTTGGAATGCAGTTCTCCACCATTCCCACTAATGGAGAAGCTTTCTCCTCAACTATCCCTGGAAGCCAAAGCAGGTCACCTTTTGGTTTGGAATTTCCTTTGGCTGTCATTCTTCCTGCAGATGACTGGGCTGCCTTGCCTGGCCCCGCAGGTGCTGGACTGGCAAGTTCCTCACAGTCTTCCACGCCCCCTGGCTGGGGACTGTGACTGATGAGTTGCTCATCTCACATCTGCAGGTGCCAGGTGCTCCTGCCAGGACATGGGCATGCAGCATGGGCAGTGCTCATAGGGCTGACACTGACCTGTCCTTGGAGCACAAATGCCAACCTGACCTTTCCAGGCAGGACTTCGTGCAGATAGTGGGGCTGAGTCCCGACTGGAGCGCCCACCCGTGCTCTCTGGTGACAAATGTGCAGTGAGCACTCAGCACTGCCCGTGTCCACACGCACGTCTACACACGTGCAGGCGTACTGCGGGGCGAGGCTTTCCCGTCATGCCCTGTCCTGCCCAAGTGGCACTACTGTTCTCTTAGTCACCTTGGGTTGTCACCGCTCTTCCTTTCTCCACATTCAGCAGACCTGTTCAGGTGTTTTCAGGGCTGAACAATGTATCATCAGAGCTGGGGCCAGGTTCAGACCACAGCTCGTGTCACTTGCCTCTTCCAGCACAGCTCTTGAGAAATTCCTGAGGGTGCAGAAAGCTGGGAGCCCTCGCCCCTGGGGGGAGCAGCTGCAGCGCATTTGTTTATACATGCAGCTGGTTGAGGCCAGGTGAAACCCCTCTGCCTAACAGCTGGTTCCCCTGGGGCACTGGAGTTCTCAGGGCTGGCTTTGCTCTAGCCCCGCACGAGTAATCTGTCTTCACTTTCAGGCGCCCCCACACTCAGTCTTTCAAGTTTAACAATGAGTTGACTGTTGAGTTCAAGGCCAGCCTGCACCACATAGTGAGATCCCGCCTCAGAAAAAGCATTGGCTGTTGCAGGTTCCTCAGGACCCAGGGAGCTCTGTCCTTTACTGAGAGGCTGGTTGGGCTGGGCCCATGCTTTTTTCTTGTTTTTGTTTTTTTTCAGTACTGGAAATTGAACTCACAGCCTCATGTTTGCCAAGCAGGTGCTGTGCCATTGAGCTACATCTCAAGCCCTAGTTGGACCCCTGTGGAGTGAAAGTATCTCTAGACTGCCCATGTGGGGCACAGGCAGGAGTGGGAGACAGCCCCTTCAACTCCAGCCCCTCACAGCTGGTGTCAGAGAGTCTCAGCTGGTGGCTGGGGTGTGGTGAATGGGCTGCTGCTGAAGCCCTGTGGGTGCACATGCAGGGGCAGAGCCAGAGTGACACTGAGGCCACACTCACCAACCCAGATGGGAAGCTGGGCCTCTGCGGTACTCCTGGAGACAGACAGGGGCTGCCCTGTATGGCTGACCTCAGATTTCATGGGTACCAGGCAGGAGAGGTTATGAGGGTTTCCGCCTTGGGCAGTGTGCTGGGACTCGAGTTTGGAGATATGCTGTTTTAAGGAGAGGTGAACCCTAGCACAGTGGTGGAGTTTTTAGGGAGGTAGGTGGTTCTGACAGGCATCATGTAAGCAGCTCACCCATGGGGTCCCTCAAATGACTGCTTGTCTGTGGATATGTGAGGGCTGCTCCTGGCACCCCTGAAGTGAACTGCTATTGTGTCTGTTTCTGCAGGCCGAGGTAGTGTTGTGTTAAAATGTGGAGCTCAGTGTGTAGCTGTCCTGAGAGTGGGGACAGCTATAGGACGTGCTTAGTCAGACTGTGCCCTCGAGGTGCTGAGTCCTGTACACATTGCCCATGTGTGTGCACGCTGGACCCTTGCACAGCCTGCAGTGCTATGCCCGTACCTGGGGCTCTCTGGTTTGCCAAGGGCCTGCCTTGTGGTTCTTGGATCTGTTTGCTCTGGCTCAGGTCTCTACAGGGTGCTTCACAGAGTGAGTATTACCTTGATGACCATGTCCCTTCTCTTTGAGTGGCTCCCATTTCTCACTGTTGCCTTGGTGCCCGCTGGGGCATTCCTGGTGTGAAGTGATTGCCCCTGGGAAGGGGAGAACAGGGGCAAGTGTGAGCTGCTGCCTCTTGGCCTGAGGATGCATCAGGTTAGATAGAGGGCCGTGTGTGCCCCCGAGTGCATGGGCAAGTATGAGGCAACTCAGAGAAGGGCAGGGTGGCTTCAGGGATCTGATATGCTGGGTCATGAGGCTTCAGTTACCCTGTCACACCACAAAGTCTTTGTCCTCTTGCCTCGGGGTCTGACCTGCATGCTCTGCTTTCTTGCCTTTCAGATCGTGTTCAGTTTGGACCCGGCTGAGGGCAGCCTAGGAATCTCACAGTTCTATAAGGTGGGAGCTGCCCCCAGGATGGGGGCAGGACTGGGGCTGCCTCCTGGCCCCACTTAGGGCCTCAGCGTACCTGTATGTGCTTACTCCTCCAGGTGCACATCCACCCTGACACTGGCCTCCGGAAGGCAGCCCAGCACTCAGATGCTTGGAGCACCACTGCATCTAGAAAGCAAGGTACAGGGTCTGGGGCCCAGGACATGCTCCGCTGCCTGACCGTAGTACATACCCAGCACTGCCACTCCTTGGACCAGGCATGCCTGTGGCCTCTTGCTTGCAGTCATTGTGGGCAGTAGCAGAGCCAGCAGAGGGCCTTCTGCCCTTCTGGGACATACTCACTAGCCAAGGCAAGTCAGTACAGACCTGCTCTCATCCCTTGTTTGGCCAGCACTGTGGAGAGGTCCTGCCAGCCCTGTTCCCGACTGCCAGGAGATTGATCCTGGCATGTTTGAAAGGCAGGAGACTGACCCTGTTGTCTGTCCTGAGCTCAAACCTCTCTCATGAATCCAGGGCTTTTCTTGGGACTTGGTGTCTTAGATGGGCTTGGTGAGGGGTAGACAGATGGGGACTGGGTGTGGCCAGCCCTGTCCTCACATGGTGTGTATCCCTGGTGTAGCTTCTTGGCTGGAGCTCCTGGGAGCTGTTATGTGAGATACCTTTCGGCCCACAGGTCCCATGTGGCCCTTGGGGTCTCACAGCGCTGCTTTTGCCTCTGGGCCTCCATGTGTATCGTTCCTTTTTGTGGCCTGCTCTCTGGCTGCTGACCGACTCAGGTCATGGGCTCAACAAAAGCAGCTCCCTTGGAGAGTGTGTGCTGAGGTTTGCGTATCCCTAACCTAGGGGGAAGAGAAGGGCCAGATCAGGCTGAGAGGTGGTGTGGCCAGGCTCTGATCCCTCAAGGTCTTATAGCATGAAGTCTCCTCACAGGAAGCGTCTATCCTGAGGGTAGGGACATCATGTGGGAGGCTGTGAGACCATGTGGGTTGCTCAGGTACTGAGAGGCCAAGTGAAATCATGTGACTTCTCAGAAGCAGCCCTCTCTGGGTGTTTCTAGGAAATTAGGTCATTAAGACCACTCCTTGCATGACAGCCCCAGAGAGTGCCCAGGCAGGGCAGAGTTCGTCCCAGGGTTGACAAAACTTCTCAGGTGTGAAATTGTGGCTTTGCATTTTTCAGGAAATTTGCCCTTGTCTCTGCTGACGCCTAGTCCACCCTTCAGAATCTCATTTTGTCTTGCTGTTGGTGTGGTGTTAATTTCCGGAGCTTCCTGGCCCACCGGCGTGAGTCGGAGGTGGTGGCCACGCTCTGGTTAGCCCGGCACTGTAAGGGTCTGTGAGCTTCCTCTGAACCAGTGACCTTGCTTGATGCTGACGTGACCAGTGTAGGAACTTGCTTGCGTCTCTCTTTTTCAATTGTGCTTGGAGTGTCAGGAGGTCAGATAGTTTCCTTCCCATGTGCCTTTGGCAGAGTGGCTCTGAGCCCTATGCCTCATGTCATAATTTCTGCAGAAATTTGGGATTGGGATTGGCTAACCTTCCTCGGTATCACCTCGAATTCTCCCAGGCCTGTCTCCTGCTCCCCAGGTCAGGCTGAACTGGTCTCAGAGTAGAACTTTCCTTCTGACTGCCGCACTCTGGTGGGAGGAAAAGATGATAGTGTTAGCCTGGTCCTGTCTTCACACCCCACTCCGTTGCAGGGAAGGTGCTAAGCTATTGGTGCTTCAGCCCGGGCCACAGCATGCGGGAGCTGGTCTGCCAGGGTGTGCGCACCCTCATCCTCACCAGTGGCACATTGGCCCCCCTGTCCTCCTTCGCCTTGGAGATGCAGATGTACAGGCTGAGTGGTGGGGATGTATGGGGGTGGGGAGTGCTGGCCTGGGGATGTCGGCCAGGGTTCTGGGGGTCCCATACCTTAGGGGCCACCCATTGTCTGCCCCAGCCCCTTTCCAGTCTGCCTGGAGAACCCGCATGTCATTGAGAAGCACCAGCTCTGGGTGGGGGTTGTCCCTAGAGGCCCTGATGGAGCTGAGCTGAGCTCTGCGTTTGACAAGCGGTGAGAGCTTCTGGTCTTTGGGCCTAGAGGGCAAGCGGGCGGGACCTGTGGCTGAGCAGTGGGACATGTGGCAAACACCACTCTGTCTTTGTGCAGGTTTTCTGAGGAGTGCTTGTCTTCTCTGGGCAAGACTCTGGGTGAGTGTGCTCTACATAGGATCCTGTCTTTTCTGGGAAGCCTTGGTCCCACTAGGACCAGTATACTCAGCCCCTGGTCCCAGAGCCAGGCGAGATCTGCAGATGCCCAGCACTTACCCTGACCAGTCATGTACCTCCAGGCAACATCGCCCGTGTGGTGCCGCATGGGCTCCTGGTCTTCTTCCCTTCCTACCCTGTCATGGAGAAAAGCCTGGAGTTCTGGCGGGTATGACCCTCTGCGAGTCCATGGGTTGGGACCCTCAGGTGGCCAGGGATCTGGCCAAGGTGGGCGGGCTATGCCAAGGTATATAGGAAACGGTGGCAAGCCTTAGCCTGCGCAGGTCTAATTAGAGGAACAACAGGCCTGTCCACATCCTGACCTCCTCCCCCAGGCCCGAGACTTGGCCCGGAAGTTGGAGGCGCTGAAACCTCTGTTTGTGGAGCCGAGGAGCAAAGTCAGCTTCTCAGAGGTCTGTGCTCCATCTGGATTCTGGGGCTGCTGCCCTCATGGCCCCTTGAGCCCCCTAGGTTGGTCCCCACCCCTGCCCTGAGCTCAGGCTGGCTGCAGGGTCCCCTTCAGGGGTTTGTGCTTCCTCCCTGTCCTCAGTGTGTTGCTGAAAGCATCAGGACATGGTGACAGTGGCAGCTGACCCTCATGCCCTCAGCTACCCTCACCTTGAGGTTCCCTGGGTTCACTGGGAAACAGAATGGTCTTTGGGTGCTGTGTGTGGGCAGTGGGGGCTGGACAATGCCATCATCACAGGATGAGATGTGGAACCATTGTGACCTGAGGAGGAGGAAGGCTGGGGCTCAAAGCTCGGGGGACCTACCTCTCCTAGGTCATCGATGCTTATTACCAACGGGTCGCCTCTCCTGGCTCCAGTGGGGCTACCTTCCTCGCCGTGTGCCGGGGCAAGGTGAGGCCTCTGCCAGTCATCTTCCCCACATTTGGCCCCTGGTAGGAGCTAAGAGTGATCAGCAGACTAGCCCTGGGGGGCTGAGCCTGGGAGCACAGGCCACCCCTCTACCTTGGCCCTGCATCGAACAAACAGATGTGGGAGTGGTGCCATGGGCCTTGCTGGGCACTGGCCCAGGGTAAGAGAGGCAAGACAGGAGACTCAGTTCTGAGAGGGTTGGTCACAGGGTTCTGGCGTGGGCCGGGCCCAAGAGAGGAGTTTCCTTCTCCCTGCCCATCATAGGGAGAGGCAGCTGGAGGTTTGGGGTGTGGACAGACCTTGAGGAAGATTGTCAAGCTTGAGTGCAGGCAAGCAGGGAAGAGGAGTGCCCACAGCCCACTGTTCTTGGGTCTGGGTCCTAGGCCAGCGAGGGGCTGGACTTCTCAGACACAAATGGTCGTGGCGTGATTATCACGGGCCTCCCGTACCCTCCACGCATGGACCCCCGGGTTGTCCTCAAGATGCAGTTTCTGGATGAGATGCGGGGCCAGAACCAACCCGGAAGTCAGGTGAGACATCACAGACCCAGGGGCAGGAGAAGAACAAGGACCCAGGGACCAGGGTCCCTGTGGTTGAGACCATTGCCTGGTAGTTCCTTTCAGGGCAAGAATGGTACCGGCAGCAGGCATCCAGGGCTGTGAACCAGGCCATTGGGCGAGTCATCAGGCACCGCCATGACTATGGGGCCATCTTCCTGTGTGACCACAGGTACAAGTGGGCTCCACCTGGCCACCCCGAATACCCCCATGGCTCGAGGTCCTTGCTGTGCCCTGAGCTTGTTTCCCTTGCATGAAGCCCAGGGCAGCCACTGACTTGGGTCTGAGCTTTTTTTTTTTTTTGTCTTTTTCGTTTTTATCGGTACCAGGGATCGAACTCACGACTGCCTGCTTGAGCTAAATCCCCAGCCCCTTGGGTCTGAGCTTTATGGCTTCACTTGGAGACCTGTGTGCAATTGGGTGGGCTACTGTGCAGGGATGGCCTTCGGCCTGAGCAGAGGATGCTTGGCTGATGACTATATAACCCTCCAGGTTCACCTATGCAGACGCCAAAGCCCAGCTGCCCTCCTGGGTGCGCCCATATCTCAAGGTGTATGACAACTTTGGCCATGTCATTCGAGACGTAGCCCAGTTCTTCCGTGTTGCTCAGAAAATTGTAAGTGTCCAAATGCCTAGTCGGCTATGCCTCTCACCCTGGCCGGAGGGGCGGGGGAGCCCCGCACCCAGAGGAGCCACAGAAGGTAGCTTCTACACCCTTTGCTCTGCAGATGCCTGCCCCAACCCTCAAGGCCCTGGCCTCAGGTGTGGGTGAGGGAGAAGCTGCTGCCAAAGTGGCTGCATCGCCTGGACCCCTCCTCTCTACCAGAAAAGCCACAAGTCTAGATGTGCATGTGCCCAGCCTGAGGTCGAAACCTGCCGGTGTGTGGGGCCGCATGGGGGCAGAGGCAGAGCTTGCTTGGCAGGAGTAGTTGCTTCCTGTAGGCTGGGCCCCTGTAAAGGTCACTGCCACACCAACGTTCCTGCAGGACTGCTGGCTGTGGAGGACCCTGAGAGCGCCCTGTGTGTGGAGTATGAGCAAGAGGCATTCCCTGCCCAGCGGAGGCCTGTGGGGCTCCTGGCTGCCCTGGAACACAGCGAGCAGAAGGCGGAGGAACCACAGGAGGCCTATGCTGGGAAGAAGCTGGTAGGGAATAGTGAGGGTGATGCTTGAGGATGACGTAGGCCTTGGCTGCCGAGGACAGCCTAGACCCTCTCCAGAGGGCAGGTGGACAACTGGCACTCCCCATTATGCTGTGCCCATAGCTCCAGGCTGCTGGCTCCCCAGTAGAAGTGGACCCTGGTCCCCAGGTAGCCCCTAGTACACTGGTTCCCTGGCTAGTCAGCCTGGCATAGTCCTCAAGATCTGCTGCCTCCCGCCACCCCCAAGGCTGGCCTTTCTCAGGACCTGGTCCATGGGATGGGACCCGCATTCCTTTCCTTCCTGCTGTGGCCTTTAGCTAGTAGCCCATAATTTCCTGAGCCTCACTTGGAGCTTCTTCTCGGGAGCCATTCCTTCCCTCCACTCCTGCCTACAAGCCCCTACAGCGAGCCTGTGCTGACACCTCAGAGTTAGCATAGAGCTGTCCTCGGGCCTGCGGTCACACACTGCTGCCTGCAAGCCACGGGGGTGGTCGCATAACTCTGAAGACAGTGCAGGGTTCTGTCGAGGCGCCCTCCTGCACGACTGGGCTGTTATCAGGGTCCTGGGGAGTGTGTGTGTGTGTCCAGATGCCCTCAATGTGTGGGGTGAAACTGTAGCTGTATCTCCTGCAGGCACTTGGCCATTCTTCCCTGTCCCTTCAGTATGAAAAGAGGCTGGCTGATGAGCAGAGAGGTGGAAGGAAGAAGGTCAGGCTGGTCACCCGACGGGTATGTGAGCCCTCTCTTCAGGTCTGTCAGGCTGCTCACATACAGTGTGGGAATCTGGCTCCTGCAGGGGTGTGAGCCAGTGCAGGCCTAGGGAAATGGATGTCCTGGATAGCCGTGATGTTGACAGCCCAGGGGGCTTGAGTTTGCAGCTCCTTCTGTGAGTGGCGCAACAGCCCATCTTTCTTTTCCAGCCAGAATGTGGCCCAGCCCCTTGGGCACATTCTCTGGAGGGCCTGCAGCCACCCATGATTCCCCCCACTGTGGTGGACCACTGTCTACTGGACCCTGGCTTTTCTTGAGTTGTGGCTCCAGTCTGTGTGAGGCAGTACAGCATGTCCCGACTCAGATGAAAGCAACTGATTTACAAGCGGAGGCAGGAAGCCCCTTTGCCTGGTGGAAAACCCCAAGTGTGGTTGCTTTTGTCCATGTCCCTCAGCTTCTGGGAAGAACCAGGCAGGGCCTAGTGAGGGCTGGCGTCTGCAGGAAGTAGACTGGCTGCTGAGGGGCTGGGCCCTCTGGGCTTGGCTGGGATGGGCGGGATGGAGTGAGGGCTGCCTGGACCATCCTTGATTGGGTTTCTTCAGGTCTAGAGCATGCATGAGTGGGGTGCAGCCTGTTGAGCATGCTTCTTTCTGTGAGCATTAGTTCTCAGAACTCCGCTTTAGCTAGCTGCACCTGCTGCAGGGAGGAGCAGAGAGGTGCTCGTGAATTCTGTAGGCCTCCTGGTCCTAGCCGGGCCAAGGCCCACCCATGCCCCAGGACTGCAGCCTTTTCTCTAGAGATCTTCTGCCCTCTGCTTCTCAGCAGGCAGGAACATCTGCCATCCTGGGTGTCTTGGGGTTTGCACTGCCCTGAGGGCAGGAGGATCAGGGCTGGTCCTGACAGCAGCCTTGGCCATGTGTCCCATCAGGAGGTGCCAGCGGCTGGTACACAAGAAGAGAGAGCGAAGCTGTTCATGGTGGCTGTGAAGCAGGCACTCAGCCAAGCCAGCTTTGATACTTTTACCCAGGCTCTGAAGGCCTACAAGGGTTCTGATGACTTTGAAGCACTGGCAGCTTGCCTCCGTTGCCTTTTTGGTGAAGACCCCAAGAAGCATACCTTGCTCCAAGGTGCCCTGGCCCGTAGAAGGCTCTGTCATGCTCAAGGCCATGGGGGGGGGGGGGCGCGTGGAGCACGGGTGCTTGCCAGGGTGAGTAGAAGGCTACAGAAGCCCAAGATTGTTCCTGCTTTCTGGAAGGGGCCAAGTGGACAGTCTGTAGCTCCCAGGGTCCCCAGCCCAGTGGTTGAAGGGTGTGGAGCCCACAGGTCCAGACCTCACCCTCCCCCCCAACAGGCTTCTACCAGTTTGTGCGGTCCCATCACAAACAGCAGTTTGAAGACATGTGCATTCAGCTCACTGGTCAAGGCTGCAGCAGCCGGCCACAGCCCAGCCTCCCCCGTGGGCAGCAGGCAGTGCCAGCCCTGGAACATAGCGGTGAGTGGCTCAGACCCAGCAGTGGAGGTACTTGGAGTCCTGGGCAGGTTAGGCTTGGCCCAGTCTCCCTGCTCCTCTGTACGGGTGATAAGGATCATGGTGGGGTGTGCCCTGCTCCCTTGTACAGTGCTGAGTCCAGGCTTCCACATGAGACCTGTACTCATGAAGTCGGGTGTGTGTCACAGTCCTGCACTGCCCATCTGCTCACCTTCCTGTCTCTAAGCAGAGCCAAGAGTCCATCTAGAGACAGCACCTGTTGTCATGCTTGCTGAGGATCAGCCCACCCTAGGGTTCCCTAGAGAGGTCTCAGCTGTCAAGGCCCCACCCCATTGGGTTGATCAGTGCCCTGCCCCTCCCATTGGGACCAGCAGCTTCCCTGGTGCCTGAGGCTTGTGTGTCAGGTCACGGAGGATTGCAAGTCCTGGTCACCCCAGCCAGGCCTGCCCTCTCTCCTGGGACTTTCAGACCCTCAAGAGCTTATTTCTTCAGGAAAGAAGGATCCTCAGCCCAAGCTGACCCAATCCAAGGAGGTGGCCAGGCACCTAGATCCTGGAGTGCACCTGAACCAGGGTGGGCCTCACTTGTCCACCTGGCAACCCCCCACAGGTACTTGCTCCTGCAGACCCCAGGTCAGGTCTGCAGCTGTAAGTTTATACATCACAGTTCAGCTAAAGAACAGCTTTAGCTCTGGGGAGTCTGTTCAGCTAAAGAACAGCTTTAAACCAGAGCCATCCATGGAGTTAAAAGGCACTGTGTGTGTCTGAGGTTCTGTGCTACTTGTAGTTCTGGCCTGCCATTGTCCCAGCCAATTCGAAGGCTCTCCAGTACTTCCTGGGGGAGTTGCAGGCAGAGGTGGGGGAAAGTTGACCCCCAACTCTGTCCCAAGCCATGCTATTCCCCCACAGGAGACACCCGCGCCTGTCTAGGAGTGCAGTCCAGAGTAGACAAGCCAGGCCAGTCTGCTGAGAGTGCCTACCTGGCAGATGTCCGCAAGGCCCTGGGGTCCACAGCCCACGGCCAGCTTTTGGCAGCACTGAAGGCATACAAACAGGATGACAGCCTCAGCCAGGTGCTGACAGTGCTGGCCGCACTGACCACCGAAAGGCCTGAGGACCTCCCTCTGTTGCAAAGCAAGTGGCCTCTGCTGGGGGTGAGGTGGGACAAGGGTGCTATGGAGAAAGCAGGGTGGCCAGGCCTAGGCAGTGTTCATGAACCAAGCTCCCTGTAGGGTTCGGCATGTTTGTGCATCCCCACCACAAGCAGCGCTTCCTACAGACCTGCGCAGATCTGATGGGCCTGCCTACCTCAGACACACAACTACTGGGCCTCCAGGAGAAGAGTCCCACCAAACCCCTGGAACTGGCCAGTGAGGCTCCCCAGCCAGGTGGGGTCTGCCAGCCTGCTCCTCCACCCTGCCTTGTCAGCCTCTTGGCAATCAGGAAGAAGCCTCAGACAACCTCTGACTCTCCCATCTGCAGGCCCCTCCCAGTTAGAAAGACCCAGAAAGACCCAGAGCAAGATCTTTTCCTTTCTTAACTGCACACCAGATGAGCACGAGGAGCCTAGCTTGCCCCCTCGGCCTCCTGACCATGGTAAACCACAGGCGGGGCCACAGGGATTGCCAAGTTTGGGGGTGCACTGGAGCAGGCCCAGCAAACTCAGGCAGGCCTCTTGCAGCAGGCTTCTCGTGCCCAGGCTGCAGGGCAGAAAACACAGTGACCTTCAGGTGCCTCTCCTGTGACTTGCACCGCTGCCAGGCCTGCTGGCGACAGCACCTCCAGGTTGGTGCCTGGCTCTGGTCCCAACCAGGCATCACCCTAGGTGTTTAGCCAAGGGGGTGTGGGGGCACACTAATTCAGTGCCCAGCAGGCATGCCCAGTGGCCTGTATCTCCACAGCCCTCTAGGACGTGTCCATCCTGCTTTGCTGCCATCAGGAAGCAGAGCCTCATGCAAGTCTTCTGGCCGAAGCTTCAGTGAGCATCTGTGGAGACACTCAGGGCTCCACACTGGCCTGTCCAGCCTCATTGTGGGCCACGTGCCTCCTTCCACGCCCTGACTGGGAGGGAGGCTGGCCTGGTACTAACTGCCAGGCCTACTTCGGGCTTCAGACAGGTGGGAGCCCTGACTCTTGGAATCTGGGGCCACCCCTGGGAAACCCCCAAAGCCTGGGTGGGTCACCTGGAAGATGAGATTTCCTCACCGCTGGCTTGTGAGGGCTGCTGTTTGAGCTGTGTTCCCTCTTTATCAGGGCCAGGGTCTAATAAAAACCGCTGGCAGTGGCACCCTGAGTGTTCAACACAGAGCTGGTCTGTGGGAAACGTCGCCCCCTCCCTGGGGATCATTAAACACTGGCGCCAGCCACGCCCAGCAGTTCCGGGAGGGGTCTCCTGCAGCTGGGAGCCGCCCTGCCCAGGACTAGGGGCAGTTGGCCAGGGGTGGAAGTAGGGGGTTCCCGCAGGGTGTGACGAGGTTGACCCGCCCTATGTGTCCCATATACTTGCTGCCTAGCAGCCAAGCTGGAGTGCATGGGGCACTCTTAGGCGAGAAAGGACCCGACCGGGATCAGGTATACGCTGTGCTCTGCCCCAGAGGACCATGAGGGCGCCAGAGATTCCGGATCAGTTGTGGTTGCCCCCACTGTGGGCACTGCCAACTCTGCTACTGGCAATGGCCGTGCAAGGGGCAGCAGATGCACCCACGTACCTGTGGCAGGACATGGCGACGCGGGAGTGGCTGAACTGCGCCCAGTGCCCCCCAGGCACTTTTGTGCAGCAGCCGTGCAGCCGGGACCAACCCACAACGTGTGGTACCTGCCCGCTGCGCCACTACACGCAATTCTGGAACTACCTAGAGCGCTGCCGCTACTGCAATGTCATCTGCGGGGAGCACGAGGAAGAGGCGCGGCCTTGCAGCGTCACCCACAACCGCGTCTGCCGCTGCCGCCCGGGCTTCTACGCACACGCTGGCTTCTGCCTGGAGCACGCGCAGTGTCCGCCGGGCGCCGGAGTGACCGCCCCTGGTGGGTGGAGGGCAAGCGGGCGCGGGTTTGGAGAAAGGCACCCCAGCTGACCTGCCCTGGTCTCCTTCCTATCAGGAACCCCCAGCCAGAACACGCAGTGCCAGCCGTGTCCCACAGGTACTTTCTCAGCCAGCAGTTCGAGCTCAGATCGGTGCCGCCCCCACCGCAACTGCACGGCCCTGGGCCTAGCCCTCAACGTGCCGGGCTCCTCCTCCCGGGACGCCCTGTGCACCAGCTGCACCGGCTTCCCGCTCGGCCCCGCCGCGCCAGGTGAGAGGGCGGGGAGCACAGTGTCTTCTGGGTGGCAGGTTGGGCACACTCCACCACCCCGAAGCAGTGCCGGGAAAGCTGGAGAGCCTCCCATGCTGCTGCTCCCCACATACTACGCAGCTACATAGCTCTTCCATCTGGTGAGCGCAGCACCACACTTTACCCCCCTTTTCTGCAGGGACCGAGGAGTGCGAGCGAGCCCTCATAGACTTCGTGACTTTTCAGGACCTCTCCTTCAAAAGGCTGCAGCGGTTGCAGCAGGCCCTAGGGGTACCGGGGGACAGGAGTCTGTCGCCATCCAAAGAGGGCCGCGTGGCCTTGCAGGCTGGGCTGCGGAGGCGGCTCTCGGAGCTCCGTGAGGCGCGCGCCACGCCCCTGCTCAAGCAGCTCCTGGCGGCTCTGCGTGAGGCCGGGCTGTCGGGGCTGCAGCGCAGTGTCCTCGCACGCTTTCTCCCAGCCAGCTGAGTAGCTGCAGCCTATTTATCCCGTACTGCGCGCGCCCCACCCAGCCCTGCGCCAGCATGGCCGTCAAACGCACCAGAGAGACTTGGCAAAGTTTATTTCATAAAGACTTTCTTAGACCTGCTGCCCTGAGTCGTGCCTCTGCCCCTAGAGTGCAGGCGCCCTGGGCAGAGAGGCTGCGCCTTCCCTTGGCTACTTCCCACCAACCCGCCTTTTGCACAGGGGACATGGAGCCGACTGCCATCCACTCCTGTACTCAGTGGGGCCTGTCAGTGCGGGAAGAGATAGCGGTCACGTGGTACTGTGCCCCTCTGCCTGCCTGGGCGGCCCCCAAAACTCTTTGTGAGACCCCACTCTTGCTCAGTGGCTGGGCAGTGCTGATAGGCAATGGCACTGCTCCAGAGCCTCAGGTCTCCCAGGAGGATTCTGTGAAGGCTACCCCTGGCCTCTAAGTCTGTGAGGTTCGTCTGTCCACCCTGACCTGGGGAACTGTTGTACTGCCCTTGTCCTCCAGGATGGCCAGGTCCTTCCTACTTCCTGCAGGTCCTGGGAACCAACCTGTGTGATTGTACCAGGGCATCAGCGCTGGGAAAGGGACCTCCACTAGAGACACAGCGCCCGCGCCCTGTCATGTGTATTCCCCAGCCCCACCACCCCTTAGGGTGCCAGGGAAGGAACAGTATGTTGTGACCTGATCTTTGACACACTGAACCACCAAGTCTCCAAGGCCATAGCCAGGCCAATCCGTAACAGCTGAGGGCCTGGGTAGTTAGGCCATGCCACCAGTCCCCTGGACCCTGGGGTGGCAACTTTCTGCTGTGGTAACTATTCCTGGACAGCAGGGGATGCAGCCTTTGGGCTGTCTGGAGGGACAGATGGCTAGGAGCAGCCAGGCTGTCTTTATTTTGCATTCTTACCCTGTTCACGCTGGGGAGGGCACAGCAGTCAGCTGGATTCCCTGGGAATGGCAGCCCAAGTAGTGCTGTGTGAAAAGGTCAGGGAGACCTCCACTGTCCCCATAGGTTACCCCAACACCTGTTAGCACATCTGGGACCCCTCCCCCATGGCCAGCCAGGACCAGGTATGCAGGCCCAGCACACTACTGATAGCTCTGTGGGAACCTGACCCACCCAACTCAACCAGGTGCCCTATGGTTCCACTTGAGCTGGGCTTTGAAGTCCTGTGCCCACAGCAACAATGCCCAAGCTGCCAGAGTGAGGGGCATAAAGATAGGCAACAGGCTCGACTTCTCATTTCCATGGTACCCCTCTCCTTCTGATATCAAAATGAAGTGAGAATGGGCCAGTGGGGAGGTATGACTTTCATGTCATCTCAGCCCTGTCCTGAGGTTGCAGCAAAACCTAGGGCCCTCCTGGCCTCTGGCCACATGGGCTAGATATTCCTCAGGGCAACACTGGCCCCCACATCTGCTCCAGGATAAGCCACAGTTCCATCTGCCTCCTCCATGGACAAGTGAGACAAAGCAGCTGCCACAGCCAACCCCACTTCCAACACAGCTCTTTTCAGACTCCACCGGCACAGCAGGCAGCCTGGGGAGCCCCTCCAGCCACCCTCCTCCATGCCTGGGCTCAAGAAGGACCCAGGACCCTTGAGAGTGGCCAGCAGGACCTAAGGCCTATGGTGGTCAATGTGGAGGCAGGCAGGCCCAGCTGCCCATGACCGCTGGCAGAAGCCTCTGGATACCTACACTTTTCCAGACACAGAAAAAAGTTTGTCTTAGAGAAAACAAAGCAAATAAAAGAACCAAAGGGCAAAGCAAACCCAACCCCCAGGATCAATGGCACAGGAGCCAGCAGGGAGAATGCTCCTCCAGCACTAGGGGACGAACCGTCCGAGATGACAGGGCCAGCCGCGCCTATGTGATATCTCTCTGCCGTGGCGGCCGGTGCACGTTGCGCACGACGCACTTCACCATCCATTCAATGCCCTCGCGTACTCCTTTGCTGCAGAGACAGCAGGTGTAAGGCAGGGCTGGTTCCGGCCCAGACCAAGGGTGAACGTGCACTCACCCTGTGAGGGCGGAGCAGGCCTGGGTCAGACAGTCTCGCCTGCCGATCTTACAGGTGCAGTCACTGAAGGCGGTCTTGATGTCAGGGATTGAGAGGCATGTCTGGTGGAGGAGCAAGGTCCTGAGGAAAGCCTGGGGCCTGCCCCATTCAGCCTCACCCCAGAGGACACTAGAGGAAGGCCCTCCCAGGCCACCCGAGTTCTCGAATCAAGGCCACAGTGGTCAGGATGACCCAGTCACTCAACATACACCCAGGGCTGGTCACAAGGCTCCAGTAAGGGGCCACCGGAGCTGAGAGCCATACCTACCCCAGGAGAGTTCCGACAGTGGGCCCTAGGCATGGAGCAGAGGCCCAAGGGCAGCAGGGAGAAAGGGAAAGGGCAGAAGATTCCCACCCCTTGTGGACCCCCTCACTGGTGGCTCCAAGAGTCTGAGAAGCAGGGAAGGCGCACCAGGCTCACAGGGAAGGCAGGAGTGGGCACAGCTGGGGCAGAGCCTCCTCGGCCCTCTTCGGACTACAACATCTTTTGGGCCGAGCCCTGCCACAGAAAGCAGGCACTTTGTATGGCCAGCACTCCCAGGGCAGTATCACCTTAGAGGGAGCCCTGATTTGGGCGTGGCTGGCCTGGACATTGGTCCCCTGCTGCGCCCCAGTCCAGCCCTGCTCAGAGCTTTGGCTGGGTCTCCCCACACACTGGACGGTGCTCCGTCGCCCTCTAGTGGACAGAGGGTGCTGCTTCTCCCTGGGGCGGAGGCAGCCCTGCTGGGCCACCCCACCCCTATCCCTACCCCCGAGTTGGGGGGAGGGCTCTCCAGCAGAGAGTAGCCTAGTGACACCCAGAGTGGAAAGCAGTACAGTAAGTTGGAGGTCCTAAGGGTATGGGCAGGAGGGGCATTGAGCAGGACAACGGGATGCCTTCTCACGCAGGGGAGTAACTTCCAGAGGAGCCAGGGGGCTCACCTCCACATCCTGCTTGTTGGCCAGCACCAGGATGGGGACACCATCAAGAGATTCACTCGAAACCACCTTCTCTGGGGAGGTGAGACAGAGGGCACCTCACACTCTGCATCCTGCCTTGACCACAGGGCATGGTCAGTAGAGACAGGGCTCTCCTCCCTCCCAACCTTGATCACAGGGAATGTGCCTGGGGCCCTCTTAGTGAGGACAAGGGCACTTCCAAGCAGGTGCTGGCCCAGTCTCTATCAAGGCTAGTTCTAGACAAGTGGGATGTCCAGACTGGACCTTTTTCCCCAGGGCCCTCCCTACAAAGCTTGGGCTTTTATGCCCTCTTTTTCTCCTGGGATTGGCCAGGCTACACTCACCGAATGCCTGCTTGGACTCTGACAGTCTCTCTTCATCAGTGGAATCGATGACATAGATGACACCATGGCACTCTGCATAGTACTAGAAGGAAACAACAGAAGCTGGGGTCAGAGCTGTCACCCTGTCAAGGGCAAACTCAGCCAGGTCCTGCACTATGGCCACCAGGAGAAGACCACAAGAGGAAGAGACAGGCAGAGGCTGGCAACCACTCTGGGAGCTAGTCTGGTTCTGATTGTAAGACCTGCTGGGATGCCCTCTCAGGTTGGGGTAGATTCAGCAGTGCAAATACTCCAGGTCCCTTCAGGAGAGCCCTGGTGAGGTGGTTGGCCTTCCTCTGCCCGGATGCTGCCCCTGGGAGCCTACACAACCTTTAGCCTCACAGTGGTGAGAAAGAGGCAAAGGTGAGGCATGGGTTGGAGGAGCCTAGACAATAGCATAGCTTCTGTGAAGGTGCACCCTGGGGGCTTGTGTGGTGCTTGGCATGCCAGGGAAACCCAGAGATGTGGATGCAAAGTGTGTCAGCAGTGAGCCTCCCAGAGCCCAGTCGGTAAGGCCAGAGCTGTCTATTAAGCTGCCTGCCTGCCCTCTCAAGGACAGTGCCAGTCACTGAACTCAAGACCTCTGCAGGCTAGGCCAGCACCACTGGCAAGAAAACATGGGCAGGCAAGGAGCTACAGACCCATGCAGCAGCAGGGACCAGGCCTAGGCACTTGTACCCCATCAGAAAAGATCACTAAACTAGGCACGATCATGAGGCACAGACAACAGCACACACTTGCCACTTTACCTCATGGTTATGCCAGCTCCTCTTCCTCAGCATGATATAACTCAACACTGACCCAGTACAAGGATGTGTTTTTGATAGGGTAAGAGGAGCAAATGGTCACATGCATCTGAGAGTGGACAACAGCATGGGGAGCCAAGAGTGGTGGTCCACACCTATAATGCCAGTACTCTGGGAGGCTAAGGTTGGAGGATCTCAAGCTCAAGCTGAGCCTGAGCAGCTTAGCAAAACCATCTCAAAATTTTAAAAAAGGGTTAAAATATAGCTCAGTATGAGAGCCCTGGGTTTGTTACCCAGTATGAGGAGGTGGGCCGGGGAGACAGCCACCTGCTGGCTCTGCAAGATCCTTAGGGGTCCCACCACATAACAGAAAAGCTACAGCACCTGCAATTTCCAGTGGAGCTGGAGGGTATGGCCAGAAGTCCTTCAGGGCTCTGCAGTAAGACCCACACACAAGAGCTGCTCTGCTCCTGGGAAGTGGGCTGCCCTCTTGCTACACAGGCATGGCACTGGCCTGTCTTACTACGGAGCCCTCCATGGTGGAAAGGGCTGCTGTGTGGGGTTTGTAGTAAGCCCCCAAATCAGAACATGGTACCTGAAACCCCAAGCAAGGCAGGAGTGTCATGGGTGACCAGAGGCCACACCCATGGACCAAACAGCCAGAGCTGCCCATCATACCTTCCCGGCAAAAGTAGATACCCCAGCAGCAGCCAGTGAGACAGAAATGGAACATCAACCCCCCAAATGAAGAGGTCACATTTGTGGCCACATGGAGACCCTGTGTAAGCAAAAGAGGGAAACACACAAGCATGGCTCATGGCTCATGGCTGGCTCAGATAAACACACTGGGACAGACCATAGGTGGAAGGTAGGAGCGCTAGTCTTTCTTATGCCAGGTCTTGAGGAACTAGGTAAGAACAGAAGCTCCTATTCCTGTTCCTTCCGTAACACCTACCCCACACCTGTGGCATCTATAGGATTAGGGGCCTTGCCCACCAAAATAGCACACTGAGCTGAGCCTGAGACACAAACCACGGTTGCATGGGGAACGCTGAGGTCTTGTGTCCAGGTGGACTCTATCATGGCAAGGATAACTGCCTGGGGTGGCAGGGAAGGCTGGTCAACTTGGGAGAAGGGCTCAGACCACCAGTAGGGGGTCATAGTCCAGCAAAAGAAATAGCAACAGAGATGAGCACAATTCGACACCAGATGCAGATTCCAATCCACTCCTTCACTTCCCTCTGCAGTTTCCCTTAGAAGAAGCTATTCCCCAACAGAGGCCTAGAGCCACGCAGTACACAGATGGGTTGTGGCCAACACAGATATGCGAGCTCTAGTGTGGCCTTGCCTCCAGAAGCAGGCTGTGTGCACAGTAGATGGCCTCACTTTGGCTCCTGCAGGACCCACTTTGTTTGCCAAGAGCCACCTTACCAGGCCATACCTGCCATAGTAGTGACCCACAGGTAGCAATATGAAGTCCTGGCCAGCTCTGGCTGACACAGGCCACTCACAACCAACCAACTCTCCTCCAGTGCTTCCCACTGGGGCAGCCATTGCTCCACTGCGCCAGTCACCCAAGTTGATCTTTCCCTGTGTACCATACAGTGCCCTCCCTGATGTCTTCCTGGTGCTGATCTTTAATATTCATGCTCTACCCAACCCACATTGGCATCTACTCCCTAACTCCCACCCTGTGACAAGAATGTCATTATCTGTGCAACTATCCACATATACCAGGCATTTGGACAAGAAGACTAACTTGGTTCAGCTTTATCTGACCTAAAGGGCCATAGACAGCATGTCAGAAACTTCCTGGTCGGGGCTGGGGATTTAGCTCAGCGGCATAAGCATCTGCCTTGCAAGCAGGCGGTCGTGAGTTCGAACTCCGGTACCGATTAAAAGTTAAAAAAAAAAAAAAAGAAACTTTCTGGTCATAGTGCAGATGCCATCTAGAAGTCATGGTAGGTGGGAATAATTTAGTGGGGCCTAGCAAAGGGAACCCAAGTCAAAGATCAAGATGTGGGCCTTGGTTCTAACACAGGACAGCTGGCAAGCTTCAGGGTGGCCAAGGCATCTGAAATGCATCAGTGAACTACCCATACCCACCATGCCAACCCATGGGTCAGGTATTCTCTGAGGAAGGAGCTGGGTCTATCCTGCTTAGCGCTGGATTCAGTAGCTAAGACAGGATAAACAGCATACAGATTATGCTGTGGGATGAGGGCTAACACTGAGATCTCAGTGATGCCCAAAAACTACCTTAAAGAGGCAATTGCCATCTGACTCTGAGAATATGCCCCCCTAGATGTGGAAGAGGCCACCCCTGAGAAGTGGGTAATAAGCTAGAAGTGAGGCAGGCTGACCCACCAGGAAACACAGGCCTTGTGCCTTCCCCACTAAGGAAAAAACTAAGGGTTACCAATCTGGAGAGAAACTGCACAGGGGCAGACAATGCCAAGCAAAAGGGGAAGACCACAGATGTCTTACCTTTCCCACAACTGGTCTTTGTCATATCTGTCTGTGTCCTATACTGATGAACAACAAAATCTTTAAGGTAAAAGGTAAAAGGAAACAACTGTGTCTCCACATTTAGGGGACATAAGAGTTCTTCCAGTTTCCCTATTTTTTATTTTCCCCTGAGCAAGAAACATAGATTTCTTGACAGCTCTGTGAAACAGCCAGCTACAAGATTTTCCCTACAGGCTTATGCCCAATTTTGAGTCTTAAATATTGCAGGTACTGTTAAGATGTTTAGGTTGTTCTCCAAAACATTCAAAAAAAACTTTCATATAAACTCCACTCTTGGACCCTCTCTTGGGGACGTAAACTTGTAGAACATTGGGCTGGGGATTTAGCTCAGTGGCATAAGCGCCTGCCTTGCAAGCAGGCAGTCGTGAGTTCGATCCCGGGTACCCATAAAAAGGAAAAAGACAAAAAAAAAAAAAAAAATTTGTAGAACATCTTCTTTGCTGTCTGCTAGAGGACAGGCTGCAGCTCTCTCTGAGTTACCCCAGTAAGTTTCCCATACCCACTGAAGAACAATGCTTTTTTCATTGAAATCTCACCTAGCCCTACCCCCAAGGCCAGGCACTCCTTTGTGGGAACTCTCCTACTATCACTTTTGTGATGACTCCAGCTGAGAGTTTGACTGGGATAAACAGGAAGTAACTGGAGAAAATCCTCAGGAACAAAATACATAATGGGATCTCTCACTGAGGAAGAAAGTGAAGGTTGCCATCAGGAGAGAATCTGCACAGGGGCAGGCAGTGCCAGGCAAGGGGGAAGACGGTGGATGTCTTACCTTATCCCACAAAGACTGCAGCTCTTCCTGTCCCCCTAAGTCCCAGAACATGAGGCGAGCCTTTCCTACGTCTACCGTGCCAACTGGGAAGAGGAGAAAACAGGTAAATTTGTCGACACACAAATCCCAGCTCTCCCATGGATAGAGTAAACCACATCTGTGCCACTGCCAGGAACACTGAGCAGAGACTCAGGGCTCTGGTCATTGGGCAACTAGGCTGTGGACATCACAGCATCCTTATGGGTCCTCTTAAATCTACAACTCTAAAGTGTTCCCTTACTGTTTAGACCCACGGTGGTGGTGATTTTAGATAGATTCATCCCTTTGTAGTTCCTGTTAAACCGGGTTTTTGACTGCTCCAGGAAGGTCTGAGGAAAGAGGCAGAAATAATTAGAGGCAGTTAGAGCAGTTTTCCAGGTCAACTTCTCAAATATCCCTTTTTGAGTCTATTCCTTAAAAAATGAAAGGCAGTGAGTGCTCTTCAAGAAGCTAGTGGAGGCCAGCACAGTGGCATACATTAGTAATCCCAGCACTCTGGGAGCCTAAGGCAAGAGGACTGCAAATTGGAGCCCAGCCTGGGCATCTTCCTGACACCTTGTCTAAAAACGAAAGTACTGGGGATGTACCTCAGTGCAAAGGCTCTGGATTCAATCTCCAGTAGCAACCCCACCACCAGCACCACACACAGCTAGTAGAAACCATCCTGTGGTCTCAGGAGGGTTCTGGAGTAAGTCTAGGCAGTGAACTTGCAGCTGCCAGGATGACACCAAAACTAGACCACCAGGCAAGGGCAGGGCGCCGGTAAGGGGACAAGTACCTACCGTCTTCCCAGCATTGTCCAGGCCCAGGATCAGGATGCAGTACTCATCCTTCTGGAACATGTACTTGTACAGCCCCGACAGCAGCGTATACATCCTGCCCTGGGCACCCTAAGAGAAGGCATGGTGTGTGCCACCCACACTCACCTCCCACTAGGGCCCTCTACCTTTAAGCTCAGTCTGTCCTGCTGGCTGCTTAGATCAGGAACCCAGGGTGGTTTCCGACTCCTTGTCCAACTCCTTACAGAACCCCCATTCTGTAAGGCTCCGACCCTGCCTCCATGGCTAGCCACCAACTCTTCCTGCATCACTGCCACTGCCGGTCATTCCACTTGCAGCAATGCTTAACCTTCCCAAATGCAAATCTGAGTTTGTCCCTCTGTCTGAAAACACTTCTTGGCTTCCTCTGCTCCAGTTTGCCCAGACTCCTCTCCTCCCGGGCCCTTCGCGTGGCCCTAGGAATCGCGCCTGTAACTTCCAGTCACGGCCCAGGGCTAGCGAGCTCCAGATACGCGCAACAGGCCAGGCCAGGCCAGGCCAGGCTCCAGCCGCGAACAGGCCACAAAGGCCCGGGCTCTGGCCGCCCGAGCCCGACCAAGCCCTGAGACACCGGGCCTGGCCCCGCCGCAGTGCTATCCGTCCCTGCCAGCCCCGCTTTCAGCGTCCCTAGAATCCCAGGTTCGTCCTCGCCAACCTGTCCTGCCGCCCCTGCCCAGTGCCGTCACCAACCTGCTCCCGCCCGGTTCTCAGAGCAGACGCCGTGCCCCTCACCTCGCTGACCCAGCACTGACCTCGCGCGGCGCCTGACGGGACAGGGGCGGAGCCGCCTCCCGGCGGCCCGGCGCACCGCGACCTTTGCGTGCGGGCACTTCCGGCAGCTGAAGCGCCTGAGAGGAAGTTCCGGCCGCAGCCAAGGCCTGCGAGCCCTCGGGACTGTGGGCAGTGGGGCGGCCAGCCGGCGGGGCTGCGAATTGCAAGCCCTGGCCGCGGTCCCAGACGAGGAGGCGGAGAGGCGGCGCGGGGCCGAGTCTGCTTACCCCTGAGCGTTCGCCCTTTGTGGGCCTGCTCTCACCGTTTAAGGGAGGCGTCTCCACTCTCCTGGTCGCTGGCTGAGGCTCGCGAGCAGGGCGCAGTGCTGGGCTCAGCTGGCTGCTCTTCCTTCAGCTGGCCGCCCCTCTCCCCCGGGGACCGGTCCCCGCCGCACGGGAGCCGGCCTGTCTGTCAGTATGGATGAAGAGAGCCTGGAGACGGCCCTCCAGACCTACCGTGGCCAGCTGCGGCAGGTGGAGGTGGCCCTGGGTGCGGGCCTGGATGCCTCCGAGCAGGCGGACCTGCGCCAGCTGGAGGGCGACCTGAAGGAGCTGATCGAGCTCACCGAGGCCAGCCTGGTGTCCGTCAGGAAGAGCAAACTGCTGGCCTCGCTGGACCAAGAGTGCCCACCCCAGGAGGACGCCGAGTACCTGGCGTTCCAGAAGGCCACTGCCGAGGTCGAGGATATGTCCGCCACTCCCAGGGTAAACCCGGAGAACGGCGCTGCGGGAGAGACAGGACCGGAACTCGCTGGACCTGGGCAGGAGGAAGAGGGAGAGGAGGATCGGGAGGAGGGAGAGGAGGATCGGGAGGAGGGAGAGGAGGATCAGGAGGAAGAGCTGAACGGAGCGAAGGTGAACGCCCCCTACTACAGTGCGTGGGGCACCCTGGAATATCACAATGCCATGGTGGTGGGCAGCGAGGAGGCAGAGGACGGCACGGCCTGCGTCCGCGTGCTCTACCTGTACCCCACTCACAAGTCCTTGAAGCCGTGCCCATTCTTCCTGGAGGGAAAGTGCCGCTTCAAGGAGAACTGCAGGTAAGCGCTCTGCTGTCCGCAGTTCAGGGCAGGCAGGCCTTCTCTGCCCCTGGTCTTTTGCCCTTCCCTCTCAGCCGAGTTGCTGGCAAGAGGCAGACTTCTTACGCGGCAGTGGGCGTTTAGTTCGATTTTGTTGGGTAGATTAAGAAGTCGGGAAGGGTTTAGGCACTGCCCGCCGCCTACAGTATTCTCCGAGTGAAAAATTTTAAATATGTATATTTTTCCTTTTTTGCGGTGCTGGAGACCAAACCCAGACTTTCCTGAATGTCAGGCAAGCACTTGCCACTGCATTACACCCCCAGTCAACCAGAATTTACTTATGGTAATTTTCAGACATACAAAATGGGAGTAGTAGTAACTGCCCATGTTCTGCCCTACAGCTTCTTTATGTATTAAACTTTCCAGTCTTGTTTTATTTGTTTTCTGTGCTCTGCCTTTTTCCCCCCTCCTTTTCCAGGGCTACTTTAAGACAAATTCCAAATTGCTTTTCTTTTTTCAACCATAAATGCTTAATGGTGAACCACAAATCAGTTACTGAAGAAGTAACCTCTGTTTATACCTAACAAATGTAACAGGAATCTCTCAGGTATGTCTTTTACTATAATGCTGTTAGTCATATTGCCAAGAGGTCATACGTGTATAACTTTATTTTTTACTTTTTTTAATTTTATCTTTAGGAATAACTTTTACTGAAACTTTCCTAAGTCATAATCTTTGTTAGCCAGTAGTCTAGGACAGTGGTGGCAAATGCATGGCACATATGCCATATAGGCAGTTCCTATCATTGAGAAGCTCTAAGAGGTTCATCATCATTGGTCTAGGGTAATTATCTCTAGTTCTTCGAACATCGTGATTCTTTTTTTCTTTTTTCTTTCTTTCGTTCTTTACTTTTTTTTGGACAGAGTCTTGCTATGTAGTTCAGGCTGGCCTTGGGACTCACTTTTGTAACCGAGGCTGGCCTCAAGCTCACAGTAATCCTCTTGCTTAGCCTCCCAAGTGCTAGGATTATAGGCATGAGCCACCACACCTGGCTGGACATTATAATTTGTAGTGGACTTTTGGTAGGCACCTGTCTTCCTCTTTCCATTCCTGCTTTTCTTCCTCCTTCCTTTCTCTCCTTCCCTTGCTCTTTTCCTTCTCATCCTGGGCAGTAAAGTACATAAGTCATCAGTGGGCCCAGTGGGTTTTCACCAAGTGGACATGCCCCATAAAACCAGCAGCCAGGTCAGCTTTCCAATGTGGCCCAGGCTTGCTGCCTCTAGCACAAGCACTATTCCAAGAGATTGACACATGCTTGCTCATCTGACCAGTGACCTTGTAGACCCACCCTACAGTCTGCCCATTTTATAGATAGGAAAACAGGCAGCAAGTACTAAATCATTGACTCTAGGTTGACAGCCTCTAGGTTTTGTTCATCTGGTGCAGCTGCTGTGTCAGAGTTAGGTTTGATCTGAAGCCCGTGAAGCAGCTTATAAGACACTTTACCATCACCCAGGGCTGATAAATTATTGTCTCTGATTTTAAATACAGTGTATATTTAAACAAAAATTTATTAAATAAATTCATTATAGTAAAAGACATATTGCCCTTAATCTCCAACAAAATACTCCTTCTTACTTTGAACACAGTTATCATATCTTGTCACTTCCTGAAACAATTCTGCAAGTCCTTTCTTGTGTCTCATGAGATGTGGTTAAAATTGTGGCAAATGCTGCTGGTAAGCAGCATCCAAAAGAAAAGTAGGCTTGCAAAAACATTGTGGTATGTCCTCTTCTATCTTAGTCACTAGATTTAGGCCTGTGCAACTTCCCCAAAGTCAAAGTGGCCGTGAAAGGTAAATGTTTTGAATCAGTTCAGGACATCAAGGCAGTAATGACAGTAAACTAAAGACATTCATGAGAGAGGACTTGCCAAACTGTAGCAAGAATTGAATCAAGGGGAGTATTTTGAGATGGTTTAGTGGTAATGTTTTTTACTGTAGTGATTTTTTAAAAACTAAACTTTCATTGTATGTTTTGTTCATACTGTGTAATAATTCTCTACACGTGTTGTTTATAAATGGTATTTATGTTTTATGTAGTGTTTGTGTGTGTGTGTGTGTGTGTGTGTGTGTGTGATCACAGATTGAACTCAAGACCTTTGCACTGAACTACACCCCAAACCCTTTTTAGTTTTTGTTTTGAAATAAATCGTCAAATTGAGCTCAAACGTTCAGTCCTCCTGCTTCAGTCTACCAGACTGCTAGGATAATAGGTGTGTGCTACCATGCCCAGCTGATTTTTAAATTCTTAAAATAGAAAGTACAGTACCATGTTAATTGCTTGTCTCTTGCTTTTTTCATTAACTATGTTTTTTTTCTTTTTACCGCTTCTTGTGTGTGTGTGTGTGTGTGTGTGTGTGTGTGTGGTACTGAGACTGAACCCAAGACCTCTCATGCTGAACTATAACCCCTGCCCTTAATACGTTTTTGAGAGATGTCCAAGTTCTTTTTTTTTTTTTAAATGGTACTTGGAGTTGAACCTAGGGTCTTCATACTGAACTACATCACCAGCACTTTTTAAAAAAATTTTTGGAGATAAGGTCTCACTATGTTTTACACACATAACTGAAACTTGCTGTCCTCTTGCCTCAGCCTCACAGAGTGCTGGGATTACCAGCATGTACTGCTATTCTTGGCTCCAAGTTGATATTTATAGAACTGTTGTATTCATTTTAACCTGTTGTTGTTTTCCCTCATGAATATATATTTATATATTTATTATGTTTTATTTATTCTTTGCCATTCTGATCGTTCAGTGTTCATTTAATGCAGACAACATACAGTGAGTATCCTCACACATGTTGTTGCACTGATTGCCTGTATCTGCAGTGTGTAACCAGTGTGTGCATATTTTAGTGCAGAGGTATATATGTTTTTGGTTTCTGTATAAAAAATGCCTTTGTGGGTTTTTTTTTTTTTTTTTTTTTTGTCTTTTTCGTTTTTATCGGTACCGGGGATCGAATTCACGACTGCCTGCTTGCAAGGCGGGCGCTCATGCTGCTGAGCTAAATCCCCAGCCCCCAAAATGCCTTTTTTTAAAATGCTGGGTATTATTGTACCCAGAATCTTATTTATGCTAGGCATAAATAGAAAGTACAGTAGCATGTTACTCAGTGCTATACCACTGAGCTGTACCCTTTGCCTGCTAGTGTTCTTCTGGCTACTTACAGTGATATTGTCTGACTTTGACATTTGTGCTCATGGAAGAAATGTGGGGGAGGCTGGGTGTGGTGGCCCATGCCTGTAAGTCTAGCATTCAGGAGGCTGAAGTGGGAGGATTGCTGCAAGCTTGAGGCCAGCCTAGGCTTTGTAGTGAGTTCAGGGCCAGCCTAAACTACATAGTAAGACCCTGTCTCAAGGAAAAACCAAAACAAAATGAAATAAAATAAAAAGAAAGGTGGAAGCCGGGCGTGGTGGCTCACGCCTGTAATCCAAGCACTTGGGAGGCTGAGGCAGGAGGATCGCTTCGAGTTCAAGACCAGCCTAGGCTACAAAGTGAGCACAAGGCCAGCCTGAACTGCATAGTGAGACCCTGTCTCAAAAAGACAGAAAAAAAAAAAACAACAAAGGGAGAGTAATGACATCTAGATAGAATTTTGCATTTCCTCAGTTACTAGTGAGGTTTAACACTTTTCACACTGGTTTTATTTTAAATCTCTTTCTCAGTTACTGAGAGGGTAGACTGCATTATTGTACGCAAAGGATATAGAAGTATGAGGAGCAAGCACTGATGGTCTTCTTTACCTTGTTATTATAAGATAAATTCAGTAATAGAAAATTAACATAGAACTTGGGACAGTTCCCAACTTTTTGGGTACCAGGAACTGGCTTCTCAGGAAAGATAATTTTTCCGCAAACAGGGGAGGGGTAGTTTCAGAATAATTCAAGCACATTGGATTTATTGTTTACTTTATTTCCATTATTACATATGTTACATGATAGAACTGTGGGGGACAGGCGGCGGCTGAAAAGATAAGAAGTATGAAATATAAATGACCTTTATTTTGAGAATGCGGGGAGAAACACCCCAATCCCCTGGGGCGTGGCATTTCCACCCCGGGTCAGCAATCTCTCCATGGAACACATGGAGTGAGGCACGTAAGTAGCCTCGGTTTGGGGTAGAACCTAAGGGGGCATTAGGGATACACAGGTAGCCCACTGGTCTTTGTTTGGCGCCAGAGGTAAATCCTAAGGATGGGGGAGATGGCGCTCCTTGGTTCCGGCTGAGGCTTTACCAGCTACAGTGTCCGGCCTGGGCCAAAACTCTTTCAACCTTATTTGTTTGTTTGTTTTTTATTAGTACATGTTTGTAGTATGTAATGTTTACATTCCTTGTAGGGAATTGATACATATGCATAACACATCTTAATTCCTTTTTCATCCTCTTTCCCTTCTCTGCCTTTATCTTTTGACTCCTTTTCCCTTCTAGAGCATTCTTTCCTACTTCCTAGTATCTACCTTTTACTTGCTCTTTATTTATTTAATTCAGGTGAGAAACCAGGCAATATTTAAGTTTGCATGTCTGGTTTATTTCACTTAAAATTATGGTTTCAAGGTACATCTGTTTTCCTACAAATCATTTATTTTTCTTTGTGGCAAAGTAATATTCATTGTGTGTGAAAATCACATTTTCTTTATTCATTCATTGTTGATGGATATTTAGGCCATTTCCAAGATTTAGCTATTATGAATTGTGTTGGCTATAAATATGAGTCTGTATGTATCACTATAATATGATGTATTTAACTCTTTCAGGAAGATATCTAAAAGGTGAATAACCGAGTCAAATGGAATTTCTAGTTTTAGTTTTTTGTAGAATCTCCAAACTTATATATCCATAGTGATAGTGTTAGTTTACATTTCCACCAACAGTTCAGTAGTGCTCCTTTTCACATATAGGCTCTCCAGTATTTATTTATTTATTTAGCTGCCTTTAAAAAACGTATTTATTTACTTACTGATTTTTGAGACAGGGTCTCAATATGCAGGCTGGCCTTGAATTTACTTTGTTAGCCCAGGCTGGCCTTGAACTCTCAGTGATCATCCTCAGCTTCCAGAATGCTTGGAATTACAGGCATGTGTCAAGAGGCCCAGCATAATTTTGGTTTTTATTAGTACACATTTGCGGTACACAGTGATTCCATTTACCATAGGGAGTTGGCACATATACATAATGCATCTTAATTCTTTTTACACCTCCTTCCTCTCCCTGCCATCTCTTGGTCCTTTTTCAAATGCAGCATTCCTCAGGCAGTTGCCTAGAAGGAAACAGGATCCAAGAGGGCATAATCTGCAATAAGCAATGGGAATCTCTCTGGGGCAGATGGCAGAGTGGATGCTGGGGAGGCTGCCCTTTCTGATTGGTTTATTGTATCCTTCTAGCATTTATTTTCCAATTAATGAGTGTTGGCCACAGATATTGGGTTGACCTGAGCTGTAAAAATCTCCCAAGTTACTCTCACATGCAGTTGTTTTTTTTTGATTTCTTGATAACAGCCATTCTTTCTGGGGTAAGATAGAATCTCAGGGTTGCATAAATTTGCGTTTCTTGAATGACCAGTTATGCAGAGCATTTTTTCATGTATTTATTTGCTGTTTGTACTTCATCTGAAAAATGTCTGTTCATTTCTAGGCTGAGTCTTCAAATTTGGAGAGTGATTTTTTTTTTTCAGTTCTTTTAGTTCTTTGTGTATTCTAGATGTCAGTTGTCTGAGGAGTGATTGGTAAAAATTTTTACCCATTCTGTGGGTTGTCTCTTGATTCTCTTGGTGATTACTTTTTCTGTACAAAAGCTTTTTAGCCGGGTGTAGTGGCACTCTCCTGTAATTCCAGCACTTGGGAGGCTGAGGTAGGCAGATCACTGCAGGTTCAGACCAGCCTGGGCTACAAAGTGAGCACAAGGCCAGCCTGAATGGCACAGTGAGACCCTGTCTCAAAAAGAGAAAAAAAAAAAAAAAAAAAGCTTTTTAATTTGATATAATCCCAAATTGTTGATTCTTTGTAGTCAACCCTATGTGATCAGGGTTTTGTTCATAAAGTCTTTGCCTCTACCTATGTCTTTCAGAGTTTAACCTACTAAATATATCTTCCAGCACATTTAGTGTTTCTCTTTTAATATTTAGATCTTTGATCAATTTTGAGGTACATGGTAAATGATAAGGGTCTACAACCAACCTTCTACACGTGAATAACTGGTTTCCCTAGCACCATTTATTGAAGAGGATATCCTTCTCCCAATGCATGTTTTTAACCCCTTTGTCAAAGATCAAATAGTTGAGTATGCTTGGGGTTGTTTCTGTGTCCTCTGTTCTGGTCTCTTGATCCTCATAAGGCCACTATCGTGTGTTGATCTCAAGCAGCTGATCCTTTTGTAGTATAGACAAAGTCAGTTTACCTGGCTCATTCATTCACAAATGGGTCACGGATCCATTCCTTTTTAGTGTAGGAGTCATTTTGTAGTTGAGAAGCTTTGTGGTGTATATGCAGTGTCCCCCCAAATTCTTATCTGGCTGAAAGGTGATTGGATTATGGAAGCACTGTATTCATCAGTAGATTCATCGACTGAGTTCAGTAGCTGAATGGGGCCCTAATTGAAGGTGGTCACTGGAGGGAGGGCATACCCTTCAGCTTCTTACTTATTTCTCTGCTTCCTGGTTGCCATTGGTTGAGTGTCTTTTCCTTTGCCATGCCCCTCCAACGTCCTGTTTTGCTTTGAATCGTGCTGACCATGGACTGAAACCATGAGCCAAAGTAAACTTCTCTGCCTTTTGTTGCAGGTGTCGGTATTGTGTCTCAGTGACAAGGTAACTAAGGTGGGAAGTAATGCTCAAACTCTTAAAAGTGGAGATTGGTGATCATGTACCAGCTGGAAGAAAGAAGGCCTTTGATCATTCTCTTTCAAAGTCTCTGCTAATACTTAAAATACATCAGAAATTCCATTGCTCTCTTAATCTCAGTTTGGTTTTGAACACAGTTACTTTATCTGCTGATCTGAATACAGTTGTCATTCTCCTCTGAAGTGATAAATTGAGGGTTTTTAAAATATATTTTATCTCAAGGAGAAAAAGAAAAAAAAAGAAGAAAGAAAACTAAAATAGAATTTCAAAGCACATCAATCAGGGGCAACAATGGTACATACATTGTGCATTGTCATCCCCAAATCATTCATCCAGAGCATAAGACTTCAGCATTCAATTGTCCAAACAATACCAACACAAATCTTTCTCTTCAGTGAACTCAGAGAAATCAGTAGTATAACTATCTTTAACTATTTTTTATATGCATATACATATATATATACATATGTTGTTTCAGCTTCTCACACTAATGAGATGATGTATTTACACATGTGTGTTTTATTTATTACACTGAGTATGGTCTTAAGTTTTATCCATTTATCTATCAAAATCTCCAGTTTATACTTCTTTATGGCTGAGTAGTGCTCTGTTGTATAAAAATACCACATCATTTTTTTCTGTTTTCTCAGTGATGGGCATTTAGGTTATTTCCAAGATATGGCTATTACAAATTGTGCTTCTGTAAACATGAGTGCACATATATGGCTGTGGTATGATGTTTTTAATTATTTTGGGAAGATACCCAAAAGGGGAATAGCTGGGTCAAATGGGACCTCTAGTCCTAGTCTTTTGAGGAGTCTCCACAGTGATTTCCACAGTGGTTGCACCAGTCTGCATTGCCACCTACAGTAGAGAAGGGTTCCTTTTTCCCCAGAGCCCCTCTAACATTTGTTATTGGTTGATTTTTTAATACTAGCCATTCTTTCTGGTGTGAGGTGTACTCTCAGTGTTTTAATCATCTCTCAAATAACCAGTGATGTCAAACATTTTTTCACATATTTATTTGCTGTTTGCAGTTCTTCATCTGGGGTGTTTATTCATTTCAGATAGCCATTTTGGATTGGGTTTTTAAATCTGGAAGGATTATCTGGGCATGGTGGCTTATGCCTGTAATCCTAACATTCAAAAGGCTGAGACAGGAGGATTGTTGGAGTTCAAGACCAGCCTGGACTACAAAGTATCCTCAAGGCCAGCATAGTGAGACCTAGTGTCAAAAAGACAAAAAAAAAAAAAAAAAAAAAAAATCTGGGAGGACTGATTTTTTTTTTTTTAAAGTTCTTTGTATGTTCTTGACAGTAATCCTTTGAGGTACAGTTATTTTCTCCCACATAATGAGTTGTCTCTTTACTCTGTTGGTCGTTTCTCTTGCTGTGCAAAAGCTTTTCAGTGAGGTGAGATCCCAGGAGTTTATTCTTTGTGATAGTTCTGTGCAGTCAGGGTTTTGTTCATAAAGTCTTTGCCTATACTAGTGTCTTCAAGAGTTTTACCTACTCTATCTTCCAGCAGATTTCATGTTTCTGTTTTAATATTAGCATCTTTAATCAAGTCTGATTTTATCTTAGTACATAGTGAAAGATGCAGGTCCAGTTTTAATGTTTCACATGTGTAGAGCCAGGTTTTCCAGCCCCATCTATTAAAGAGGCTTTCTTTCGTTCAGTGAATGTGTTTGGCACCTTTGTCAAAGATAAGATGGTTTAGTGTATCGTCAATTGTTTCTGCATCTTCTAATCTGTTCCATTGATCTTTGGGTCTTGTTTTTGTTTTGTTGTTGTTGTTGTTTTGCAGGACCACACTTTTTATCACAGTAGCTTTATAGTATAATTTCAAGTCAGATTGTGATAGCCCCTGTCTTGTATTTTTTGCCCAGATTCCCTTCTCTATTCTATATCTCTTCTGGTTCCAGATGAATTTTAGGATTGCAGTCTCTTAATTCTGTGAGATATGCTACTGGAATTTTGATTGGAATTACATTGAATCTGTGTAACAGTTTTGGAAGTATGACCATTTTCACCATATTGGTTCTTCCTACCCAAGACCACAGGATATTTCTGCATTTTCTAATACCCTCTTCAATCTCTTTTTTTCAGAGTGCTGTAGTTCTCAATTTAGAGGTCTTCTATGGTTTGTTAGATTGATTACTAGGTATTTCTTTTTTTTTTTTTTTTTTGGAATGCTATTATAAAAGGTATTGTTTCCCTGATTTCTCTCTCAGTGAGTTTGTTATTTGTGCACAGGAAGCCTATTGATTGTTGAGTGTTGACTTAGAATTTAGATTTTTAAGCAAATTCTAGCTACTTTACTGAATTTGCTTATTAAATCTAGTAGTCTTTTGGTGGAGTTTTTGGGGTCTTCTAAGTAGAGTATACTCATCAGCAAAGAACGATAGTTTAACTTTTTCCTTTCCTATCTTTACTGTTTTTATTTCTTTCTCTTGTCTAATTGCTCCTGCTAAAATTTCAGGACTGCATTGAATAAGAGTGGAGATAGTGGACATCCTTGTCTTGTTCCCGATTTTAAAGAGAAAGCTTTCCGTTTTTGTCCATTTAATATGATGTTGTTGGTTTGTCATAAATGGCTTTTATCAGAATGAGATAAAGACCCATGTTTTCCAATTTTGTGTAGGGTTTGTATTATGAATGGGTTCTGGACTTTGTCAAAAAGTTTTTTTGTATCTATGAAGATGATATGATTTTTGTCCTTCGCTCTATTAATATGATGTATTGCATTTATGGATTAACGTATGTTGAACCATCCCTGCATCCTTGGGATGAATCCCACTTGATGTACAATCTTCATGATGATTTGCTGCAGTCTGTTTGCCAGTATGTCACTGAGAATTTTTGTATAAGTGTTCTTTTTTTTTTTGGTCTTTTTCGGTACTGGGGATCGAACTCATGACTGCCTGGTTGCAAGGTAGGCGCTTATGCCGCTGAGCTAAATCCCCAGCCCCTGTATAAGTGTTCTTTAGGGAGATTGGCCTGTAATTCTCTTTCATAGTTGAGTCTTTCTCTGGTTTTGGTATCAGGGTAATGCTTGCTTCCAGGAATGACTTTGTGAGTATTGCTTCCCTTTTAATTTCATTAATGGTTGAATATGTTTGGCACTCAATCTGAAGCAGTGCAGAGAAAATGAGAGATAAGAAGGAGACAAAGGAGCAGGCCTTTAATGTGGGCGTGGAGAGCTTCATGGGGCAGGTGGTACAGATGCTCTCACAAAGAAGTGGGACTACTTTTATCAATTTAGGCTGTGGGAGGAGTTTTAACCACTGATTTGTCTTTTTTTTTTTTTTTTTTTTTTTTTGCCACACCAATTCAGTTCTGATGATTTGTCTTTTTGAGACAGGGTCTTACTATGCAGTTCAGGCTGGCCTTGGGCTCACTTTGTAGCTCAGCCTGGTCTCGAACTCGCAACGCAACGATCCTCCTGCCTTAGCCTCCCGAGTGCTGGGATTACAGGTGTGAGCCACCACGCCCAGCTCTTAACTGCTGATTTGAAGGAGCATCTCCTGTGTAAGTCAGGAGACAAATTTACTGGGGAATGAAGGTAGAGGCTTAGGTAGTTGTGGAGACTTGGGATTGGAAAGGACTTGGTGCACATGCAAAAAGGGAGCGGGAGGTTTATCTCTGGAATGATATGGGGAACATAGAAGGTACTGTTGGAGAGATAAGTTGTTTCTCTGGGTGCAGCACCAAGTTGAGAGGATGTAGCTAAACCTCTTTGAAGAGTTTGAGAAGTAGTGGTGTTAGGTCTTCTAAATTTCTTGTGGAATTCAGTAGTGAATTCATTAGGGCCTGTGCTTTTCTTTCTTGATAGGTTTTTAATTACATGTTTAATTTCATTTATTGATATTGAGTTATATAGGATTTTCATATCTTGATTCAGCTTTGGTAACTCAGGTGTATCTAGGAATCTGTCCATTTCTTCTGTTTTCCATCTTATTAGAATACAAGTTTTCAAAGTGTAGATATATAATTGATTTTTGGATCTCTGCAGGGTCTGTTGTGATTCATTCCTAATTGTGTGCTTTTGAGTCTTTCTTTCCCTTTTTTTTTTTTTTTTGATAAGATTGGCTAAGGGTTTGTCTATTTTATTTAATCTTTCAAAGAACCAACTCTTTGATTCATTGATTCTTTGTAGTTTTTAGTCTCCAGTGTGTTCATTTCTGCTCTGATCTTTATCATTTCCTCCCTTATACATGCTTTTGGATTAGCCTGCTTTTCTTTTTCTAGAAGTTTGAGGTGCAACATTAAGTTGTTTATATTTGCTCTGTTTTCCTGATATGGATATTAACTGCTATAAATTTCCCTCTTAAGACTGCTTTCATTGTGTCCCACAAGTTCTAGTAGTGTAGTCATTATCATTCAACTGTAAAGACTGTCTTAATTTCTTCTTTAATTTCATCTGTAACCTGTTGGTGTTCAGTAGGGTGCTATTTAATTTCCATGTGTTTATGAAGTTCTTGTAGTTTCCTTTGGCTTGGATTTTCAATTTCATTGCACTGTAGTCCGATAGTATGCAGGGTTAGATAAGATAATTTCAGTTTCTTGCATTTACTTAAGCGTATTCTATGAGCCGTTATATAGTCTGGTTTATGTTTTTGTTTTCATTTTTTTGTTTGTTTGTTTTCTGGTATGAGTCAAGAACTCACAATCTTGCTCTTGCTAGGCAAGCTCTTATGCCGCTGAGCTGAATCCCTGGCTATGGTCTGTTTTGGAGAGTGTCCCATGTGCAGCTAGGAATGTGTATTCTGATGTTGTGGGATGAAACACTCTATAGACATCTGCTAAGTACATTTGTTCACAAGTTTGATTTAGCCAGCCGTGGTGGCTCATGCCTCTAATTTCCGCACTTGGGGGGCTGAGGCAGGAGGATCGATGGGAGTTTGAGACCAGCCTGAGCTACAAAGTTGAGCTCAAGGCCAGACTGAACTGCATAGAGAGACTCGGTCTCCGGTAAAAGAAAAGTTTGATTTAGTTCTAGTATTTCATTATGGATTTTTTTTGTCTAGTTGATCTGTCTTTTTGTGACAGTGGGGTGTTGAAGTCTCCCAATACAGTTGTATTAGGCTTTATTTGATTTTTCATGTTTGTTAGTAATTATTTTTTGTAGTTGGGTGCACTAGTATTTGTTGCATATATATTGATAATTGTTATCCCTTCCTCTTGGATTGTTCCTTTTATGAGGATGCAGTGACTTTCTTTATTTTTCTTAATCAGTTTTGGCTTGAAATTCACTTTGTCTGCTTTTTTCTGGGTTCCTGTTACATGTAGTGTTGTTTTCCATCCTTTGACTTTCAGTCTATGAATTTCTTTTTGACTTAAATGTGTTTCTTGGATGTAGCATGTTGTTAGGTCTTGCTTCTTGACCCATTCTCCAGTCTGTCTCTCTTGACTGGGGAACTGAGACCATTACCCTTCATGATTATAACCAATAGGTATTGACTTATCCTTGTCATGTCGTTGGCTCCCCTGTTTTTTTCCCCTCCCTCTAATTGTTTGCCTTCCCTGGTGGATTCCTTCTGTTGGGGTTCATGGAGCTGTAGTCCTTATTATCTCTTTATAGAGTGTCCTTCAGAACATTTTGGAGTGCTGGTTTGGTGGTCATAAATTTCCTCAGATCTTCTTTTTCATCTTATTTGAAGTATCTTATTTCTCCATCAAGTTTGAAAGATAGTTTTATGGGGTACATCAATCAGAATTGAAAGTTGTTTTCTTTTAGAATTTGGAGTACTTCACTTCAAGTTCTCCTTGACTTGAGAGTTTGTGCTGAGAAGTCAGCTGTAATTCTGATGTGCTTTCCTTTATGGATGATTTGTTTCTTTTTTGTAACAGCTTTTAGGATTCTAGGCTCGTGTTGAATTTCTGGAATCTTGACTATGATATGCCTGGCTGTAGATTTTTTTTTTGTCTTTTTCCTTTTTATCGGTACTGGGGATCGAACTCACGAATGCCTGCTTGCAAGGCAGACGCTTATGCCGCTGAGCTAAATCCCCAGCTCCAAAATTTTTTTTTTAATTGCTAATTGAAGTTCTATATGCCATGTTTATTTGTATGTCAAATTCTTTTTCTCTACCAGGAATGTTTTCTGTCATGATGTCTGTGAACATTATTTTAGTGTCATCTGTGGCATCTCCTGCTTTTTCATTGACTCCAAGCACTCTTAAGTTATTCTTCTTTGTCTCATCTAGCAGCTGCTGGATTGATTTCTCATGGTCCCTTGCTATTTTGAGAAATCTTTCTTTTCTCAGTTGCTAACTGCAAGCCTGTCTTCAGTATCTGAGATCCTGTCCTCACATTGGCCTAAACTGCTTCTAATACTTTAAATGGAGATTTTATTCTCCTAGATATCTAATTGAATCTGCTTTATGGATTCCATTTCTTTCCTATGCTGTGCTTTCATAATTTTCTTAAGCTTGTCTATTTTTTTGTCTGTGTCTGCTTTAACATCGCTAAGCATGTTGTGTATTTTGTATTTTGAGAGGTTATTTCTTTTTTTCTTTTTCTTTTTTTTTTTTTTTTTTGTCTTTTTCATTTTTATCGGTACCAGGGATCGAACTCACGACCGCCTGCTTGCAAAGCAGGTGCTTATGCCGCTAAGCTAAATCCCCAGCCCCTGAGAGTTTATTTCCGATTTCATTTTTTCAAGTCTAATTCAATTGCATTATTGTTACAACATCAGTGAGACTTGGTGGGTACTTTTGGATTGACCCACCTCATTGCTTCCTGGGTTTGCCATTGGTAAACTGGATGTTTGAGGTTGCATCAAGTGTCTTCTCATTTCTTCTTTTTTTTAGTTTAATTCCTGGGGTGATGCTTATAAGTTGCCTGTGGTGGGTTACTTTATGGCTAGCATTTAGGCCTCTTACGTGTTGATTACTTCTCTGAGGTAGCTTCTAGGTGTATCTGGTTTTTGGGTTTTGAGTCTGTCAGAAGATTTTACCTCTTCAGTTTGTTGGAGATAAGAAGTTGTTGCTTGTTTGATCTAGTCTCTAGTACTTTGGCACTGTGCTACCATATTTTTTGTAACCCTTAATTAATCTCAGCCATGGAATACCAGGACTAACAGGTGTTTAGAACAGTTATTTGGAGCCGGGGATTTAGCTCAGTGGTACAAGCACCTGCCAGGCAAATGCCAAGTCATGAGTTCGAACGCTGGTACAAAAAAAAAAAAAAAAAAAAAAAAGTTGTCTCAATTTTGGGACAGCTTCTCTGGTAACAATCACATCAAACACAAACTGAGCTAAGCCTTAATATGCAAGCTTTAACCCTATGAACTGGACTTGTGATTATATAACAAAATGTAAAACAAACCAGATAATTAATACAATATGTAAGTCCATATCAGTTTTGCCCTCAGGAGTTCAAATTTAAAATGAAGGAGAAAATAGAGAAGTGGAAGAAGAGGAAGAGATTAGAAGTAAGATTGGAGGACAACGGGGATCACACCAACCTGAGGTAACTGGTGCAGAAGACTGAAGGAAAAGAGAAATGGGAGAGATAAGAGGAAGAACAGCAGAACCACACTCACAAAGAGGTTAGGAACCACTTTTACACTCACATAAAAAGAATGAAGGAGAAAATAAAAACAGTCAACTTCCAGGATTCTCTCTGGTTTCACAAGTAGACTACTTGTGGAGACAGAGTCCCAAATCATGCCAGTCTAGCTCAGCAGTTGCTTTTTGGTATGGTAGTGAATAATTTCAGTAGGCCTGCCCTGAGACCAGACTCATTGGACTCACCAGTGTCCAAGCAGTTTCAATGGGTCTGAGCCCAGCTGGGAGCTGCTAGAAGAAGCTAGCAGCAGTTCTGGGTTCTGAGCTCAGCCTGCCCATCTTCCAAATGGCTCCTGGATAATGCTTTCTACCTGTCGGTAGACTAAGTCCTCTGCACTCATCACCAGTCAGTGTAGTGCTCCATATCTGCTGCTCCTCTGCAGAGACCTCTAAGATCACCAGCTGTCACCTGTAAGAGTGACCATATATCCCCAGGTTTGAACAGCTCCTCTCACACCGTTAATCGCATCTCAGAGCAAAAGCGCTGCTGGCTCTGCACTCTTCCTTGAAGTTTTTATTTTCACTCCCTCCATGGGTTTCAGGTTGCACTTCAGATTCTTCCTGGGTCCACGGGACCCACTTCCTTCTTTCTTATCTTCCTCGAATTGCTGCATTCTGGCATCTTGACAGTGACTATCAGAAAGGCTGATTTCTCTGCTGCTTACCACTCTGCCATCTTCCCAGAAGCCCTAAATTGAGTTCTTTTAAGCAAGTAGAAGAACATACCACATGAATAAGCAAGTTTTGTCACCCATTCTGTGTTGCTGAAATGTACTGCCAGTGGTGGCTGTTATTCTGAAAAAAAATATTGTGATTTATTAAAAAGAAAAAAAACTGGCCAGTGATCTATCTACCTTTAGAAAGCCATCTCCCATCTCAGTTGTATGTATAAGAAAAGGTGTGCATTCTGTATTTGTCCCCCTACAGGGCTATGCAGTAGACATGAATTAAGGGCATGTACTTTAATGTGGCTGATAATTTTGTTCATATTTTGCAAAACATTTTTAAGTTCAGATGACATTTTTCAGCTAGCCAGCATTTCTCCATGGATGTTATAGCACATAAACTCACTTTCAGATGTGACCTTTTTGCCTTAAGTAGTAAAACCAGGAAGCCATACAGTCATGGCATGGGAATCACTCCAGCAGTGCATATGGCATATATACTAATAAAAAAGACCAGTTCAGTTTTCCTGATGACTTGAATAGTTTTGCAACTGTGCTGTTGATTCCCAAGAACAATGCACATAACATATCCCCATGAATGTTCTCCTGAAAAACATACTGCACAAAAACAAGCATAATGACCTTGTCAACATCAGTACACTTACAAGCCTGGATTGTGAACCACAGAACTTGTTAATCCTCTAACAGATGTGCTTCCATATACTCTGCTATTCCGCTGATTTGTCCAGGTATGGTGCCAGCCAAAAGAGAAACGTGCTGCTGTTGGAACTGTGGCCTCCTAAAAGTTCGTGACAGATGTCCTCAGCAGCAGGCAAGATCAACCCTTCAAGCCGGGCATGGTGGCTCACTCCTGTAATCCCAGCATTTGGGAGGCTGAGGCAGGAGAATCACGGAGAGTTCGAGACCAGCCTAGGCTACAAAGTGAGCTCAAGGCCAGCCTGAACTGCATAGAGAAGCCCTACCTCAAAAAGACCAAAAAAAAAAAAAAAAAAAAAAAAAAGATTAAGCCTTCACCAATAGTAAAGGGCTTCTCAGCTTCAGCAATGCAGTTAGCTACTGAGAATGGTGCTGTCAGTGAAGACACATTTGATGAAGGGGTGGCTTTCAATAATTGTTTCTCTTCTTCATGCTTATCTTTTTTTCTGGAGTGAAGAACTCCAGAGGCTTGTCTGCTAATACAGGCACTTGTTCTCCATGTGACAGAGTAGTTTTAAAGGTACCACGGCTTTGTTGGAAAGCTATATACTATACAAAGTGGTCTGGGGACATTATGAGTCACCTGTTGCAATGAACCTGTGAATTAAGTGGGACTCTTGGTATTTTCTTTTAAATGCAGCTTTTTTTTGGCATCTTAGCTGTTTTATCAGCTGAAGAGTTTTTTCCTCTTTTGAAAAAAGCTGCCCAGTGGTGCTTGCTTTTTACTAATTTTCTCAAGGATTAGTTTGCAGACTACCCAAACTGAGTCCCGTGGGCAGTGCAGGAAATAGGCATGGATGGAAGTGGTAAATAAAATGGTGGGCCAACTGTGGACCAATGAAAGTGTTGGATTCTGACTTAAAAGCCTGCCACTGGATGCAGCTGCACAATCGAAGTACCCAGCTTGTTACTGTAAAGCCTAACATCAGATGCAACTTACTTGTCACTTGCCACTTACTAAGAGGATTTTTTTTTTTTTATCGGTACCAGGGATCGAACTCACGACCGCCTGCTTGCAAGGCAGGTGTTTATGCCGCTGAGTTAAATCTCCAGCCCCTACTGAGAGGATTTTTGATGAGTCTGCAACAGCTGATTTATTATGGACTTTGTGCAGTCAGACCTCTTTGCTAATGATCATCAGTATTTGTGGCTGCTCCTCAGAGTGGCCATAACTGTGTCAGCCCCGTCTCAGATCATCAGGTGTTAGATCTCATAACGTAGTTCCCTTCATATACAGTTGATGAGAATTTCATGCTGCTGCTGATTGTTTGGGAGGGGAGCTCTGGCATTAATGTGAGTTACTTCTGCAGTGTAGTCTGGTTTCTAACAGATCATGAAGCAGTACTGGTCTGAGGCCCAAGAGTTGAGGACTTCTAGTTTGGGGAACTATTATAAAGTAAACTCTATCTGTCACTGCTCAAATTGAGACTGCTACTTGCCAACAATCCCAGAAGCCTCTCCCAAGAACTCACCCCAAAACAGCCATTTCCCACCTCCAAATCAATCCTCCTGTGTTTAGATGGCTTATCACCAAGTGTAATTGTAAACGTCAAGTTCAGTCTTGCCTAGTTTCTATACCTGAATCTAGTTAACAGCATGGTTCTCCAGGCCTTTCTTGTCCTGCTGTGGAAGGACCAGACCCTTTGGCCCACAGTCAGCATTCATGCTGTTTTTCCACACAATGGTTCCTGTGTATTGGTGTCTGGATCCAGGAACTTGATCACATTCACATTTAACCTCTCTGACAAGGCCAGGTGCTGTTGGGGCTGGGGATTTAGCTCAGTGGTATAAGTGCCTGCCTGGCAAGTGCGAGGTCTGAAACTCAATCCCTGGTACCAAAAAGAAAGGAAAAGAAAAGAAAAAAGACCAGGTGCAGGAGGCATCATTTGGCAGCTGGAGTCAAAGGGCTACTTCACTGTTCTTGTTTATGATTTGGCTATTCAGAGGTGTAGTCCATATAGAAAAGGGAGGAGGATAAGAGCTGGATGTTTCTTAGTTTCTAAGATAATGAGTTGATTCTTTTTCACTCTGAGAGAGTGATGAGTTAACTCATGGACTTAAATGTATTGATAGATTTTAATCTGTTGCAATTCTATCCATATTGAGCCCCAAAACGACCCATTTTTGGCCAGTTGGGAGCCTCTTCAAGCTGGCTTCCATTTCCTTACAACCTGACCTCAGCCTCCTTGCTACCTGGAGTCAGGATATTCCGCACTCTGGGAACCTCCTCTCTAGACCTTATACTACCTTATACTGACCAGTCTCCAGGAAGCCCTCCCTTCCCTTCATGGGAGGGAAAAGACCTTCAGTGCAGGCAGTGATTGCTGTTCACTACTGGCTGGTTATTTAATATCTTATCTTCAGTGGTAGCACTAGGAAGTATTGGTGGACATGTCCAATATGTGTAAGCACACATGTATATCTATGAAAACATACATATACGTATATGTGCATGTGTATATTCAAAACATGCACCTACATTTTTGAGGAACAATATCTTGTGAACTCATATAAATACAGTTCCAGTTAATGATTACAATTTTCCCGATCACATCTGTGTTTTCTTCTTCATCCCACTATTCTGGTTCCCAGGGGCACAGGATTTGAAAGACTGCTTTTCCCATTGTAAATACACAGTAGTCTCAAAATAACAGCATTCATGCAACCGCCTGGGACTGTGGTGACTGGAAAGTAGTAGAAGTGTTTTCGTGCACACTGCCTGCATTCTCCCCACAGTGCCTTATGCTGGCCAAGGTCTGCACTGTGGAGCATATAGTTCTTATGTACCATTGTCTGCTTTGCAGAGAGTCTGCTTCGTGAACCATGAGTTTGTGTTTCAGTCTTTAGTAGCTTTGGTTCTGAGGCATGGTCTCTAGGAGGCCTCTAGGGACAGACACCCAGCTCGTGGAGAGTTCGCTTGCTGAAAACCTTTTCTTTGTGTCCTTTATATTTGAAGGTCAGTTTTACTGGATATAAAATTCATGACTCATATTTCTCATTTTCTTTAAAGTTCAGTAGTTTTTCTGTAACACATTTTGCTGTGAATCGTCCTAAAATGATACTCTCAGAAGCATAGTACACTTTTTTTAAATTTTTAATTTTAATTTTTTGAGATAGGGTCTGACTATGCAGTCCTGGCTGGCTTTGAACTCTCTATGTAGCTCAGAATGGGCTCAAACTCACAATGATTCTTCTGCCTCAGCCCCCAGGTACTGAGATTGTGGGCCTGCACTGGCATATCTGGCCAGTATACTCTTTTAATAGGTAGTTTCAAATATTTTTCATTTCAGGACAGTTTTCTGGAATTGTAGCTTTAATTCCTCACCTAGCTTTGGTATTTGTCACTTTGTCTCTAAATGTTATCTTATTTTACACTTCAGTTTTTGGTATCAGTTGTCAGGCTGGCAACTTAGCTCAATGGTAAAGTCTTGCCTAGCATGCATCGTCTAGGGTATGATCTTCCTTGGAAAACAACAACAAAAACAGCTTTCATTCATGTAAAGCATACACGTCATTAGTTCTTCATTCTCAGTCCTGCCTTGGTACACAATTGCTTGGAAACTCATCAGATTTTGTGCTCAGCTTTTTTGTGTGTGAGACCAGGTCTAACTATGTAGTTCAGGCTGACCTCAAACTCACCATGATCCTCCTGCCTCAGCCTCTGGAGTAGTGGAATTACCAGGCATGTGCTACACCACCGTGATATGAAAATTCTGTCCCAGCACTCGACATGCAAGTTAGAACTTGTCACTATTGATTGGTTTGTGATTCATTACCCTTTTCACCAGAACCATTTGTTTGGTACCTTTGCACCTCTTAGAACTAATTAATAGAGAATTCTAAGTTACCATTGTATTATATTATTAATTTTTAAATGTGATAAAATTAAATGAAATACTGATACATAGGCTGTGGGTATAACTCAGTAGTAGAGCATGAGCAAGGCCTTTCATTGCTTTTTATGGCTGAATAGTATTCCATTTGAGAGACTATACCACATTTTATATTTACCTTCAATGAATACTCCAGTTGTTCCCACCTTTTAGCTATTGTGAATGAGGCTGCCATGAACATTGGAGGCCGGAAATCTGAGTCCCTGGTCTCCATTCTTTTGATAATACTATCCTAAAAGATATTTTAGCTTTAAAAACGTCCATATATGATAATAGAATTGCTAAATCATTGTTGCCAGACTGTTTCCCATATATGATTGTACTACTTTATCTTGCCACCACTGTGGTCAGGGTTCTAGTTTTTCCACATCCTCACCAACACTTGTTATTATAATAATTAATAGGTGTGAAGTGTTTTATTAGTGGGATTTCGCTTCACATTTTCCTAATGACTAAGCATCTTTTTGTGGCCAGGGGTTTAGCTCATCCGCGTAACTACCTGCTTGGCAAGCGTGAAGTCATGAGTTTGATCCCCTGTACCAAAAAAAAAAAAAAAAAAAAAAAAGAAGCATCTTTTTCAGTTCCCCTCCCCCTTTTTCTCTAGCACTATGGCCTGAATGCAGGGCCTTCACAATGAGTACCTTTCTAGTCCTTTTTTTTTTTTTTTTTTTTTTATTTAAGGAGAAAAATAAAAAAAGGGGGGGGTACAAATTATACAGAATTTCAGAAAAAATAAACAGTAGGAAATCATTAGTTAATAGATTACATATTGTCATCTTAGAAATAGTTGTTCAGGTTACAAAATTAAAGCATATAAAGCAGACATTCAAACAGTGAGACTGGAAACAGTTCTGTTCAATGATCCAACAAAACTCAGTAATATGGTTATCTAGCTTATACACTTAAATATACATGCAGTTATATCCTTTAGAGCACTTTCTTTTCCTCTCTTTTGTACAATGACAATTACACATTTTGGGTTTTATTACTCCCACTGTTCTTATTACTTTTTTTGAAGAGAATAAAACCAAATGTGACATAACAAAACAGAGTCAGTCAAATCAAAAGGATGGACATAATACTGTAAAAACAAAAAACAAGGTGATCAACAATGGTTACCATAATGCCTCTTGATATCTTAAAAAGAATTGCCTATATCATCAGTTATAATAAAATTAAACAAAACAATAAAGAACAAAACCAATAAAACCAAAACACTGGAGACATTACAGGACTCCAAAAGAAGATAATAATCAAACCAGAATGGGTGTCATAATGAATCTTACTGTCTTCACAGTTGTTGCCTATATTCTCGAACTTGGGACTATCAAGCAAAACAGAACAGAGGGAAATCAGTTGAAACAGGATGGTGAGAGCAATACAGAATTTCAAATCAAGTTAACAGGAAATCAAAGTGGTTTACTATAATATATCCTGCTATTTTTAAAAAAATTTTTCCCTTAATTAAAAAAATAAAAATAAATAATAAAAAAAGGAGATTGAGATAAAAGAGGACATAACAGCAAAACAGCACAGGTCAAAACATAACCATTTAAGCAAAATAGTGTTTCCTGATATCCCGACATAAAAGTAGTTACCATAGTGAGTATAAGTTCATATACTCTAGCATCAAACATACCAAGACAGTGTAAAACCATTCAAGAGAATGACAGTATTACAGGGTATTTAGAACCAACTAACAGAAAATGAACGATGGTTTCTGTATAATCTTGTCTATAAAAGTTTTTGTTTATATTATCACATATAATAAAATCCAATAATATACAACATGTTAAGATTGATGGAGACAGAAGAACAAAAGCTTGATGGGACTTCAAAACAAGATGATATTAAATCAGTACTAGCTATTATGATGTCTTGTTTTCTCCAAAATAGCTGTTCCTACCATCCAGCCTTCTCTGCCTCATTTCTGTTGAGCTCTTTTTATGTCATTAGTTGTCAGTTTGTCTTCTTCATTTTGATTTCTGCTCCATTCATTGTAGCCTGTCTTTCACTGTTTCTGGAATATTGGTATTTTCCTTTTTTAGAATATCCTGCAGTATTCTCTGTAGAGTTGAATTGGTGGTTGCAAATTCCCCTAGTTCCTCTTTATCCTGGAAGCACCTTGTTTTTCCATCAATTTCTAGGGACAGTTGTGCAGGATATATCAATCTTGGCTGGAGGTCATTATCTTTCAAAGCTTGAATTATTCCCCCCCCCACGCTCTTCGTGATTTGATGGTTTGTGCCGAGAAGTCTGCTGTAATTCTGATGGGTGTTCCCTTGTAAGTGATCTGTTTTTTGTTTTTTGGGTTTTTTTTTGTCTTTTTCATTTTTATTGGTACCAGGGATTCAACTCACGACCACCTGCTTGCAAGGCAGGTACTTATGCTGCTGAGCTAAATCCCCAGCCCGTGATCTGTTTCTTGTCTCTGACGGCTTTTAATATTCTGTTCTTATATTGGATTTCAGGAATTTTGATTATTATATGCCTGGGTGTATTTCTGTTTGGGTTGTAGGTGGCTGGGGTCCTGTATGCCTCATACATCTGGGTATCTTTACCTTTTGCTAAATTAGGGAAATTCTCCTGGATTATTTCTGTGAATAGCCTTTGTAGTTCATTTGTTTGTGTCTCTACTTCTTCTTTTGCGTTCTTAATTCTTAAGTTATAGATCCTCTTATCTTCTAGCCTTTGTATTATTGCTGCTTGTTTTCTTGTTATTTTTAAGAAGTTTTTCATTTCATGCTCCCACATTACAAATCTGCCCTCCAGTTCAGATAATGTCGTTAGTTTCTTTCAAGCTGTTATGCCAGCTTTCAATAGAGTTTTTAGTTTCCTAATAATCTCTTTGAACCTGCTTCACGTATTCTGTTTTCTCTACCCCTTTTTTTTCTGTTCTTCCATTCCACCATCTGTTTTTTCTTGGGTGGTGCTTAGCATTTCTCTAACTATTCTACTTATATCTTGCTTTAGGTCATTAAATACTTCACTTTTGAACTTGTCTATGAGGCTCCGGAGATATCGCTTTATGTCTATTGGTGCCGTGTCTGATATAGCATTTTTTCTGTCCTCATTCTCCTTTGCATTTCCCTTTCCTGGATCAGTGTTTTCAGGATTGGGGGCTGAGGACCCTTTCTTGTTGCTCCCTCTTCCCATACTTTTTGTTATTTCCATACAGGTGTACATAGGAGGCCCAGTTTCTTTCTTTGTTGGTTACAGTTTGTGTGAATCTGCCAGCGAGGTGTTCCCGCCCACTGCAGTGTACTAGGGAGACAGACCTGGGCGGCCTCTGCTGGGTGCACCCCTCCAGGTCGGTCAACCTACTGAAGGCTTCACTGTATTAGGGTGCACCGCCAGGTGCTGGGACCTGGTTTGGGCTAACCTACTGGGTCTTAGTCCATGGCGTCACCCAGGTCAGGGCTCCTTACCAATCCTGCTTGAGAGGGTAATATGTGACTAAAGTCACTTGCAGTATCCTGTTCCGGCTAGTCTGCCCCGTCCCAGAATGTCCTCTGTTAGAGCCTCTTACTCTATGGAAGGGTCCCCATTTCTCTCACTCACTGTAGGTCGATGCAGGGCTCCCCGCCAGTTTCACTCTCAACTCTGTTCGCCGATTCCCACTCTCAGAGATTTTGCCTTTCTGTCCCTGCTGTGCTGATTCAGATGAAGCAGCTGCAGCAGGAAATTCAAATCACCGCGTGGGTTCCAGCTTCTGCTGAGATTTTATCTGTTCCGGTTGTAGCAGCAGGATTGCATTTCCAGTTGGTTTTTCTCAGCTTAGTTCGTTCCTGGGTTGGCAGGGTATATCTCCCCTTGCTTAGGACTCCTCACACCACACCATTCCTGGATTTTCGGCTGGGCATCTCAGAGAGCCTCCATAGCTGCTATTATCTCTCTGCCATGTTCTCCCGGAAGTCTCTAGTCCTTTTTCAAATTTTTTATTTTACAAATTAAAATTTTTTTATTAAGTTGCTACGTTGATCAGACTGGCTTGAACTTTTGATCCTGCCTCAGCTTCCCAGAGTGTTTGGGTTATAAGCATGTATGACCACTTTTCATGGGCTTATTGGTCTTTTGTTTCTATTTGGAGAAATGCCTATTGAAATGCCTTTTCTTTTTAAATGCAGATCTATGTCCAAATCCCAGCCATTGCACATACTGTTGCTTGTTTTTCATCTGGATTATTTTGTTGTTGTAGGATTCATTATGTGTTGTGAATATTGATCCCTTGTGAAATATGTGATTTGCATTTTTCCCATTCTTTATTAGTATGTTAACGTGATACATAGTACATATGTTCATTGTAGGGGAATTGGGATGCCTGCATATTGCATCTTGATCCTTTCCTTTCCTTCTTCTCCTTTCCTTCCCTCCTATTCTCCCACCCCAGGTTCCCTTCCATCCTTTCAAAGAATCAACTCATTGATTCCTTGATTGTTTATATTGTTTTTTTCAGTTTCAATTTCATTACTTTTCACTCATTTATAATTTTCTTCCTTGTATTAGTTTCAGATTTAGACTGTTGTTTTTCTTGGTCCTTGACATGCATCATTAGGTTATCTGTTTGGGACTACTCTTACTTTATGTGTACATTTACAGATATGACCTTCCTTCTTAGACCTGCTTTCATCATGTTCTGTAGGTTTTGATATGTTGTACTTCACGTCATTTGCTTCTAGGAACATTTTTAAAAATTACTTTTTCTCTGATTTCTTTTGTGATCCATTGATTGATTACTCAGGGTTTTTTTTTTTGTTTGTTTGTTGGTTTGTTTGTTTGTTTTGTGGTACTGGGAATCAAACCCAGCCTTGCGCTTGACAGGCAGACGCCTTTACCACTGAGCTAAATCCCCAGCCCTCTCAGTTTTTCTTTTTGGTTTTTTTTCTTTCTTTCTTTCTTTCTTTCTTTCTTTCTTTCTTTCTTTGTATCGGGGATTGAACTCATGACCTCATGCTTGCCAGGTAGGTGCTTATGCCACTGAGCTAAACCCACCGGCCTGTTAGTTTTCTTTTTGAGACAGGATCTCACTTTGTAGCTCAGGCTGGCTTTGAACTCACTATGTAGCCAAGGCTGATCTGGAACTCACAGTGATCCTCCTGTCTCAGCCTCCTAATTGCTGGGATTATAGGCATGCACTACACCTGGCAGTAATATATTGTTTACATTCCATGTGTTTACGTAGTTTTTGTGACATTTTTTGCTGTTGATTTCTAGCTTCACTCCACTATGATCAGTTAGTATACAGTGGATTAGCTCAAGTCTTCTGTATTTATTCAAGCATGCCTTATGGCTTGAGATATAATCTGGGGCATGGTGGCACACTTCATCAAGTTTGAAAGCTACTTTTGCAGGGTGTAAAACTTTGGGTGGACAGTTGTTTTCTTTCAGTGCTTAAAAAACTTCAACTTCAGACTTTCCTGATCTTTATTCTGATGGCCTTGCCTTTATAGATTACTTGTATTACTTGCTGTTTTTCTCTAACAGCTTTTAGTATTCTCTCTTCTTGTTGAGTTTCTGGAGTTTTGGTTATGATGTACTGTAGAGAGGTTCTTTTCTGGTCATGACTATGCAGAGTTCTAGATGCCTCTTGTACTTGAATATTGAATTTTTTTCCCTAATTTTGGGAAATTTTCTGCTGTGATTTTCAGTGAAAAAAATTTTAATGCTCTGAGTCTTTTTTTTTGTTTGTTTGACACAGGATCTCACTATGTAGTTGAGGCTGGCCTTGAACTCACTATATAGGTTGGCCTTGAACTCACAGGAGTACTCTTGCCTCAGCCTCTTAGGTGCTGGAATTACAGGCATGTGCGACCATACCTAGCTACTGAGTCATCTTCTAAATTTCCTTTATCCCAATAATTCTGAGGTTGGGTTTTTATGTTTTTTGTTTTGATTTGTTGGGGTGTTTTGCTGTTTGTTTGTTGAGTCATATAACAGCTCTTTAATCTAGCTTGTCTGGTGTCATGGCATCTTTAAGAGTAGCATAGAGATTCTGACCTACTACATGCATATTTTCTTATATTTCTGGCACTCTGTCCTCATGTTGCTTTCATTTTAAATCTTTGCTTTTCACTGAATTTTCCATATCATGGATCTCTGCTTGCTTTCTTTTTATGCTAATTCTTTTCCAAGTGGTCATTCAAGTTTTGTCTTGCTTAACTCGGTTTACTGTTTATCTCTTCGTTAAGCTTGTCAAGCATTTTATGGTAAAAATACCTTATCTGTTCAGCCAGATTCTCTTTGGGCTTGTTAAAACAACTTATATATTTGCTTATTATTTCTTCTTTTATCTTTTCAAAGATTTTTCCAATTGGGTTTTGAGTTCTTTACCTAGGACTTCTACTTCAGTGTCAGTTGTTTTCTTACAAATCTCCATTCCATGTATTTTACCAGCTGTATCCTACCATCCTCATTACCATTCTTTTTCACCATTCCTATAATTCATGAACATAGGATGATTTGCAAATACTTTCCTCTATTCTTTGGGGTTGTCTTTTTTTCTTCTCTGTCTTTCTACTTAGTATCTTTTGATGCAAGACATTTTTAGTTCAGGTTATCTGTTGTCTCTTTTATTGCTTGTGCTTTTGTTACCAAATTTAAGAAACCATTAAAGCTGGGCAGCGTGGTAGCTCACGCCTGTAATCCCAGCATTTGGGAGGCTGAGGTAGGAGGATCTTTGTGAGTTCAAGACCAGCCTAGGCTACGAAATGAGCTCAAGGCTAGCCTGAACTGCATAGAGAGACCCTGTCTCAAAAACAAAGAAAGAAAGAAAAGAAACCATTGCTTCATTCAAGTTATTAGGATTTTCATCTGTATTTTTTTCTAAAAGTTCACTCTTAAATTTAAGTCTTTGAGAAGGATATGATGGCATACACCTGTAATTCCAGTTATCTGGGAGGCTAAGACAAGATCACAAATTTAATCCTATCATGGGCAATTTAGCAATTTAGTGAAACTGTTTCATATTTTTCAAAAGTCTGAAGTTATAAGGAGTGTAAAGTCCTTGGATAAATCTGCAGTGCCGGGAAAAAATAGGTCTATGATTCATTTTTATACATTGTATTAGGTAAGGATCCACTCTCAGTCTTTTAGATAGGGATTACTGAATCTTTATTACCTGAAGTTATTGAAGAGATGGTTCTTTCATGTGCTGAATGGTTTTAGTAATCTTGTCAAAATCATTTGACTACATTAAGGATTTATTTCTGAGCTTGTTGTTTCTTCCATTTGGTCTGTATGTCTAGCCTTGTGCCAGTATCATACTATTTTGATTACTGTAGCTTTGTGGTAAGTTTGATATTAGGAAGTGATGGTTTTCCACCGTTTGCTTTTCTCTGTCAAGATTGTCTAATGGCCAGACATGGTGGTACACACCTGTAACCCAGCACTTGGGAGGCTGAGGCAGGAGACTCACTGTGAGTTCAAGGCCAGCCTGGGCTTTGTAGTGGATTCAAAGCCAATCTGAACTACATAGCAAGACCCTGTTTCAAAAAAAATAAAAAATAAAAAGATTGTTTTGTTTTTTTTGGTCTTTTTCCTTTTTATCGGTACCGGGGATCGAACTCATGACTGCCTGCTTGCAAGGCAGGCACTTATGCTGCTAAGCTAAATCCCCAGCCCCTGATTGTTTTGTGTTTTAAGTCTGTGTGAATTTTGGGATCAGCCTGTCCATTCTAAAAGAATATTAAGATCTTTTTCATTCTTTTTTTTCTTTTCTCTGTATTTTTTGTTTTTGTTTTGTACAGGAGATCAAACCTAGGGCCATGTGCATGCTAGGTACATCTCAGAAGAATGAGCTCCTGCCCCAGTATGGCAGTTGGAATTTTGAAAGAGATTGAATGGAATGTATACATCAGTTTGGGGTCCATTGCTGTCTTAACATTAAGTCCTATAATTCATGAGCATAGGATGACTTTCCCTTTATTTAGTTCTTTAATTTCTTACAGCAGTATTTTGTAATGTCCTGGCTGGCCTTGAACTTGCTATAAAACCCAGGGTGTGCTTTTACTCACAATCTTCCTGCCTCTGCCTCCCAAGTGTTGGGTTTACTGGTATGTGTCACCATGCCCAGATTCTTGCACATCTAGGGTGGGCAGTACTGGGGATTGGATTCAGGGTCCTCTCACTGAGCTTCTCAGTTTTTATTTTGAGATGGTGTCTCACTGAGTCTCCAGGCTGGGCTTGAACTTGCTATCCTATTGCTTCAGCCTCCCAGAATGCTAGGTTATAAAGGCGTGCCACCATGTCCAGGTCTTGCCACCATACCTGATTTTTGTGTGTTCTTGATTAAATTTCTAAGTATTTAATTCTTTACTTAAATTTTTTTTTAATTTAAAAGATAGTAAAACAACAAAACAAAGCCAATCAAGATAATGCAGTGAAACTGGTACAGAACTTCAGAGCAGGATATGGGGATAACAATAATAGATACCATAGTATATCTTGTTATCTTCACAATAGTTGTCCGTTCAATCAGGTATAGCACAGTCAAACCAAAAACAGAATACTATAAAACCAATCAGAACAGAATATTGAATAGAGCAAAACAATCAGAACAAAGCAAAACAGTGAAAAGAATATTGGCCTTCAAAGACAAGATAGAAGGAAATCATCCATATTTGCTATGTTGCATACTGTCATTTTCCCAAGAGATGCTCAGACCTCTGACCCCAGGTCAGCATAATCAACCAAACCGTATAAGCATTTAGTTGCTTTATGTAGCTTAGTTGCTATTAATTCTAGCAACTGACCTCAAAACCATAGTTGCTGGGGTGGGCCGGGGGGAGTGCAGGGGGCCATGGAATGTTTGATTCTCAGCCCACACACCAGTAGACTCACAGGAGACACTGATTTATTCTCTCCCTGGGACGTCCGTGGCTCACTTGTGCCACTTACCAGGAAGGATGGCTCATTGTTCTCTTGGCTGTTCCCCCAAGTTCCAGCATGGCTGATTCTTGGGAGATGCTAACTTGTTCTCTCCCTCTTTGATGCTATTAAAATGGAATAGTTTTTTAAAAATTATATTAGATCATCCATTGCTAGTATATAGAAATATAACTGATTTTTGTATGTTGATTTTGTGGGTTTTGCTCAATTTTTTTATTAGTTCTGCTAGGATTGTATTTTATTTATGATTTTCTATATATATGATCATGTCATCTCTGAATAGAGATAACTTGACTTCTTCATTTCCAGTTTGGTGGCTATTACTTCTTTTCCTTGCCTAATTGTCCTAGCTAGAATAAAAACAGCAAGAGCAAATACCCTCGCTTTCTTCCTGGTCTTAGGAAAAGCTTTCCTTCTTCACCACTGAGTTGATGTTACTTGTGGTTCTCCATAGAAGCCTCCTAGTCAAGGGTTGTGTTCCTAGTTTCTGTTCCATGTGTGTTTGCCATGCAAGAGTATTGGATTTTTTTTTTCAAGTGCTTTTTTGGATTAATAGAGATGAGCATGCTTTCACTAATGTGGGGTATTACACTGGATGATTTTTTTTTCCTTTTTAAAATTTTAAACAGAATAGAACCAAAACAAAACAGAGTAAAGTCAATCAAAACAAAGCAGTGAGGGTACAGAACTTCAGAACAGGATAATAGGAAATCAGCAGTGACTACCATAGTATACCTTGCTATCTTCACAGTAGTTGTCCATTACCAGCAGACATATCAAAATCAAACAACACAGTAAAATCAGTCAAAACAGAATATTGAATAAAACAAAACAGTAAAACAAAATAAAACTGAGAATAGTACCACACATTGCTAGCTTCAAAATAGTTGTTCACAGGGGCTGGGGATTTAGCTCAGTGGCATAAGCACCTGCCTTCAAGCAGAAGGTTGTGAGTTTGATCCCTGGTACCGGAAGAAAAAAAAAAAAAAAAAACCCAGCAACAAAATAGTTGTTCACATTGCTAGACACTGGGATAAAACAGAACAGTAAAATAGAACAAAACATGGAATTTCAAAAACAAGATAGGAGGAAATCCCCTACCATTGCCACAGTGCACACTGCCATCCTCCAAGTAGATGCCGAGACCACCTGCCCCAGGCCTGCAGAGTCAGCCACACAGTAAACATCAAGCTCTTCCCTTCCCTCAGGTGCTGGTGCTATTGTCTCACCCTGAGGTTTGGGGGATGCTGTTCTGGTTTTTCAGCCGGCACACCAGCTGGCTCACGGGAAGGCGTGGTTCCTCTTCTGGCCACTTTCCAGATCAGCATGGCAGAGCCTGCTGCCTGGGAAAGCCTACATTGAATGGTTTTGATGTGTTGAGCCACCCTTGGATTCTGGGATTAACCACACTGAGTCATGGTATATAATCCTTCTACTATGATGCTGTATTTAATTTGCTAGGATTTATTGAAGATGTTCATGTGTATATTCATAAGGGTAGTGTGTAGGTTTTTTATTGTTTGTGTTTATTTTTGTTTTTGTTTTTGAAGTACTGGGGATTGATTCCAGATCTGTGTAGGCAAGTGCTCTACTACTAAGCTACACACCCCCGGCCTTGTTCTGTAGTTTTTTCTTAGGATGTCTTTTCTAGCTTGGTAATTAAGGTAATACTGGCCTCATCAAATGAATTAGGACATTTTCTCTTTTTTAAGTTTTTTTCTATTTTGAGACAGAATCTTGCCATGTACTTCTGCAGTGGCAAGCAAAAACACCAAAACAACAGCCAGGATTTGGAGGTAAATGTATTTATGTCCACGGGCACTGATTGGGATCATTCCCAGAATATCAGGCACTGATCTCTGGTGGTCTAGGGCTTTTATATGATGCACAAGCAAGAGCTACCAAGGAGCTACAAGGCAAGACAGAACAGCCTGGCAGTTCTTCTGATCAGCTAGCAGGATAAGATCGTCGCTTACAAGGGTAGATTAATGATCATCAGTTCATGAAGTTTGGTACAGTGGTACAGTCAGGCTTCCTGTATGTTTAGTTACACTCTCATGTTTACAGGGGTTAAGAAAGTGATGACACAACCATGAAGCAGTTACAGAACTAGGCAGTTTCAAATGAATAAAGTTTTAAAAAGAATAATTTGTCTTGTACAGTTTTTCCCTGTCACTTCAGGTTGGCCTCAAATTCACAGTGAGTCTCCTATCTCAGTCTCCCAATTGCTGTGATTACAGGTATGCACCACCACATCCAGCTTCCTCAGTTTTTTAAAAGAAAAGTTTGAGAAGTTTTGGTGTTGGTTCTTTAAGCATTTCTTTTCTTTCTTTCTTTTTTTTTTTTTTTTTTTTTTTTTTTTTTTTTTTTTTTGGTGGTGCCGGGAATTGAACTCCTGGCCTTGCACTTGCCAGGCAGGCGCTTATAGCACTGAGCTAAACCCCCAGCCCATAGCATTTCATAGCTAGGCTGGAGTTACAGTTCAGTGGTAGAGTGCATACATAGTATTTTGAAGACCCTAGATTTGCCCTCATCTCTATCTCTTTCCCTCTCCCTCTCTCTCTTGTCTCTGTCTGTCTGTCTCTCTCTTTCACACACACACATACACAGAAGACTTCACTGTAAAGTCATCTGTCCGGGACTTTTTGTTAAGGTTAGAAGTTTTTCATTACTGATTCAATTTCCATGTTATAGGTCTATTTAGATTTTCTATTTCTTATGTCTGTTTTGGTAGTTTAGAAGTTTCTAGAAATTTGTCTGTTATCTAATTTGTTGGCAGTGTATTCTCTCCTGATTTAAGCAACTTCTTTTTCTTTCTTTTTTGATGGTACTCGTGGGGATTAAACCAAGGGCTTCAAATAAACTATGCAAATGCTGTAATGCTGAGCTATAATGCCAGACTGTTTTTAAAATTTTTCTTTTTGAAGCTGGGCATAATGGCACCCTTGCCTGTCATTCTAGCCCTGGGGAGACTGAGGTGGAAGACTTGCAAGTTTAAATTCCAGCTAGGCAAATTGACTTGACTTAAAATCAAAAGGCTGGGGATGTAGCTCAGTGAGTCGAGGTTCAATCCCCAGAACCACCATTAATTATTAATTATATTTATGAGTTAAGGTCTCACTAAGTTGCCCAGGCTTGCCTTGAACATGCAATCCTCTTCAGCCTGTAGCTGAAGTTACAGGTATACTTGGCTGATTTCAGTAATTTGAATGTCTTTTCTTTTTGGTCAGTCTAGCTGAAGGTTTGTCAGTTTTGCGCATCTTTGTTGTTGTTGTTGTCGGGTTATCATTCTCTAATTTCAGTTTCATTTATTTCCATCTAATCTTTATTTTCGTTCTTCTTCTGCTAACTTTTAAAACAAAAGAGATATAAAGGGATTTGTCAGGCAAGTTTTTAAAAGTGCGCACTCAAAAAAATAAAATGCAGACCCCCAAGAGAGATGCACTTTATAGTATGTAGCTGGGAATATTTGTATGTTTTGGCATGTGAAATATGTGGAATTTGTGAATCTATGAAGGTTTAGACTTAACTTACAGAAAAACAACCAAGGTAGAAAGATTGTGGCTCATTTTACAAGTGCAAAGATGGCTCTCTTTTACTTCTTAAAAGTACAATTTATAAAATGTGATATTCCCAGCCAGGCGTGGTGGCACATTCCTGTAATCCCAGCAATTTGGAGGTTGAGGCAGGAGAATTGCTGCTACTTTGAGGCCATCCTTGGCTATATAGTGAGTGAGTCCAAGGTCAACGTGAACTACAGAGCAAGACCCTGTCTCCAAAAAATAAATAAATAAATAAATAAATAAATAGAAAAAAGAAAGATATTCCCTGTGTCTTTTCTGCCTTCTTTATTTCTCCTACCCTATTTCACCCACCCATCCCCACGCCCTCACGCCCCTGCCTCATACACACACAAGACTGATCCCTTATTTTCAGGGGATGCAGAGGGGCCAAAGGTCTACCTTCTTCTAGCTGCTGGAGAGAACACTGACCCTGCCAGTCTACTCTGACTGGTCTAAAGGATACATAGGAAGATGGGTCTTAATTGTTTGGTAAACCATCATCATTTGTTAGTCTGGAGAAGAGGACAAAGACATCAGCAAGTTCTTGATGCTTTAACTTCATTTTATAAACATGTTAAACAAGCAAGGGCCGAAAATTAAAGTAGAATATTGGTGAATAGTTACCCCAGAAGTTTGTAGAAGTCAGACAAAATTTGTTAGCATTTTTCATATACAAGACAGAGTATACTTTTAGATATACTGCTCATGTTATAGTAAGTTTTTTTGGCTTTAGGTTTATAATTATATAACTAGTTAGAATTTTCATTAGCGAATATTATTTAGTGCTGCTTTTTTTATCCTGTAAATTGTAATAGTCTTTTTCCTAATACTCAGGCTACTCTCAGTGCTTTCATTGTTGTTAACACCAGAGTTAGGCCACCCAGTCAGAAGGAGAGAAGAGATGCAGATTGCTGCTGGGATCTTTGCTCATTTTCTCTCCTTACAGAAACAAGTTTGAGGGGGGCTGGAGATTTAGCTCAGCGGCATAAGCGCCTGCCTTGCAAGCAGGCAGTCGTGAGTTTGATCCCGGGTACCGATAAAAAGGAAAAAGACAAAAAGAAACAAGTTTGAGGCCATGCCTTTTTACTCTTTAAGTGATAGTTAGACAAATACACAGAAAAAGCAACTTTAACAAAAAACTTTTAACTTTTTGAATCATTTGTTGTTACCTTAAATTGAGATGCTTACTTTCTACATACTTATAAAAAACTTTCAGATTTATTTCAATTACTAATTTTTAATTTTATTTCATCATGGTAGGAGAAGGTATTTCATGTGATTTCAGTGCTTTAGAATTTATTGAGCTTGTCTTGGTATCCCGGAGAATATCCCATTTGCACTTGCAAAGAATGTTCTATGTATTTTTACTTGGTTCATACTCAGGTCCTCCATTTCCTTATTGGTCTTCCATTTGCTTGTTTTATTCATTATTGAAGGTGAGATACTGCAGTGTCTGTTGTAGAAATGTCTGTTTTGTTCTTCATTTCTCTCCATTATGCTTCATACATTTTGAGGGTTCTGTGGCTATATGTGTGTGTGTATATATATATGTTTTTAATTGTTATATTTTCTTGATAGATTGACTTTTTATCAATATCTAGCTATATAATTATAATAGTTCTATAATAGTTCTTGAGTTAATCTGTTTTGTCTGATATTAATACGGCCATCTCAGCTGTCATTAAGCTGTTTGCATGTCTTTCCTTTTTGCTTTCACACTATTATTACTTTTGTTTTTTTGCAGAGCTAGAGATTGAAACCAGGGTTGCATATGTGCTATGTTGTTTTGAGGTCCCTTAAAGATCCAAAATGAGTGTCTTATAGATAACATAGAGTTGGGTAATGTTTTGTATTGCTTTTTGGGGTTTTTTGGGTTTTTTTAGTGTGTGTGTGTGTCTTTTGGTGTGTGTGTGTTTGAGTTTTGCTGTTATTTTGAGGGGTAGAGTCTTTGAAACAAGACCTCAATGCATAAGTTTAAACTGTCTCTGAATTTACTCTGTGTAGCCCCAGGCTGGCCTTGAATTTATGGTGATCCTTGGCCTCAGCCTCTCAAGTGCTGGGATTATAGGTATGCACTATCACACCCAAAATGGATGTTTTCTAACACATTGTCCTATTCTGTGCCTTTTTGCTTTTTTATTCTGTGCCAACAGCCTGGCCATGTAGTTCAGGCTAACCTTAAACTCACTATGTACTCCCAGCTGGCCTCAAACTCAATGAGATATTCCTGCCTCACCTCCTGAGTGCTAGAATTACAAGCATTTGCTACCATAGCCAGCTCAGTTTTGCTTTTTTGCTTTTCTTTTTTCTAGTTTTGTATCCCATTTTATTTGAAGTAAATTCAGCAGTCTTTAGGTACTCTTCTCTTTAATTTTACTGTCTTCTTGGTTCAAATAAAAAATCACAACTGTGGGGATCTCAGGACTGCCTTTTTTAAAAAACAGATTTGGGGGCTGGGGATTTAGCTCAGCGGCATAAGCGCCTGCCTTGCAAGCAGGCAGTCGTGAGTTCGATCCCGGTACCGATAAAAAAGAAAAAGAAAAAAAAAAAAAAAAAACAGATTTTATGGCCATAATCTCTGCCTTTAAATGGAGAGATTAAGCCACTTGCATTTAATCTCTATCTAAAAAGGATTTCTGCCATTTCACCATTTTGTTTCTATGTCTTCTTTTTCACAGTACTAAGAATTGAACATGACATTTATGAGGTTTCCTATTAAGATACATCCCCAGACTTTTTTGTAAGATAGTGTCATTAAGGTATATAAACTGGCCCCAAACTTATTCCTCCTCCCTTAGCCTTTTTTTTTTTTTATTTTGAAAGTAGTAAAATACAACAGATCGAGACAGAATAAAGCCAGCTAAGATGATACAGTGAAATTGGTACAGAACTTCACAGCAGGTTACTGGGATAATAGTAATAGGTATCACAGTATATTTTGTTATCTTTACAATAGTTCTTTCAATCACGTATATCGAAATAAAATGAAATACAGAACATTATAGAACTTATCAAAACAGAATATTGAATAGAGCAGTACCATTAATCAGAATAGAGCCAAACTGTAATAAAAATATTTGCCTTCAAAGAGATGGTAGAAGGAAATCCCCCTTATATGCTATAGTCAACCTCCCAGAAGATGCTGAGATTTCTGGTTCCCATTTGCTAACGGGGGGACAGGAGAAGTGGGGTAGGGAAGTGGGATGTTTGACTCTAGGCCATGCACCAATGGGTTCACTATTGCTTAGCAGGGAGGCAGGCTGGTTGGTTGGTTTCCCAGCTTCATAAGTTCCAACATAATGTGGATCTTAGAAGACACTGGTGGTTCTCCCCCTGGAGGGGCCATAGTCTGCCACACTGCAGCCACTTACCAGGGAGGTGAGCTGCCTTAGCCTTTTGACTAGCTACTATTCCTGCCTTTTAATTAATTAATTAATTTATTTATTTATGTCTTTTTGAGACAGGATCTCACTATGCAGTTCAGGCTGGCCTTGAACTCAATTTGTAGCCCTGGCTGGGGCTGGTCTGGAATTTGCAACAATTCTCCTGCCTCAACCTCCCCACTGCTAGGATTACAGGAGTGCACCACCATGCCCAGTTTACCTGCTTTTTTTAATAATCATTTTGCATATCATTTTGACTCCCTTCTATTTTTCTTTTCTGCATATTTTACTTTTTTTCTTATTATGTTGGGAATATGATTAACATCTTAAATTATAAAAGTATAGGTTGAATCACTACTAATTTAGCTTTAATAGTATCTTATTTAAGAAAAATAGTATCTTACTGTCTCATTGCTGGCACACAGTACTGTACCTGACACCAACAATTTAAAGGAGGAAAGATTTATTTTGGCTTTGTTTGTAGAGGCTTTGGATATGGCAGAGGAGAAGCTGCTCATGACATGGTGGTGGGAAGCAGAGAGAGCAAGTGGAAAGAGAGGGAGATGGATCCCAGTGACCCACCTCCTTTGACCAGGCTTCACCTCCCTACATCACATCAAAGTCACCAGTGGACACCCCTATGATCCAGTCACTTTCCTAAGGGCCCCGTGTGAACATATGAGGCTTTGGGTGGACATCTAGATATAAACCATAATGAATAGTATTTGAAAAAACCCTGCTGGTTGTGGCAAGAGAATCACAGCGACTTTGAAGCCAGCCTGGACTATTCAACTAGATTCTGTCTCAAATAAAATAAAACCCTGGGTCTGGATAACTCTGCTCCCCTTAGGAGAGAGGTCAGAAGCAGCTTGATCCTTCTCTTTTCCCACAGACAGCCAGAGGGCATGCTGGAGACCTCTGAAAGTACTACAGACAAACCCTAGCCCTTAACTGCAGCAGGCTTGAATTTGGGCCAACTCCAAGCCTTGAACTTGGGCCAGCCTGAAATTTGGACTAATATCAGATGGCTCCAGCCAGCTTCTGCTGTAGCAGGCTTGAGGTTTCAACCAATCCCAACTGACTTTGCCCTATGACTGATCTCTAATGATGCTACCCTGTCAAGACATGCAACTCTGACCAATCCAAGACGATTCAGCCTCTTTTGCTGTTCTGTGGAAGCGTTGCTTCTTCAGACTTTGCTGGTCAGTGGAATAGGGCTCTCTTTGCTCTATTGATCTCCTGTGTCAGCATAGGTCCCAATAGGTGATCCTGTAAATCCTCTTATTTTTTTTTTCTCAGGGAGCATGGACTTGAAAAGTCCTGTAAATCCATTTGGGCAGTGTGGTAAAGCAGGTCACTTTGTTTTATTTAGTTTTGGGGGGGCTGGATATTGAACTCAGGACCTTGCACTTGCCAGGCAAGTGCATATGCCACTGAGCTATACCCCCAGCCGAGCAGGTCACTTTAAATAGAGCTGTAACAGCCAAGCATAGTGGTGCATGCCTTTAGTCCCAGCATGCAGTAAGTTGAGGCAGGATGATCGTTGTGAGTTTGAGACCAGCCTTGGCTATAAAGTGAACTCAAAGCCAGCCTGACCTGCATAGTGGGACCCTATCCCAAAAAGACCAAAAAAAAAGAGAGCTGTACACACTAGGAGCTGTTGGCCCTGAAGAGTGGCAGAGACCTGCAACAGAGATGAGCAACAACCAGTGAAAAACCAATGGAAGCAGCAGTTTTAACCAGTAACAACCAAGACCAGTGGATTTGGCAGAGACCCACAAGGACCTGTGGATAACCCCCCCAAAACAACAAACTGCTATACAAGCTTCAGGGGGCCACCAAGGATGTTGTGAGCCCCAACTGTGGAAGAGCTGACAAAGATGACTGAAAGCCACTAAGAGCTGTAGCACATAGGCCTGAAGACCCAGAGCTTCTATAGCTCAGGCAAGCTTCCAGCTCTTTTTGTAAACCAGCTGGCCTTGAACTTGTAGTCCATCTGCTCAAACTCCCACATGCTGGGACTGTAGGTAGGCACCACCATACCTAACTTCTCTGATGCTTTTGTTTTAAACAGTAACAAAATTTTGTTAAAGATAGGAAAAGAAACAGGTGCTACAAAGCAAATTTGGGCCACACAAAAGTAGGAAAAAAAGTACACCCTGCAACATGAGAGTGGACCATTGTGCAAGTGCAAACACAGTGGCAGGACTCAATGTGGACTGTCACTTTTTTTTTCTTTAATTAAAAAAATTAAAAGAAAGAAGGAGACTAAGATAAAAGAAGGCATAACAACATAATAACACGGGTCAGGACAGAACAATTTAAGCAACATAGTGTTTCACCACAAGATATCCCCATATAACAGTAGCTACATAGTGTCTTGAACTGTCGCTTTTATATCACCCATTCCTCCGATTGACTTCAGGTCTAGGTATAGGCCATCCTATTGAAAACCTGCTTGAGTCCTCAAAGAAGTCCATGTGCAGAGCTTTAAAAACTGTTCTGCACAGGTGTCCTGGCATTTTATACTTGACAGGTCCCATCTACTTCCCCACGTAGCTTTGCTACACCCTACTCTCCTGTGTCATTCCCTCTGAGAACACATATTCCCCATAATTCTCTGTGAGGTGCTGAGGGAGTAGAGGTCTCTATCTTCTATAGTTAGATGCTAGCTGGAGATTA